GTAGGTGATCTCTAATTTTGAGCTTCACTGTTTGTTTTCACAAGCTCAATAGTTTAGATGAGGTAAAAGTTTATTAAGAAACTATTTTTGACAATAAACTCTATGGATCTGTGTGTAGTTTTAATCAATCCCTTTTTTTCTAAAACACATTGACTTTACAGCACATTTTGCTCTTTCGACATTCTATAAGCATTCATTCAGAAGTGCTTTAGATTTTCCCAGCAAAACAGTCTAGAGTCCTTCACATAAAATCAGTTTAAAGTCAGGCTTATATAAACAACTTAGAAGTCAGGGAAGGTCACATTTTTAAACTTTTGCTGCAAGCTGTTCACACACCGGGGATAAAAAGCAATTGAAACACGTCAATTCAAAATACGCAAATTTAAAAAGAATATATATACTTAAATCTTCATCAAACAGGCTCAGAAGCGCCCTTGTGAAATGTAACCATGGTTTTATAACAAATAAAAGAAAACAATCATGTTGTTTTTGTTGTTGAACCAAAAGTAATCACAAATTAATCAAGGTTTTGAAGCACTAATCATATTTGTAGTACAAATTTCCTTATTGAATGATAATCGATATACAGAAATGCATGGTTAACTCACTCCTACTATAATAAAACCATGGTTCATTTTCTTAAGTGTTTATTACCCCTTTTAAAGTGGCAGTACAATCAAATATGATTCCACACTAACCACATTTTTAATAAAAATCTCCTACAAATGATAATCAATACACAAACACATGGTTAATTCAACCATGTTTCATTATTATAAGTGTTTGTTAGTGTGTTCTGACCCTTTTAAATTGGCAGTACAATTAAAATTGGTTCCGCACTAGCCATATTTGTAGTAAAAATGATAATCAATACACAAAATATGCATGGTTAATTCCCTCTTGCTATAATAAAACTATGATTAAGGATTTGTTAGCATGTACTGTCCCTTTTAAAGTAGCAGTACAATCAAATATGGTTCCACATTAAACATATAGTAAAAATGTTCTATAAATGATACACAAAACACAAAAACATGATTAATTCAGTCTTACTATAATAAAACCATGGTTCATTTTCTAAAGTGTTTATTAGCATGTTACTGACCCTTTTAAAGTAGCAGTACAATCAAATATGGTTCCGCACTAACCCTATTTGTAGTTAAAATAATAATCAACACACGAAAATACATGGTTAATTCACTCTTCCTATAATAAAACTATGGTTAAGGGTTTGTGAGCATGTACTGACCCTTATAAAGTGGCAGTACAATCAAATACGGTTCCACTCTAAACATATTTGTAGTAAAAATGTTCTTAAATGATAACCAGTACACAAAAATACATAATTAATTCACTCGTACTATAATAAAACAATGGTTTCTTTTCATAAGTGTTTGCTAGTGTGTACTGACCCATTTTAAAGTGGCAGTACAATCAAATATGGCTTTGCACTAATCGTATTTGTAGTTCAAATGATCATCAATACACAAAAATACACAGTTAATTCACTCTTACTATAATAAAACTATGGTTAAGGGTTTGTTAGCGTGTACTGACCTTTTTAAAGTGGCAGTACAATCAAATATGGTTCTGCACTAACCATATTTGTAGTCAAAATGTACTTATAGAAATTATAGAAATAATAATTTTCCACAAAGTTACACTTTTAAATCACTCTTTACCATAATTAAACCATGGTTCATTTTCATTTGTGTTTGTTAGTATGCACTGACCCCTTTTAAAGTGGCAGTACAATCAAAAATAGTTCCACACTAACCCTATTTGTTGTAAAAATATCTTACAAATGACAATCAATACACAAAAATACATAATTAATTCACTCTTACTTTAATAAAACAATGGTTCATTTTTCAAAGTGTTTATTAGTGTGCACTGACCCATTTTAAAGTGGCAGTACAACCAAATATGGTTTCGCACTAACCATATTTGTAGTAAAAATGATAATCAATATACAAAAATATATGGTTAATACACTCTTACTATAATAAATATCATGATTAAGGGTTTGTTAGCATGTACTGACCGTGGTAGTATAATCAAACATGGTTACACACTAATATTTGCGGTAAATATGTTCTTAAATGATAATCGATACACAAAAATACATGGTTAATACACTTTTATTATAATAAAAATCATGAGTAAGAGTTTGTTAGCATGTACTGACCCTTTTAAACTGGCAATATAATCAAATATGATTCCACACTAACCATATTTGTAGTTAAAATGATAATCAATAAACAAAAATACATGGTTAATTCACTCTTACTATAATAAAACCATGATTACATTAGGTGTTTGTAAGCATGTACTATCCCTTTTAAAGTGGCAGTGCAATCAAACATGGTTACACGTTAATTCACTTACTATAATAAAGCCATGACTAATTTTTATAAGTGTTTGTTAGCGTGTACTGACTCTTTTAAAGTGGCAGTACAATCACATATAGTTCTGCACTAACTATATTTGTAGTTAAAATGATCATCAATACACAAAAATACATGGTTAATTCACTCTTACTGTAATACAACTATGGTTAAGGGTTGGTTAGCATGTACTGACCCTTATAAAGTAGCAGTACAATCAAATAGGGTTTCACACTAACCATATTTGCAGTAAAAATCTCCTAAAACTGACAATCAGTGCACAAAAATACATAATTAATTCACTCTTACTATAATAAAACCATGTTTCATTTTCATGAGTGTTTGTTATCGTGTACTGACCCCTTTTAAAGTGGCAGTACAATCAAAGATGAATCTCAATGAGATGCAGTTCTTTGATCTCGACCGGGTTATTCTGCATTCAATTCTGCAAAATCCATCAGCTCGTGTCCTGCAATCTATTTTTCAACAGAGAGAATCGCACTGGGCTTTCAATGAATAGACAAATCATATTAAGATCAGCTTTTAGCATTCTAACAACAAAGACTATCAGCTCGCCCAGCGCAAGTCAGACAATATTAAAAGAACAGACAATGTTAAGAGAAGTCTTTGTGCCATCGCCATGGCAACATGTTTTTTTCACCCTTCTCAGGCTTATCTTTCATGAATAGGTTATGAAAGAAATGTAACGTGTAAAAGTTCATTAGCATCAAAGAAATAAATACTTAATTACTGCATGTCATTCTTCTTGCCTTGCATTTGTGAATTAAAGAGAGCGATTCCCCCCCAAATAACTGGATATGTTGTTAAAGGAGATCTGGATTGTCTTTTCCAGGTGCCAGCAGACAGAGATACAGCTGCTGTTTCAAATGCAACACCTGCTGGAAGAAGATGGCAATCTTACGCTCTGTCTTTGAAGCTGAGATAATGTAACGCCGCTCACTGTTTAATCTCTTTCAAAGGCAGAAATTCTGAGCTCTAGCCCAAACTTCATACTTTTTTATAATACACTTATATCCATACAGATCCCACTGTTACTCACTTTGAACCACGTCAGGTGAGTAAAACGCCACATTAAACAACAATGTAATTTTGTGATGTTGTTAATATTACTATAAGAGATATGATATTACAAAAAATAGATGTTTAATATTTGGTTATTGCAGCATGACAGAGCTTTTGTGGTGACACTCAATAATAATGCATGAACTTGCATGAACTAACATTGAGAAACACATATGAATTGTTGTTAACATTAAGGAAATGCAGCTGTTCATTTTTAGTTTATGCTACCATTCATTTCAGCAATGTGTATATGGAGCCAGATCAGTCTCAAAAATAATACTTTTACAAAATGAAATTTACAATTACGAATTGGATTTGTGTGTTTATGAATCGTGTTTTGAATTTACGAATTGAACTTGTGTAAGGCGATGCAGTGGCGCAGTAGGCAGTGCTGTCGCCTCACAGCAAGAAGGCCGCTGGGTTGCTGGTTCGAGCCTCTGCGTTTCTGTGTGGTGTTCTCCCTGCGTTCACGTGGGTTTCCTCTGGGTGCTCCGGTTTCCCTCACAGTCCAAAGACATGCGGTACAGTCTGAGTAGGCTAAATTGTCCGTAGTGTATGAGTGTGTGTGTAAATGAGTGTGTGGATTAATGTTAACCAGAGATGGGTTGCGGCTGGAAGGGCATCCGCTGCATAAAAACGTGCTGGATAAGTTGGTGGTTCATTCCGCTGTGGCAACCCTGGTTAAAATAAAGGGACTAAGCCAAAAAGAAAATGAATGAATGAATTTGTGTATTTTAGAATCGTGTTTCGAATTTTCGAATTGGATTTGCGTAATTAGTAATTGTGTTTTCCTTCAGCTTAGTCCTTTTATTCATCAGGGGTTGCCACAGCGGAAAGAACGGCCAACTTATCCAGCTTATGTTTTACACAGATACCCTTCCCGCTGCAACCCAGTACTGGGAAACACCCGTACACTCTCACATTCACTACGGCCAATTTAGTTTATTCAATTCACCTATAGCACATGTCTTTGGACTGCAGACCTTCTTGCTGTGAGGCGACAGTGAGCCACTGAGCCACCGTGCCACCCTAATTTCATAATTAGTTCATGTTAACTAACGTTAACTAATTTATGTTTACTGTTAATACCAAAGTTTGCAATACCAAAATGCCAAAGCTTTCGATCAAAAGTCTGAGATTTCGATATTAATTCAGTTAATATTAATCGTTTATTAATCTTTTTTTTGTTATTAATATTGCAAACTTCACACAGAAATGCCAACTGAGCCAGACGAAGCTCGAACCAGCGACATCGCTACCCAGTGCGCGACTGCGCCTCCCATACTTATATACTTTACAATATTTGTTATTTTACAACATAAGGGTTTAAATAAATCATATTATTTATTTGATATGATATGATTTTTTATATGTATTTAAAAGCAGTGGCGCTGTAGGTCGCCTCACAGCAAGAAGATATATATATATATATATATATATATATATATATATATATATATATATATATATATATATATATATATATATATATGTTTATTTTATTTCAAGTAATTAAATTGTTGTAAGTGTAACGTTTTTATTTATTTCATTATAATCACCCTGAAACTAACAAAAATAACAAATTCTGACTAAGTTTCTGTTGTCATAATACACTGTATATGTCATTTAACACTTTACAGAATGAAACCCTTCAGATTTTATGACGGTGCAAGCACAATATTAACAATGAGCACACTGACCTCTGCTGGTCAAATAGCACACTTATTAAGAGATTCCTTTGCAGTGTCATAATCATTAACTGTGTTCGGACCGTCTCTGATTCAGGTAGTTAATGAGTGGTTAGCGTCTGCTAGTACACTTAAAGGAGTGAACTGTTTAGCGTCATCCCTCCCAAACCACATAAAACACTGATCAGCCTGAGCCGCAGCGTTCACCTGAGACCTCGCCGAGTGATCTCTAGGGAAACGCCTTCTGATTTTGTCCTCTCTGCTCTCTATTTGCTGTCTGGGCAGGAAGTCCTTCTGATAAACTGAGTCTTCCCACTTTACTGCAGTAACCAGACTCGGGGTGCCATGATGATGATGGCGCAGGCTGTAATGAGAGTTATGCTGGCGACGCTCATCCAGACATTTCTTACGGCCTGAACCCTTTATGAACACACACATAAACGTATATATGAAAATATAATAGGCATAATCACTCTTCATTGTATTATATAGTGACAAACTCACCTGGTCATATACATCAATACATTGCTGCAGTGCTGTGCGGTTATCATGCATGGATAATGGATATTCTCTGCCCATTGTTTTCTGTGACATCAACAACAAAACACTCAGGGTATGTTTCTTTAAAAAAAATGAGTGCAGTAAACATTAATTTATAGCAGAATCTGGTAAATGAATGTGTAAATAGACATATAGTACTATTATGGTTACTGTGTTGTAAACTGACATGCCTGTATTCAATAATGCAATTTATTGTGGTAATATATGTGCTCATAATTGTTATAAAATGTATTGAAAGATTACTTATTATTCAAACTACCTAACATACCCTTTTTTCAAAGATGTAATATAAAGTCTCAGATGTCTCTAGAGTGTGTATGTGAAGTTTCAGCTCAAAATACACAACAAATAATGTTTTATAACTCTTTGAAACTGCCCCTTTTAGGTTTGATCCTAATTGTGCCATTTTGGTGACTGTTGCTTTAAATTCAAATGACATTGTGCTCTTTTAAAAAGAGGGCGGGGCTACAAATGCCTCTGTGTCAGCATAGTGGCAGATTCAAAGACAAGATTATTGTCCTATGCTAATGAGGAGAGATCATTGCTTGTGGGAGGGGCTTTCCCCCTCTGATGACATATACAAAGGGAGAAGGTCAATCAAAGTGTTTCTGCAGACTTTTTTTAAAAAGTGTGATTATAAAAAATAGAATTAATACTGTTTTACCATTAGAAGCTGGTTATATTCACAGACTGTTGCCACACAACTGTTTTTAAACCCTTTATAAAAGTGATTTTTGCATAATAGGTCCCTTTTAAAGACTTGTATTGGCAGTGGTGTTCATCAGAGCACTGAATACTTAAAAGTCTTACCCCGGTTTCACAAACAAGGTTTAAGGCTAGTCCAGATTAAATTGCATGTTTGAGCTGTCTCAACTCAAAATAACTTGCGGTGAGATGTCTAAAAATACGTCAGTGCCATTTTTTTTGTCTCCAGGTGCACACCAGTAATATATTTTTCTAAGGCTATTTGTTTATGAATGTGGCTTAAATAGTTTAATTTAACTAAGGCCTTGTCCTGGCTTAATATAAGCCCTGTTTGTAAAACTGAGCCTTAAAGTTCATTTTGCCAGCACACATTGTTATTATTTAGGTAAACAATTACTTGAGCAAGTGAATCCAATAAAAAAAAAACAATTATTTTGTTATCTTCAATCAAATGCGGTTCTTCACTGTTGACGCCAGTTTGACAGCTTCAGCTGCAGTAGTCTTAACCACGCCCCTCTTACTGTTAGTATGCAATGAGAAAAATATGCATAAAAAGAAAGCCCCGCCCCCTACTTAAAATTCTGTTTCAGTTGGAAGTACATCAACATACCTCATATGTTAACATAAATAAAATAATCTGACAATGAAAACAACTTAATCTTAGGCGATGCTCATTTTCTGCTGACATTTGAGAACTCATTAAAAAGCCATGGCGGTTTTATTTTATAGAGCTCATAGCTAATTAAGTTCAGTAGATATGTCTCATTAGATTTTTGTTAATGCATTACCTTAAGTTTACTAATGAGACTCTGTTGTAAAGCGGCACCTAGTGTTCTCTCCCTTTGCAATTGAAATTAATCATTTAATTAGTTTGAAAACATTTGTTTCCTCCGAGGCATTATGTTACTTCATTATAGTAGCTTGTGGGCAGCATGGTGGTGCAGTGGGTAGCACAATCGCCTTACAGCAAGAAAGTCGCTGGTTCGAGCCTCGGCTGGGTCAGTTGGCGTTTCTGTGTGGAGTTTGCATGTTCTCCTCGTGTTTGTGTGGGTTTCCTCTGGGTGTTCCGGTGAAGACATGCACTAGATGTGAGTTGGGTAAGCTAAAATTGTCCATGTATGTGAATGAGTGTGTATGGATGTTTTCCAATGATGGGTTTCAGCTGGAAGGGCATCCACATACGTAAAACATATGCTGGATAAGTTGGCAGTTCATTCCTCTGTGGCGACCCCAGATTAATAAAGGGACTAAGCCGAAAAGAAAATTAATGAATGAATTATAGTATCTTACCTTCTCAGGATTGATAAATACTTTGGGATATCGCTGCTCTGATGGTGTCAGTGGTTGAGAAACAGCATGTGCCAGTGCTGAACCTGTGCTGGTGCAAAGATGATGTGTCTGTTCGGTTTGTGAAAAACCAGTGTGGACAAACTGGAAAATAAGTGCAGACAGACTGGTCAAATAATCAACTCAGCTAACAAAAATTTAAATAAGCATAGACCACAAAAAAAATGTTTTAGGATTAGGATAGGACAATATGTGCAAATACGGACAACTTTGAATATCTGGAACATGAGTGTTAAAAAAATCTAAATATTGAAAAAATATTTTTTAAAAATGTGTTTTCTGATTGAAGTACTAAGCAATACATATTACAAACCAAACATTTAGTTTTGATATATCTACTGTAGGAAATTTACAAAATATCGTCATGGAATCTATGATATACTTTATTTTGATGGTCCCTTTAATGCAGGGATGTCAAACTCAATTCCTGGAGGGCCGCAGCCCTGCACAGTTTAGTTCCAAACCTAATTAAACACACCTGATCTAACAAATTGAGTCCTTTAGGCTTGTTATAAACCTACAGGTAAAGCTGCGGTCACACTAGAGTTTGTGCGTGTGAAATCCTGTCATGTGGAGCTGCGAAAAGGGGTGGGATTAAACAAGATGATTAGTCAATAAAAAAGCGAGCGATTGCTCCATGTTTTAAATTTCTGTCCGGAAAGGTCATGTTTTGATACTCGATTGGTCTCACGCAGTCAAGTGAGGCGATTTCGCAGGTCAGAGTTCACCAAGCTTGAACTTTACACAGCAGCAACCTGCGAAACTTGATGCATGACCCTGCTCTTCCGGTCTGACGCATTTGTGTGCCTATGAATGGAAGTCTATGGGAGGAAAAGCCCAGTGTGACCGCAGCATAAGTGTGTTGGAGTATGCTGTTTAATGCATTTTGTTGAGTTTAAGTTACATTGCATCTACATGCCAACTAATTCTCTATAGCGACTTCCAGATTCTTCCTAAAGTTGCTAGAGAGGCAGTGAGGGTCCTTTGAATTTGTGACGCGCTGGTGGCTTGGACAGACATGCAGAGCCCAAGACGTTATATTATAAAGTAATATGGCTCCTATATTCTCATTAGATTATTAGTGGACTGTTATGGTTGGGGTTGGGGTTAGTGTAAGTTGACTTGTAAAGTTGACTTGTAATGTACTTGCAAAGTTTCTTAAAGTCAGATAAATTTCTGTTGAAGGACCATTATCAGCAGATATAAGCAGACCGTCTACTACTCAAATGAGAATTAATTGGCATGCAGTTGCAATGCAACTTTTAGTCAACAAAATGTGCAATAGGGACCATCGAAATAGTGTTACCTAATCTTTATTTAAAGTACAATGTAAAATGATGTGTTGGAAAAATAATTTCTCAATGCCTATTTCTTAAAAACCACAAATGTATATATTTTTGTGCTAACATTTTGAGAACATTAATAAAGTCCAGAAACTTTTACTGAAAGTTTTACTTTAACTTACGTTTTAACATAACTAATATATTATCAAAACGTTTTGTTAAAGTTCTTGATATGTTATAGAAATGCTGTTTCTTAACGTTTAAATGCGTTAGGCTATAACCTTTTATTTCGGGAACGTAACATTAAAAGTAAACAAATAAAATAATTAAAAACGTTAAAATTTTATTTTTTTAAATGAGACTGGGTCATTTTGAATAAACGTTGCGTTCATGAACGAAACTTGACAAAAAGTTACTACCAAATGAGGCTAATCAAGTTCTGATGACGTAAACTGCGTCTGGAAAGAAAGAAAAAAAGAGTTAAAGTGCGGTTATCTTACCCAGTTTACACTCTTGTTCTTATTAAAGTATCTTTTGCCTCCTTTACTCATTGCGTGAGTTTTAATTTGAACAGTAAACTGTAGTATTTCTCCAAACGTTTATGACGCGACGGCCTGTAGGTGAACTCAGGTGAGAGCTGTGATTCTGTAACCATGGAAACAGAAAACACACACACACACACACACACACACACACACACACACACATACACGCCATTCCGACACAGCTGTGCGGTGAAAATAAACCAACAAACATAATCACATACATGTGGAGAAATCAAAAATATCTCATATCATATATATGATTTAAAATACCATAAACGAGCCAATATTTATGAGAATAACGTTACTTTCTGTATAATTAACAGCCTATATTCCTTTTGTGTAAAACGGTATTGTTGTTAAAAACACAGTAGCACTTTTACGAGCCTTTGCATTTTTTTACAGTCGCAGTCGTTTTATATAGTAGTATAACATTAGTCGTGCCGTGATGTGTATTAATTAAATAAATGCATACAATAGAACTGAACTCACAAAAATTGAAATATATCTAATAATAGATTTCATTATATTGAAAATATCTCTTGTTTATATTGTAAACATATTTAGACTATGCGTTTTAAATATATATTATAGGGAAGGGAATATTACCCTCCATTATTATATATTTAAAACACATCGTCTAAATATGATTTTAAATGCAAACGTACATAACATATGCAGCTGATATAATATGAAAACATCAATATATTCGAATAAGCCTTAAATGTAAGACTATGAATTTGTTTACACAGTTCTACTACACGTTTCTACTCTTTTCTAGAAAGTGGCGATGTGACGTCACGACCACTTCCGGGTGAGAGGCACAGTAAGTTTGGAGTGCTCTGAGAGAAGCTTCCAGCTGACAAGACATTGGATTTTCTGTCGAAAACACCGTTTATTTGTGTTTGTACAATGAGCGAGGCGTGATCGATTAACCTGACAGACGTGGATATGTCACAAAAATATCGACATTTAGCATAAAACGCTGGAGATATTTAAAGAAGCGACATGCTGTTCTGTGTAGTGCTGTAGTGGATGTGATGATGCATGTTGTTAATATGGTAAATTTATGATCAGTTTTGGTCTATAAGTGGAAGAATATTCGACTGTGTGTGTGTTTTAAACGTTACCTTTGCGTGATTCGTGGTTTTGTGGAGCTTCTGGATGGATGAGTGTGCTGAATATGAGCTCTCAGGATAAGACAGACACAGATCTTAGACAGGAGGAGGAACACAGCAGCTCTGAGGACAACAAACAGGTCTGCTATACAGTCTCTGTGTTACTTTAACATAATAATTCAACACTGTAAGAGACTCGCAGTAGAGTAAGACGATGCCTGCTGGCACACTGCAGCATTTCTGTTTGGCCTGTTGCATTGTTTGTGTGTGTGTGTGTACATGTTTTTGTGACACATCAGGACACAAATCTGTATAATGATATAGGTATAACACAGGTATTACAAAAATGTGATGAAATATGAGGCCATTGCTGACGTCCTCATTTCTCAAAAAGCTTATAAATCCCACAGGGTGAGTTTATTCAGAGAGTAAAGCTGCACACAGTCTTCTGTGATGGTTGGGTTTAGGGGTAGGGTGGGTGAGGACAATACAATATACGGTTTGAACAGTATAAAATGAATGGAAACCTATGTAGTGTACCCACTTTTCTCAAAGACAAACGTGTGTGTGTTTGTGTTTATGCTAAATAATGTTTATGGTATAATCTAGATCAGTGGTTCTTAACTGGTTTGGCCATGGGACCCACATTTTTACATGGTCATCGAGCCGCGACCCAAATTTTTAGGAACTATAATATAATTTTAGGAATTATAATTAATTTGTATGTATTTGTTAACATACACAAGTAGTGACAGATAAATCATAAGAAAATCACTTAGACTTACAAATAAACAATATTTTATTATTGTCATTAAACAAAATATCTCAAATAATAGAAATATTACAAATTAAAAATGTTTGGTTTCTAAAAGTGCTCTTGTGAGCGCAGATCACTACATATGACACCCTGAGGTTTTAAGCCTTTTTTTTTCATCAATATATGTAAATCCATACTTTACATATTCGGGGTCGTTCTTGCGCTTCGACTTATTTGTTGCTATAATTAAATGAAATTTCACATGTCAATCGGTACAGTTGTCACTCGCATATTTCAAAATAAAAGTCTTGTATAAGCAAAACAAGGTAAAAATGAAACATTTGTTGTTTTTTGACCACACACTCTGCGACCCACAGAAAATGTTCCCGCGACCCACCACCAGTTGAGAAACTGATCTAGATCAGTGGTTCTCAACTAGTTTGGCCATGGGACCCACTTTTGTACATAGTCATCAAGCCGCGATAATTTTAGGAATTATAATTCATTTGTTTTTATTTGTTAACATACACAAGTAGTGACAGATAAATCATAAGAAAATCACCAAGACTTACAAGTAAACAATACTTTATTGCTGTCATTTAACAAAATTTATCAAATGATAGTAATATTACAGAGTAAAAACGTCAAATACTGTAAACAGGGGTTAGGGTGAGGAAAAGTTCAGTTGTCGCACACGCATTTCAAAATAAAAGTCTGATATAAGCAAAATAAGAAAAAAATTAAATTCTAAATCTAGATGGGATATAGCTGCAAAAACTCACATTTTTGTAACAGTGTACAACAATAATTAATATTTTTTTTAATTAACGTGAGGGGGTAGACGTTAATAAAATTCAATCAATGTGTAATTTAATTTGAGAATGTAAGCTGTTACCTGAAAAGAAAGAAAGATAGAGGTATTTTTAGTAAATATTTTCCAGATAAAATAACTTTTTACAGCTTTTTAATCCAGTCTTTTAAAATGCAGTATATAGGAAAAGAGAAAGAAACTAACTTCTCTCTCCAAATATGTATAAATGTGACATCTAGCAATATAATTGTTGTATATGCAATGTATTTGTGTTAAAGGAGGGGGTTATTTGTCTGGGCAACAATGAAGTGAAGAGTCGTGCAGTAGTGAAGTATTCGGCTGCTCCTCCTCCCTCCTCCTATGCATTACTACAAGAGAAGACCGACCTCAAGCTGCCACCAGCAAACTGGCTGCGCGAAAATGCTCAGCTGGGACCCGCAGGGACCACCATACTCGGGTCCAGCCGGAAAAGCAAACCCTTCTCCAGGTATGACTGATGAATTAATCATTTATAGGTGAGGTATACATTTTTGTAGACATAGAAACGTATTAAAATGCAAGTAAAGTACACTTACAAATGTTTATAGAAATAGAAACATATTAAATGCAAGAAGAGTACACTTTAATGCTTTAAATAACGTTTGTAAAAATGTCAAAATATTAATAATAAGAAATTATGTTTCATCATAATTCTATAGATCTATTTATGTAAAAATGTAATAACTGCACACTTAATCTCACCTTTATTCGTTAAAATGTAGAAAAGAGTAAGTGATCATACAAACTAAGTTATAGTATTAAGACTTAAAATGGCAACTAATTAAGAATGTAATTATTTATTAATGATTCTTGTTATAATTATGCCATTTATTTTTGATTGTAGTTTTGGGATGGCGTTTGACTTCATTGACTGTATAGGTGATGATGTCGATGTTGTGTCTGATTCAGAGGTGAGTATGTTATATTGGTATGTGTATATGACACAATGAATACAGCATTCCGCTTGGTTATTAAATGCCTTTCTAATGTGGTCAAGTCAGAGGATAAATTTTAAAGGTATTTTCTGATCATATTTTTGTATAATGACAAATAATATAACTGGATGTTGTTAACCCATGTAAAGCAGTTGTGTGAGATTTTAGATAGGTCATATAATAAATACTTAATTAAATTATTTATTTACAATATAATTAGCTGTTTTTGGCTTTAGTAAGAAAAAAAAAATATTATATATATATATATATATATATATATATATATATATATATATATATATATATATATATATATATATATACACACACACACACACACACACACACACACACACACACACACACACACATATATATATATATATATATATATATATATATATATATATATATATATATATATATATATATATATATTAATCAGCATATTTAATTTCTGAATATTAGAATGTGACACTGAAAACTGGAATAATGATGCTGAAAATTAAGCTTTGACATTACAGGAAAAAAAACAATGTTAAAATCTATTCAAAATGTCAACTTATTTTAAATTGCAGTAATATTTCATAACATAACAGTATTTTTGTGTGTGTGTGTATATATATATATATATATATATATATATATATATAGTTTACAATAATTTATTATTATTATTTTACTTATCAGAACATCAAGAAGCTTCTGAAGATCCCGTACAGTAAATCTCATGTCAGCATGGCTGTTCATAGAGTTGGCAGCACTTTACTGTTGGACGAACTGGACATTCAGGAGCTCTTCATGAGGTCATCACAGGTAACTGGAAAAAGGGACTTATTTCTATAGCTGGACTAAGGGCCATATTAACAGCTTGCACCAGCACAAACAGATTTTTTTCAGGATTTACTAAATACGCACAGTGAGGAATTAGTGCTGAAAAGGCATGATGAGCAGTTGTTTTTGTGTCTGACCTTATTGAATGTGCATTTGTTGCTACAGTTACCCTTTCAGAAGCAATTGTATTTGAAGGAGTCACAATAAAATTTACTAACGTTTGCAATCTTCCGTTTATCTGTATTGAGCCATTACCTAATTACAGTACTTTAGCTATGATGACTTAATTCCAACCAAAGAGTAAAATATAGAGTAGGGGGGTGGGGTTTTTGCTTTCTACCAATCACTCACAGCAAAGTAATGGAGGGGCGGGGCTAAGCACATTTCATCGAAGCCACCAAACTGACACCGTCAGAGATTGACTGTTGTTTCAGAGTGGAAGCAAATGGCCAGATTTGGATTAAAGATTACCAAAACAAACAGGCTGTTTCTCATTATGCGTTCTTAAGCGATCTTCTGTCCTTGTGTCATCAACCACCAAAGTTCAGCTCCAAAACTCTAGACCACAAGAACAGAGGACGCTTGACAAAGCCCTGATGCATTCTTGATATTGAGGATGCACTGATGCAGACTTGAGCGCAGTACAAAACTCTGAAAGCTCCAGAAGTAATTATATATAAATAAGGCTATATAACGGAGGTGGGAAGTGCAGCATTTTATAACCGTTTATTGTTAAAGTTCAATGATATAACTTATTTATCTTAGGAGTTTTCCTACATGAGAAGGTGAAAGTAAATATTAATAAGAAAATATTTATAAAGGCATAAACGCATTAAGAGTGTTTATTTGCTGAAATTTATATTAAAATTGGTTATAATTGTATTGTGCAAAGAGTTTTTGTAAGGCTTTTGTGCATATATATATATATATATATATATATATATATATATATATATATATATATATATTTGTGTGTGTATGTGTATATATATATATATATATATATATATATATATATATATATATATATATATATATATTTTTTTTTTTTTTTTTTTTTTTCACAAAAGGGATCGTTGTATGTAATGTTTAAATAATTTTCTGTTTAAACGCGCGAAGATCATGTGACCATCAGCAAGCACGCAGCATCTCATTCCTAAAAGGACGAGTTCTCTGTTCATTTGTTCGTTCTCCCGAGGTAACTTGGCCAGAAAGGCCTTCCCGATAATGCGGGGTCAATTTACTAGAACTTCTATGTTAAGCTGCTTTGACACAATCTACATTTTAAAAGCACTAAAGAAATAAAGATGAATTGAGTCCTTTCTCTGCGTTCTTGGAATTGAGAAACAGACAGTTTTTTTTCTTTCCAGATTTGCACAGATTAATGTTCACCTTAAGACTAACATGCACTAGCAAAATAAATATTTTACATTTTGATTTCATGCAGACTTTAAGCTCTCTTAAATATAAAACTGAGTTTTTAAGCCATGTCAGGTTTCTTAAATTTGACATATATTACCAAATTCCCAGCGTCAGTTTATAATGCTTTCTTTTTTTTGTAACTGCACATTTTTCCAAAAAAAAAAAAAAAAAAAAAAGGTATGGACAATATGGTGGTTGCTATATAGAAGTATTTCTTTTCCTCAGATAATAAGCATAGGGTCTTCTTATGTTCCAAAGCTCTGATTTGCATTGTGCTTTTTCTATTACATTGGTTGATATGTAAATAAGATGTTACGTCGTTGTTCTTTAATTTGCATGTTGCCAGTAAATCATCTCCAGAAATTTCCACACTGATCTGCTCTATTTTAGACTTTTTAGGCTTTCATGCTAATTTGCATTGTTCACTAAATCTGGCCCTAGATTTCATTCAGGCCCCTGCATCTCCATTTTACCTTTAAAGGACAATCCACCAATTCCTAAAGCACACTGCTGAGTTTTACACTTTTGTTTCGGAACGTGTCTCGTTTGCCTAGTTAGCGCGGTTCGAGTGGCATATGTGAACAGGGCAATCGCGCTCTGTTCCGCGCCAAAGTAATCGCTCCAAGATCGCTTGAGTGAGGTGGTCTCGGCTCGATTGAAACGAACCCTGGAGCGGTTCGATTGCAGTGAGAAAGCGATCCGATCCGAGCGCGGTTATATCACAGTGTTTTATGCATATGTAATAGGCTTACGGCTATATGAAGAGAGAGTTATGAGTAGGGCGGGAAGTTTCGCGAGTCTCCGGATGCCCGCAAACGAGTGATGATCTCCCGGTAATCTTGCGTCTCCCTCCCTCAAATAGGCATCGTCGCGCACCCTTCTCACCCCTCCCCACCGCGTCTCTCCTCAGACATGTCGCGCGCACGCACCTTGTCAATCACCACCAAACCACCACCTCTCCTGACAGCTAGGCGTGACGCTGCAAAATAAACCGTGACACTCTGACCAATGTAAGGAGAGTTTACTCGCACGTGACTTGTTTTAGCTCTTTTGGTCCGTTTAGAAACTTTGCAGTGTGAAAGCGAACCGCTCCAAGAGCAAATAGCAACAATGTAACAATTGTAATCTCTGTTTCGGAACAACTGAATCGATTCACAGGTGTGAAAGCACCCTTATAGTAGTATAACATTTATATATGCCTTTTAAAGTGTTAATAGTGTGCATAGTACCATCCTAAATATTATTTAAAATGAATATATTATTGCGTCTGCTTTCTAGACTAATGACTGGACGTGGCTGAAGGAGTTTTACCAGCGTCTTATAGACCAAAAGTGGCAGAGAAAGAAGAAAAGTAAAGAGCACTGGAACGAGAAGGCCATCCTCTCCAAATTCCTCTATTACAGGTCAGTAATAGAGACTTCACACCGATTCCATCCTACAAAAGCATTGATCACATTGACTTACAGCCACAATGCTCTTCTGTGTTGCAGTATAAACAGTGATGGGACTGCAGTGTCTGTGCCGTCAGATACAGAGCAAACAGGAGACGAGGGGTGTGGGGCAGGAACTGATGGACCCTCTTGGCCTGCGACTTTCAGCAGCTCCACCACTGATTCAGAAGAGTCTGCACTGCCCAAAGAGGTGTGTTCAGCTCTCATCTGCTTCTCATTTCTTTAATGTTTCTGAAGTTTAATGTGGATCACTTGTGTCTTTCAGGAGCAGGTGGACACATATGCTTTAGGTCACGTGTCGTCGGTTCCCAAAGAACAGAATCTACCCACGCTGTTTAATGAAGGAGAAAACAGTCAGGTAATGGCATTTATCCAACATGAACTAACCCTTTAATGCCAAAAAATTATATACAGTTTGTTACGTCCCGACCAGTCTAGGATTGGCAGGAACAATAACAAAAGTATAATTGAAACTTTTAAATAATAAATTTAGGGTTTCCCCTTCTCCTGTCCCAGCCCACAATAATCATAACCATTTTATCATGGAATAACAAGGTTTATTTATTTTTTTATCCATCACTTTAACTTGCTGGGAAATAATCCTAACTTACCTGCTAAAATAAAGAACCCCAAATAAACCTACAACAAACTTTCCTTTGTCCCTTACTGCCACAAACCAGGAGAAAATTGATTTTTAAAGTAAATGGCGATTCCCAACGTACAGCTTCAATTATTCAAAAATAATATATAGTTTTAATATAAGTGAAAACAAAGCACGGGCTTAGGTGAAATACGGCGAGCAGTTAGAAAAGAAATAAAGACTTGTCAGCTAACGGAATCAGCCAATCACACCACACTAATGCAACATTATAATATTATATATATATATATATTATATCAAATAAATGAACAAATAATTATTACGTTCAATAATGTAACAAGTTGAAGTCAGAATTATTAGCCCCTATGTTTATTTTTTCCCTAATTTCTATTTATCGGAGAGATTTTTCAACACATTTCTAAACATAATAGTTTTAACATCTCAGTTCTAATACCTGATTTATTTTATCTTTGTCATGATGACGGTACATAATATTTGACTAGATATTTTTAAGACACTAGTATTCAGCTTAAAGTGACATTACAAGGCTTAACTAGGTTAATTAGGCAGGTTAGGGTAAATAGGCAAGTTATTGTATTACGATGGTTTGTTCTGTAGACAATTGGAAAAAAATATAGCTTAAAGGGGCTAATAATTTTGTCCATAAATTTTTTTTAATGTCTTAAAATAAAAAACTGCTTATATTCTAGCCGAAATAAACAAATAAGACTTTCTCCAGAAGAAAAAATATTATCAGACATACTGTGAAAATTTCCATGCTCTGCATCATTTGAGAAATTAAAAAAAAAAAAAAAAAAAAAAACATTGAAAGGGGGACTCATAACTCTGACTTCATCTGTATATATGTATATATTTGTTGCAAAATTATATGTTTTATTTCATTAAATGTTTTGATATGATATACGTTTTGTTAATTATATATTTTAAAGAAACCCAGAACCACATTGTACATCACAATTCATGTATGTATTTGTACTCTCTCAGGGTTTGAGAAATGACTTTGTCCGAAATATTTTATGGACATTTGAGGACATCCACATGCTTGTGGGATCAAATATGCCAATTTTCGGAGGTGGACGATACCCAGCAGTCAGTTTACGTCTCAGGTTAGAGTACATTATTTTAGTTTTTTGTTCATTTTTTTCATGGTATAAATATATTATTATAAATTGCATTTGAAGGCTAAACCTAAATGTTTGCAGTCACTCAGTAAGATTTTCTTTACAAAATATGCATGTTTATTTATCAAGGCCCCAAAAAAATTACCAAAAGTGACATTAAAAGTGGTACAAAATCTCACAAAAGGGTTATATCTAAAATAAAGGCCTTTCTTATTCAGGACAAATCCTGTAAAAAAATGAATCAGAGTTTTCACAAAATTAGTTTCTTTTTCTTTGAGTGGCCAATCATCATATGAATCAGGATTAATGGATTCTTAAGCTTTACTATCACAAGAAGAAATGCCATTTTTTTATATTATACTAGAGAAAACAATCATTTTAAATAGTAAGAGATTTAGATTAATAAGAGTAATACATTTGCTGTATTTTAATTAAATCAAACACAGCCTTCATGCACATGAGTTAAAAATCTTACTGACTTTTGAAATGGAATTATGTATATACCTATTATACCTTTTATGCTTCTTTTTCCAAAATGTAAAATGAGTTTCTGATGTCCCGTCCCTAAAGTGTGTATGTGCATTTTCAGCTTAAAATACCACACAAATAATGTTTTAAAACTCTTTGAATTTGCCTCTTTTAGGCTTTGATACTAATTGTGTTATTCTGGTGACTGCCGCTTTAAATTCAAATGAGATTGTGCTCTTTTCAAAAGAGGACAGAGCTACAAATGCCTGTGTCAGCATAGTGGCAGATAAAAAAAAAGAAAGAATAACGTCCTATGCTAATGACGAAGAGATCGTCAATAATGAGCGGGGCTTTTCCCCTCTGATGACACGTACAAAGAGAGAATATCAATCAAAGAGTTTCTGCAGAAAAATTAAAATGAGTTTTTATTATTAGAGGCTGTCTATATTCACACACTGTTGCCATACAACTGTATTTAATCCCCTAAGTAATTTTTGCATAATAGATTCCCCCTAATTATTCTAATTTTACCTCATCATAACAGGGACAACAACAAACCAATCAACGTTCTCACAGGAATTGACTACTGGCTGGATAATTTGATGTGTAACGTACCAGAGCTGGTCATGTGCTTTCACGTCAATGGCATTGTTCAGGTAAGAACATCAAATCCACCTGTTACATTCATGCACTTGTTGATGTTCAATAGTATTCAATTTCCAGATCAATCAATCAATCAATCAATCAATCAATCAATCAATCAATCAATCAATCAATCAATCAATCAATCAATCAATCAATCAATCAGAAAATCAATCAAGTGATATCAATTAGTGTTAAAGCACTTTACAAGCACCCAAAGTGCTAATAACTCTCTTTGTGTACAGAAATATGAAATGATAAAAACAGAGGACATCCCCAATTTAGAGAACTCCACATTCTCCACGCGGGTTGTGAAAGACATTGCTCAAAATATCCTGTCGTTCCTGAAATCAAACTGTACCAAAGAAGGACACACGTACTGGCTCTTCAAGGGTAGGTGGCTGACAAGCTGATGTTTGTTATCAACTGTTACTTCCAGTGGGCATACAACGTGGGTTTTTTAATTACAAATGTCCATGTGTTCATTCCTCCAGCCAGCGGGAGTGACATTGTGAAGCTGTACGACCTCACTACACTGTGTGAAGAAGCAGCAGAGGAGAAATGCCAGAATCCCTTCACACTTCCAGTAGCCGTGCTTCTCTACAAGTATGTTTTGCACTCGTTAGCACTAGTGCTGTCAGCAGATTAACATATTGAAATGTTGCACTGACTAATTTTAAACCCATTATTGCACACAGTCACATCACAATAATAATCATTTTTCAATTTTTTGTGTATATATTATTTGAAAACTGAACATTTTTTATTCATAGTATCTAATTTTTGATAGACATTAGCCCCTTTCACACAGTGATACCGGTAAATATCTGGAAAATTTCCGGAACGACTTTACCGGTATATTCAAAAAAGCGCTGTTCACACAGACGAGGACGTTACGGAAATTTTCCGGAAAAGAGCATTCACACATCCATTCCAAAATACCGGTAAATTCTGACATAATTTACCACAAATGAGCTTTAAACGGCTGCGCTTGTATTTGTAAACATTTGACTAAATTACAAACTCTGTGAATGATCAATATTGTAAACAACTATCGCAGGATCACTTTCGCATGTCGAGATGTTCATAATATGTGCGTGTGCAGGCGCTCACAGGCTGTTTCATGGGCACACGCAAAGCTTGAAGGTAAACGAACAATGGCTTATCATAAGCATCTCATCGATGATTATTTACACAGTTGGCATTAAGAAGAACATATAAACGTGATCTGACTAACTTCTAGCAGCTAAATGTGTCTGGAAAAATATTCAAAGGCTTTTATTCTCACAAACCGCGTGGACTGTTGTGATTGGCTAAAGCAGACGTCTCACGTCAGCACGTTCTAGACGTGCACGCGCTTATTACGGTAATCTTACTTCTGCATTCACACAGCGCAGCATTCCGGCAAATTGCCGGTAATGTTACAACTTCTCTTTCCGGAAAATAGCCAGAACGAATTTACCGGTATTTTCAAAAAGGACCTGTTCACACATACAACCTGTAGGTCTGTATGTGTGAAAGGGGCTATTAGTAGGCAATAGTATTTTATTACCCATCAGAGATGTAAAGCAATTTCAGAGAATTTGACTACAACACGCTAAATGTAAAACTACGGTAAAAACTCCTATTCAAGTGTTAAATTTTTTTTTTGAGAGAACTATCTTTTGAGAAAAGAAAGGTGTGGAAATATAAAAACAGATTATTGATTTGTGATATTCAGTGGCAACTAAAACACACATACTGGATCATTTTCTGTGTGTGTTGGAGTCTAAATTCAAATCAAGCCACTATTAAACCATCACTAAACAGCCCATGCTACTATTGAAAATGACATCTACTTCTTAAAGTAGACATCTACTTCTTAGTGGGTGCCTAAAGTAGTCCTGTCACAATAAGTCATTTTTGTTCTGTGATATATTGTCACAGAAATTATTGCGATAAGTGATATTATTGCCATTTTAAGACCATTTTATGCCACTTATTATTATATAAAGATTTTACAAAAGCATAATAATGCAGATAGACATAAACGCTTTCAAGGGACATGCTATTGATTTAAAAAAAGTGATAGTTCTAATATAAACTAGACACCTATTATGTAAAAGACATTTTAAAATGGCTTTAATTTTATTTGTGATATATTCACATTGTTGCCACACAACTGTGTTTAAACCCCTTATGAAAGTGGATTTTGCATAATAGCCCGCCTTCAAAATATACTTTAAAATGCTTACACAGTCACATGCTGTAAAAAATACACATAATTGATAAGCTTTGACTTTACTGGGGTTCAATTAAAATGACTCCACAATTGTATTTGGTCAACTGTAATCCCGCCTCAATATTATGCATCCTGCAATGTGATTATAGTGGATTCACGTATAATTGCTAAAATGATAAATTCTGCAGCCCTAATAAGTAATAATAGTGGGTGTCTAAGTTGTTTTGTTTGACAGAGTGGCCAGCAACATGATGCTAAAGAAGAGCCAAAACCGGAAGATCTATGGGACAATCAGAACTCTACTGCTCAACTGTATTAAACTGTTGGATGAGGACAGACATCCACAGGTATGTATCTTCATTATATCACTAATTATGATTTTTCTGGTGTGGTTGCATGATTTCTGACCGTTTCCTTGCGTTTGCTGGTGCAGATCATCGCTTCGGCTCACTACATGCTGGCAGAACTGTTTCAGCTGGATGATGTGAGTGAAGACGAAGGCAATGGGGAGTCGCTGAGAGGAGGAGGATCTGAAGACAGCTACAGTGATGAAGATGAGGAGGATGAGGAGGAAGATGAAGACGAGAGATGCTCCTTCAGCACTGCCTCTGAACCGCAGCACGACTCCAAAGCTGTGGCCGTCATCAAGTCTGTCGGAGAGCTTTCGGTTCCAGAGAAATACAAGAGCACGCATCAGATCAGAGTACGAGATTGATTCAATTCTATTTATTTATTTATTTTTAAATAATCGCTTATCAACAAACACAAAGTACATAGAGCAGGTTTAACAATAAACAAAAAAGGCCAAACTGAGATTAAATATACATGTATGTAATTATGTGAGGTGTAGGGATGCTCATTTGGGTTAGTTTTGCAGACAACCGCCACTCTTAGGGTGCTTTCACACCTGCCTTATTTAGTTCGATTGAATCGCACTAGAGTTCGTTTCCCCTTTTGGTACGGTTCGTTTGGGCAGGTGAGAATGCAGCAATCGTACTCGAGTGCGTACCTAATAAGCGTACCGAGACCTACTTTTAGAGGTGGTCTTGGTACTCTTTCAAACGAACCCTGGAGCGGTTCGTTTGTGGTGAGAATATGATCCGTACTAAAACAGGTCCAACCGCAAAAAGTACTGCGCGTTTGGACTAATCCAGCTGCGGTAGGCCGATGCGCTGTGCATTATGGGATATGGAGGAAAAATATTTGTTGACAGCACTTTACCAACAGAGAGAGAGAGAGGGGAAAACATTACCTGATGGATCGTTGGTAATATTTCCGCAAGATGACCATGTTGCAGTTTAGCTAAATTAATTCACGGCTCCTCCTGAAGTGACGAGTGATGCATTAAACACTGTTCTCCAGCCGTGGCCGCGCTTCATTATCGTAATGTATAGTTTGTCTAAAGCAGGGATACAATCAGCCAGCGCAGTCATCCCTCCAGAGTTAAAGATTTTGTTTACCTGTGGGAGTTCACTGGCATTTTCCCGCACGTGAATTCTGACCAATCAATAAGCAGTTTAGGAAATATGTTAAACAACATCTGGCCAATGAGAGATGTGGATTTTGTCAGATGACGGCATTTTGGTTTGTTTCAACTGGTTCGGACCAAAGCCAGCAGTGTGGTGTGAAAACGACCCAAAGACGGCAGAAGATGCAACAATGCGTCATTTATTGTGCTTGGTCCGGACCAAATGAAGCGAACTACAGATGTGAAAGCACCCTTAATGGAATATTAGCGGTTAATTAGTCAGATTAATATTTAATTATTATTTAATAAAAAAAAAACTGACGCGTCTATTTTGTGTGACACATTAAATTTAGCATTTTTAAACACTGATTTATTTTTTAAATGCGAACATATTAATAACAACATAACAGAGCATCTTCACACACCTGCAATGTTTCCAACAGCATAGAAAAAAGAAAAAACTAAATTAAAACAATAAATAGGCTTGCCCTAGATATTTTTCACTTAAATGACAAAACGAAAACACTGACCGAATCCTTTTTAAGAACCCACATAGGCAGTTTTTTCCCCATCATGTTCTTTTTATCTGTCAAATAAAAATAGCAGGCTACCTCAAATTGATCGCTCCTCTGAAAATATACATTTAATCAATGCTCCGCTGTTATCATTATATCGCAAACCTCTGTCAACATTTTTAATCAGTCATAATTTTAAAGACTACCGTGTTTACTCTAGGATTTTTTCCAACTGTGGCGGCAGGTCTTTTACACAAATCTATCAACTACCTATGCCGTTATTTCAATGACAAACTTGAGAAATGTCATGAGCGCAGTATTACAAGCCGAGATCGCATTTATGTAATACGAGCATGCAAATCTTTTCCGATTTCCTTTGCTCGTGCACAAAGCTTCTTGCACGCCCTTAAATATACGCAGAAATTTTCTTGTGCGCTCTCAAATAAATGTGCTGAAGTGCAATTTAATGCGTTTATGTAACAAGTATGTCTCCAACATTTATAAGATTTGCGAGGAATATTTATGAATTTCTCCAGTACACCTACAGAGCGGCATTAATGCATCCTGAAGTAAAGTGAAACGACAATAAACTCCAGCAAGATAATGTCATAATATGCAGAGCCCAAGACCTTTATCTATAAATAAAGTATAATTATGGAAACTGTGTTCATCTTAACTGAAAGCTACGCTGTGTTTGTTGGCCTCACGCTTCACACACCTGTCAGTCAGTCTGTCAGCACATCACCTTAAAGGGTTAAACCAATAACGCGCAGGACTACTATGGTTACAAAAAAGCTAGCGTTGTTATAATTCACATACCTTTTAATGCGTTTTGGTGCGTTTATAACCTGCTATTAAAAGCAACAACAATGACTGAATGTTTTGAATGATAAGCTGTAATGTAGCCGTGGCGGGATGAATTTTGCAGAATGATTGTAGCAGAAACCATGGACTATGTCTTGTGCGTCTAGATTTATCTTGGAGCTTGTGTGCTTTAATTTCATCTCTCATTTACGGTTCTTATGCGCTCACTGCCTGTGATGAAAGACAATGACAAGGCTCATATGTTGACTTTTTGTAAAATATAGCCTACTGTAGCATATAACAGTTTTGTTGTTTACATATGATATTGCATTCATTTGCATGTATGTTTTATAAGTTATTAAATGAAAGCCTCAGTGCATTACGCAAGAGTCATCATTATGCAAAAATCAAGAAGATCATTGGATTTGTTTGATTAGGCTATGTAGGCTATTTAAAAAAATGAATATTTTATAGGAAGTATTAATAACTGTAATTTTCCAAATGGAAAAAAAGGTTGGTTTGTTGGTTGTACACTAAATTATCACAACTATAGCCTATTTGTTGTGTTTATGAGCGATACAGGAGAGCGTTATGATGTAGAGAAAACTTGACTTGTGGCCGGCTTGTTTTCAGAAGCAGCACACATTTCAAAAAGTTTTTTATAGCGGCTTCTTTCTCCAATTGTGCAAATAAACAGAGATGTTTATTATTCGGATCCAGGACAGAGGCGCTCAACATCATGCAATGGTTTGGCATTAACTTGTCTGTGTCAAACTGTGACCAGCAATATCCTTCTTTCATTTTGCCTCTCTGTCAAAATATGTCTTTGTGCACATGTGGCACGTGTTTCTATGCCGCGAGTTAACAAATATGTGTTGCACATTAATGGAAATTTAAAAAAAATAAATAAATAAATGTATCGTTAAACTGATACTGATTAATCGGTTAAAAACACATCCTTTCGGTTAACGGCGACTCGGTTATTATGAGCATCTCTAGTGAGGTGTCAGTGTGTGAGTTCTATGGGCATTGAATGTGCTAAATTGTGTATGAGTTTTGAATTTGGAAAGGAGTTAAAAAGAGGACAGAAAGCATGGTTGTTTGTGGAAGAGTGCATGGGTTGAGTTCAGGGCAGTTGAAATATATTAAAATATTGAAGAAATGGATTCCAGATATTGGTAAAGAGGACAAATTTTTACATGTGAATGTAATATGTAGGATTATATTCTATACAGAGATTAGTCCAGTGGTTAATATGAATCCAATTTTAGTTGATTAAAATGTTTTTATTTTTTTTTATTTTGGCTATATGAGGGAAATTAAGATTCGGTTTTTATACTTTTTAGTAAGGTTATCAGTTTCTGTGATATTGCCAAGTAAGCAAAGTGATTTAGTGTAATTCTATTCTGTTTGCTGTTTATTCATTATATACAGTAGTCAACATTTGAAGTGGTTCAAAACCTTACATCAAAGTTGTCCTAAAACCATTCAACAACACCCATTCTTGGCAATTTTGACAAACATTTTTGATTCATTCAAATGTTAACTGCTTTATTATTGAATATAAGCTGTCTGAACAGTTTTTTTTGCTGTCTACCTTGGATAAATTAGCTTAATTAAAATTAAAATTAACAAACATTAATAATGTTCTGCCTCTCCTTCCAGCCAAACTTTGCATATCCTGTTTCACAAGACAAGGAGGAGAAGTGCCGACTGGTTCTCAGCTACGTTTTAAAAGTGAGACTTTCATATGCATTTCCCTTTTTCTTTTGTGTAGAGTGAGAAGAACGCTCTGTCTGTCTGTCTGTTTCTCTATCTGGTTGCAAATATTCATAAAATAATTCCTAACAAACTGTACGTCATTTAAAAGATAAAATAATTGTATTTTTCATAGTTGATTTTTGATTCACAGTAACCTAATGATAGACTTAATGATACTAATTTTCAGTGCTGTAGCGAATCACAAATTTCACAGTTCGGATTACAAATGTCATTTTCTTTCCATTTATTACAAAAACAGTACTGCAAGAAACTTTTGGTTTTAACAAACAAAACTTGCAACCTGTAATTTTATTAAAAATAAAATGAAGAAATGATCAGCTGAATGAAAATAAATCGTAAAATATTTAGTACTGTTAAAAATTCACTGCTACTTCTACTTTTGCTGATAAAGCAAAATGTAGAAATCTAGCATTATAATTTGTACAACTCATATTTATTTTTAGTCTCATTTACAATAAATGATTCAGTTATTCACTCATGAAGCCTCATGTTTTATTGCTAGATGTGTCATTTTTGAAGAACTATTCAGTGACATATTTTTAATAGCTGGTTGTCGCCGCCTATTGGTTAAATAATGTAAGTGCTGCCCTCAACTTTCATTTTTGAATGTCGAGTTAAATGATGGTGATTTTAATCTTAACTATAAACATCAGTGGTTTTATCTAAACTATAAACTGTTATCCCAGTACTTCTGTGTTATTTGACTGTTTGTAAGTTCATAACTAGCTCAAAAGATTAAATACTGACTCTCTTTCTTAATTTTTGCGTTTTTCACAAATGCAGTGATTCGAAGGATTAATAAACATGCAAATCACCTTCATTTATAATTTGCTTCGTGGGTGTTGATATCCTGATCTTTTAATGATTAATCGTGCAGCTGACACTGAATGCATTGATGCAGGGTTAACAAGTAGTAACAGAAAACACCTTTAATAACCTAAGAAACCCACCACAACTTCAATCATCATATTTTACAGGAAAACCCAAATGCTATCATACATGTTATTTGTATGACATGAGAAGCGATCTCTCTGCAATCTTTACAAATTAAGCATTAAACTTCAAGTTAAAAAAATGAATTAATCAGTGGGTCACGTGTGTTCCGAACGTGGTTTGTTATCCGTACGAATCACGGATCAACCATAATCTGTTACACCCCTAGTAGTTTTTGATATAGACAGTACTAAGCAATAGTAGTAATTATTTTCAATAAGATAACTCATCCAAGCCATTTCAGACCATTTTGCTGCAGTACAACAAACTAAATGTAAAATCATGATAGAAACCTCTGTTAGTTTTCATGGCAAGAGTTATAAAAATAATGTGTTTTATATTTTGAGGAAAGAAGGTCTGAATATGATTACAGATTATCAGTTTGTGATTCAGTGCCAACTGTAACACATTATGGGTTCTTTTATGTTCATCTATTTGTCTTTCTGTCTATCTAAAAGTTAAAAAAGTTATTTTATTTATGCAGATAATATATATATATATATATATATATATATATATATATATATTCGCCAACAAAGGCATATTAACATCTCAGAATAACACCAAAATCTCCTAATGGCACAACAGAGTTCAATTTTATAATGAAACGATTCAGTGTTTTTGAACAAATCGATTGAATAAATGATTCAGCGAAGACAGAACGTTGTTGTGTGGTGTTTTTAATCTGTATTTTTACATTTTTTAAATCTAAAACTTGCTTAAAATGCTCAATTTAAAGCCAAAATAAGAAAAACAAGGAGCATCTCCTCATCGCTGACTACCACATAAACAAAACAAGCATGTCTCATAGTTTATGTTGGTATTTTTACTTATCCTTTCCTTTCAGACCTCCTCATTGAGACTCGAAAGCTCAGATACAAAAACTACATGTCGACCAGAGCATTTTTGCACAGCTGAAAATATCTATGAGTGCTTCTCCAACTGTTCACGTTAAATGGACCCTCAAAACCTTGGATTTCTAAAAAATGTGGCACTCTTATTGACTACAGTTAAAAAAAATATGGTCTGCTCAGGGAAAAAAAAACTACGATTCAGCGGACATGTGCCCTAGAATTTTAATGTCTGTCTGTGTGTGTAGGGTCTGAAAGCAGTGGACAGCAGCATAAAGAAAGAGAGCGACCTTCCTGCAGCCGATCCCAGCACACCCATCCCACTAAAATATGAGGAAAGAAGTCCAAATGGAGCTAGAGAGGTGGAGCAGGAGATTGCTTTACTGCTGGATAGAGGTCAGTAATGCTTTCCATTCATTACTCAAGAAATGATTTCTCTTCCACTAAGTGATAGTTTTATCTTCAGATCAATTACTAATCAAGATCAATTACTGTTTATTTTGGGGTATACAGTTGGCCCATGTAACGAAGAGTTGAAGGTGCCGACACGCTCCGGGATGTTACCAGGCACATGGCAGCATCGCATGAAACTCCAGCTGTTCCTGAAAGCATCGAAAGCGTATTACGTTTTGTCAGATGCTGCGACCAACCTACTGAAGTACGGCCGGGCACTGCGCTACATCAAACTGGCTCTGCAGTGCCACGGTAAGAACCAATAATAGTTTTCAGTCAGTTTGATATGTATGTATATACAGTTTAAGTCAGAATTTTTAGCCGTTACTATATTATCAGCCGAATTTTTAGCAGTTTTAGTGCATAGTGTTTCTGTTTCAGCAAAGATTTAATGCACTAGGTCAGTTGAAAGGAAGTGATTATCTAAATTAATGAATGCAGTTTCTCGATTGTAGTGCTTTGTTTTCTTTGGGAATGTACATTTGACAATATCCCAAATTTAAATCATTCCAGTTTAAGAGGTCAAGGGCTTGTTGGGTTGACCTAGGGGTGTGTTGTTGTTCTTTTGACATATCCTTGTGTGTATTGAACAATTCATGTTTGATATTCTTGTGATATGCCGTCTGTCACCGTTTTTTTTTTTTTTGTGCACTCCATTGGTGACTGTGTGTGCTTAAAAAGATATTATTCCTTCATTTTCTTATGGCTTAGTCCAGTGGTGTCAAAGTCAATTCCTGGAGGGCCAGAGCCCTGCACAGTTTAGTTCCAGCCCTGCTTCAACACACCTATCTTTAGGTATCAAACAAGCCTAAAGCCACTCTCAATAATATCAAATCTCAAAATATTCCATTCCCCATTGATAAAATACATAATTTTACATCACTGTATATTAGTGATTATAAAGATTATTTAACCATTTCAAATTGACAGCACAGCTGGCATGGTGTTTTATATATATATATATATATATATATATATATATATATATATATATATATATATATATATATATATATATATATATATATATTTATTTATTTATTTATTTTATTTTTTATTTTTTTAAGAAATTAATAACATTTATACCTCTTTGGTACAGAACTGAACAAGACACTCGATCCTATGTCTATAAAGAGACTCGGCATCATCTCCTATCTAGCAAAAAAATGCATTTTGCTCAACTGGAACCAACAAAAACCTCCAACATTTGAACTCTTTATAAAACTCTTGAATGAAACAATGCCCTTGGAACAATATACATACTACTTAAAAAACAAAGGGGATGCCTTTCAAAAAATATGGATGCCTCTAATGATCCTCTGACTCTATGAACACATCTGATGTATTTTCACAATATGTGTGACCTTAATCACTGCATAACTTTGTGTATTATGTTTTATTTTTATTTTTTTTGTATTTTGTTGGTATGTTTATTTATTTCTTTATTATCATTATTTTGAAATAATTTAATTATAGATTTTTTTTCTCTTTGCCTTTTGCTGCTATATTTGTCTACTGATATATTTGTCTTTGCCCTTTTTTGTTTACGTTTGTATGTTCATTAAAACCAATAATAAAAAAAAAAAAAAAAAAGAAATTAATAACATTTTAAATTGACTGACATCTGTAAATTACATATACTTTGAAGTTATTGTTTAGCAATAATCCTTGAGAGTTGTGCCAGTATCAGGGCTCGAAATTAACTTTCTTACTTGGTAGCACCGGTGCTCCCAACCTGAAATATTTAGGAGCACCAGAAAACATTTAGGAGCACCCACCAAAAATGAATGATATATTTGACAAGTTGTATATTAAGGGATTTATTGTATTTGAAAACAACATCAATTGGGACTAACAAAACCCAGAAACAACTATCTAACTAATGCTGTGATGACTTAATATTTGTGCAATAATTCCAAAATGAATGTTGTATAATTATAAAATATTAATGATGACGATGATGACAATAATACTAATAATGAATTATATTTCTCATCATCATGCTGCCTTGAATGTGCTTTAATGTAAGTTATGCTATATAAAGTCCTGCTGTTACTTTATGAAAAATAAATTGATGGTTTGCATCAAACACAAATGAAGCATTGTAGTAAGAAATATTTGTTTTGTACTATTGTTTTTATATGCATGTCAATTTAATAAATAATAGTTCTGCTACAAAACAAACAAAATAATATAATAAATCATTCAATCCAATACTGAAAGCTGCAAAGCAGTCATCAGCAATTAAATAGAAAAATAATATACACCTCAAGAAAGAACAGACAAAAGATAGCAAGAAAAGTCTCACTTTTAAAAGTTTTGGTTTCGGTTTGTGTCGTTTTAATGCTCAGCTTCGTTACGCGCTGAATTACATTTTTCTGTGTTTGCGGAGAAGCATGCGAGTCAGCCGGCCCAATATGAGGAGGGCAGAGCAGGATTCTCCCGATGAACACCGGCGCTATACTGTTTTTTGTTATAACCCGCATCAGTTTAAACTCAGTAAAGGCAAGCTTCTTTGGAGATGGTGTTTTAGCGGACATTTGCGCTATTGCAGCCTGATCTCACGAGGAAACGTATGAAAAAGTTACGAATTGCCGTGAGATTGTGTTGGCTGACCACGCAGTGCATGCAACGCATCCAGATTCAGTGTACTTTTCACTGTTCAGCCGTTTGCATTCCCCGCGATCACAAAAGCTCCCTCCCTGTCATCTGACAGCGGAAAGTCTTGACTGATTGACAGCTAATATGAACCAATATAGCGGCAGGGAAGAGCGATTCAGCACGTTTTTAGAAAACAAAACAAAACAGGTCGCACTACAACCATTATATGCAGTCGCACGAATGCTCCCAATATATATTATGAGGTCGCATAGCTTAAATTTCGGGCGCATATGCGACCAAAATGGTCGCAATTTCGAGCCCTGCAGTATGCTAACAGGGAAACAAAAATAGCCCTACTTAGTCTTTCCTCCAGATCTCCTGCACCCTGTTTCTCAACCACGTTCCTGAAGGACCACCAGCTTTGCACATTTTCTATGTCACATTAACCAAACATCTGATTTAGATCCTCAGCTCATTAGCAAAGACGGAAAGACCGGTAATGGGTGTGATAGACAAAGGTGATATTCAAAACATGCAGTAGTAGTGGGTCCTCCAGGAACGTGTTTGAGAAAGACTGCTGTAAACTATTGCACTTACTCAGTTTTACCATCCTGGCACAGTTTTTTTTTTTTTTTTATCTCTGGTGGAATAGAAATGTTATGTATTTCAGTGCAACCATATAAATATAATTGATGCACAGTTTTAACTCGCATAAAACAAAACCAAACCTATGGCAAATTAAACGGTGCCCAATTCCACGAGATACCTGAGGACTTGGCAACCCTGAGCTTGAGTAATTGAGGCACAGACTGTAAAGGCTCCACCCTGTTATGAAAATGAGGCATGAGTAGCAGCTCATTTGCATTTAAAGAGACGCACAAAAAAATGGCTGATATTTTGAATAATTCACGATGTATTTTTGAGCTGAAATTTCACATAAGACACCTAAGGCTTGTAAGAAAGGTATAATATGACTCCTTTAAATGATGTTTTCAAAAGTGAGCAGATTATTTAAAGCTAAACCATTCAAACCTGATTTGTATATGCTTTGTTCCTTTGCAGATGCATACTGCTCCATTAGTGGCGGTCTCCACGCACAGGTGCTTCTTTTCCACTGCCAGTGTCTGTCTCTGTGTGGAGATGTTCAGCTCATGTTGGCCCAGAATGCCTCAAACAGAGCTGCGTATCTGGAGGAGTACAGCTATCAGACCAAAGATGACCAGGAGATCCTCCACTGCCTGCACCGCGAGAGCTCCTGCCAAGGTCTGTATGCAGAATTCCCACGCTCTTTCTGCTATGGAGAGATCATACGATGGTGTGATGGTCAGAGATGATGCATTATTCAATCAGTAGTTATTTAAAACGAATGTATCCCAGTTGCTACAAAATATTAAGCAGCTGTTTCAACATGGGTAATAATCAGAAATGTTTCCCAAGCACTAAATCAGCATATTAGATTCAGCCTTTACAAAAATAACTAGGGATGCGCTGAAATTAAAATTGACCAGAAACTGAAATATACTAAAAGTAAAATTTTAACAGGTAGTACTTATATTATGCATCCCAGGATCAGTTATCATTATTATTATTTTTTTTTGGTTTATTCAAACATAACCATAAATGACAGACTACTATGGTGTAATTGCACCGTAGCTTAACATGAACAGTTTGATACCACAGCCTATCTAAACAAGCTGCAATCAAACAATCAAGTTAAACTGGGTGCTTAGTTGAGACTAATGCAACAGGGATGTCATGGAAAGGACATTTTCACACAGTATATGTGCTCCGTTTTTAGATGTCTCTATTTCCCCCCTATCCACACTGAGATGGAGCAGCAGTGTTTTAGAATGAAAACGGCCTCTCCAGTGTTTCCAAATCGCTCCATTTTCGGTGCTCAAAAACTCTGGTGTAGTGTGGATGGATGGCGTAACCGTAGCAAAACTTATAAATTGACAGCACAGCTGGCATGTACCCCTTCCGCTAACCCTTTGCCCTTGAAACAGAGTGTGAAGGGGAAGGTCTTCAAATTTATTCAAGAATTTAATTACATTTTAAATTGACTGACGTCTGTAAATTACTTTGAAGTTATTATTTAGCAATAATACTTGAGAGTTGTGCCAGTATGTTAACAGGGAAACAAAAATAGCCATACCATAAATGACAGACTACTAATGTGTAATTGCACCGTAGCCTAGCATAAACAGTTTTTTTATTTTTACTTTGATACTACAGCCTATCTATATAAGCTGCAATCAAACAATCAAGTTAAACTGGGTGCTTACTTGAGACTAATGCAACAGGGATGTCATGGTAAGGACATTTTCACACAGTCTATGTGCTTGCATATTCGAAAGTCAAAGCAATCAAGAGTTTGTTGAATGGATAGCACTTTAATAACCGTTACAGCAAGAGTGAGGTAAGTGCTGGGGAGGGGAAAGGTGGAATAAACAGTTTCATAAAATTATGAAATTTAAAGTCTTTTTCAAATATGTCCTTGGTGCTGTATAATGGAGAGAAGATATTTGCCACACATTTTTAAATACGATAGTTCTTTTATCATAATATTTTTCTTGTTATTTTGAAAAAATACTAGTATTGTTTGTGTGCAATTTTAAAGTGCAATTTTTGAGGCTTAAAAGTCTAGTGAAGTGCTTTAAAATGTGCATATTTTATTCAATGTTTGACGTAATCTCAACTGAAAAATGAAAACAGGGTGGGACAGAGTAGCTCCTCTCCTTTAAAAACAGCCAATAGCATTTCGTTGGTGTTTTGTAGTTATTTGTTGAGATCAATTGACAAGTGTCTTGAAGGGGGCAGATCTTCATCAAGGATCTACCGCTGGATCCAATCTCACTATATTTGTTAAACGTGACATTTATTTCATCTTGTTATCTATATCTAACGATATATTCCCCGACTTTGGTCTTTTGAATCTATTACTTGTTCTCAGGTAACGTGTTTTAACGCAAGGATAAGTTAAATGATTAATGTAACCACGTACATTCTGTATATTGACTGATTGTTTGCCGTTTTTTCCTATAATGTGTAAACTTATTGTACGTTGTGTCTTTTATAATGGCCATTATTGATTATTAAAACTGATATTCAGCAAAAGAGAGGGTGTTTCGTATTTTCAATAAAAATGAAAGCAGGCATTAATGTTATAAGCTCCATTTTGTTATAAATACGTATACAGTGAAGATGACGCTCATATCTGCAGCACGAAGCCTCAACACTTCTGTTAAGTTGTTAATATCAAAATGAAAATAGCAGTTCCTTATATCATGTTTTCATTTTATTGTTAAGATAGTGAAACAACGTAGCCAGGATGAAGTGAATGAAGTTATGAAGTACACTGTTCCCTTTGAAGATTACTTGACATGTCCTCGGGAGTCTGTTTTCCATATCAAACTTGCGAAGTCTGAACTTACATGGAGAGGATACAGGACTGAACTGTGTGTAGTCTACTTAATATTAAGGAAAAGCCTCAATCAGAGAGGCGAATGTTGGCTGCCCCGCCACCGTTTTTAGATGTTTCCATTTTCCCCCCATCCACACTGAGATGGAGCAGCAGTGTTTTAGAATGAAAGCCTAAGGGTGCTTTCACACCTGGGAATCGATTCAGTTGTTCCGAAACAGAGATTACAATTGTTACATTGTTGCTCTTTGTTCTTGTTGCGGTTCGCTTTCACACGGCAAAGTTTCTAATCGGACCAAAAGAGCTAAAACAAGTCATGTGTGAGTAAACTCTCCTTACATTGGTCAGAGTGTCAAGGTTTATTTTGCAGAGTCCCACTAAGCTGTCAGGAGAGGTGGTGGTGATTGACAGGGTGCACGCGCAACGTGTCTGAGGAGAGATGCGGTGGGGAGGGGTGAGAAGGGTGCATGACGATGCCTATTTGAGGACCGGGAGGGAGACGTGAGATTACCGGGAGATCATCACTCCATTGCGGGCATCCGGAGACTCGCGAAACTTCCCGCCCTACTCATTCTCTCCTCATATAGCCGTATGCCTATTACATATCCATAAAACACTGTGATATAACCGCGCTTGGATCGGATCGCTTTCTCACTGCAATCGAACCGCTCCAGGGTTCGTTTCAATCGAGCCGTGACCACCTCATTCAAGCGATCTTGGAGCGATTACTTTGGCGCGGAACAGATCGCGATTGCCCATGTTCACATATGCCAATCGAACCGCGCTAACTTGGCAAACGAGACAGGTTCCCAAACAAAAGTGTAGGTGTGAAAGCACCCTAAGGCACAATCCAAATTCTATTTTTGTACCCCTTCCGCTACCCCTTAGCCCTTGAAACAGAGTGTGAATAGCAGGGTCTTCAAATTTAACCCTAAGCAATGGGACAGCACTACAATACCTGCACACGTCATCTTATGTCGTCGTGAGCTTTTACTTCATATAAGATCGACGATTACAACTGCTGTAGTTAATCCAGTTGTGCTATTTTTTGGTATTCATCATCATTAAATCACCGGAGACAACATTATCTTGTTGTCAATACGATATAATGTGTCAATAAGCTCGTAACTGCACTGTGTATTTACACCGAGGCCATATTCATCTGTTCAAAAGAAATCAACATTAACGTTATACCAGACACTGTAAAAAGTTAATTCCCAGCCACTAGACTTTTCTGACAGGGTATTTGGGTGTCAGATGTGAAAGTATGTTGTGGGACTATACAGGAGTTACTATTATAGAAAGTGACATTTTTTTAAAGCATGGCAGTAAAACACTAACACGGTTATGAATGTATTAAAACGTGCTTGTTTGTTGTAAAAACTATTAATAATGCCAAAAAATACATATTTGTGCATCGCCTGAATTGCGTGTGCAGCCATGTTGCTGTTGTAGCTGCTGTATTCTGGGAAATTTTTGTAACTTTTGGTTTCGAGTGTGATCCTGAAAAATCTCAGTTTTAAGGGCTATCTTAGCCCTTCCCCTTAGCCCTACACCTTCAAGCTAAAGAGAACTGGGACACCCCTACCCCTTCACGTGAACGCGCAAAACGAGTGGAATGGCCAAGGGGGAGAATTAGGATTGGTCCTAACAGATTGATATTAATATCTAAAACATTTTATTTTGTGGGGCTAAAAATGTTGACTTTTTTATTAATGTTTTTTTTTTATCCAGCCAAACTAAAAGAAAACAGATTTAATAGGAGATACTGTGAAAATGTTCTTGCTCTGTGAAATAGCATTTTGGAAATATTCAAAAGTAATACAAAACTCACAGCAGGGCTACTGATTTTGTCTTTAACTGTATATTAATTTAGTATTTTCTGCCTGTTTTCTTTTTGTTATAGTCTTTTGACTGGTAGGGTAACGCTTTAAATTTGACCTTACCTAAGCAGCAGTTTCTTTATTTCGTCTCTCAGCCTTCAGCATGGCCACTGATCTGGCCCTGGATCCTGAGTACCAGCTTATCGTCAGCTGCAAGTGTTATGAAGCCGCTCATGATCTTTTGACGTCAGGAGTCCTGAAAGACCAGGCACAGGAGCAGCTGGGTCAGGTGCTGAAACGTCTCGGGAACATTCGAAACGAGATGGGCGTTTTCTACATGAACCAGGCTGCAGCAATGCAGGCAGAGAAAGAAGGAGGTGAGGGCTACCTGGTTTGCTATTAGATTTAATTTGTGTTTACACTTGGCGGGTCTCATTCAATTCAAACTCAGATGCGAATGATATGGTGCGGTTTATTTGAATGTGTGTGTGTGTGTGTCTGCGGGGTCTTAAAATTACTGAAATATTGTATGTACTGTTGTAGGTCTTAAATAATTTGATACAGGTCTAAATTTTACTATGTCCCTATCTTAATGGACCCTTTTCACATTTCTGGGTTTCTCAGCAACAGAAGTCGTCATAGTTGGATAAACTTCTAGCTCAGTGAATGGAAGAGTACAACAGATAATTTTTTTACAATCCTATTATTGAAGTAATAAAACAAAAACTTCAGGATGGTGTTATTCAGGCTTTCAGAAAATGGGAAAAATTATGTGAGACTGATAACGGCAGCCAGAGGAGAGAACAACATCAATGAATTTTTTTGTACGTTGATGCAAAAATGATGTAATACATACATAAATACATATAAATGCACATACATTTAAAAAAATCCAAATATTAAACATTTTTAAGCACTTAAGATGCTGATGATCGTTAAACGTGTTATTGTGAAAAGGGTCCATAGAACTTTTAACAAAACGTATACAATAACATTGGTTTAAAAGTTCTCCATGTATTTATAGCTACCTGGTAAGGACACTGACCTGGGCCAACTGTTAAATACATTTAGTATTTATTACAGTTTTTAAAACATGTCAATTTAAAAACAAAATATATATTTTTTGATGATGCAAGTAAAAATCTTTTCAATTGGATTCTATTAGAAAAATCTTTAACGTTTAGCCCTGTATAGGTCGGAAATTTCATTCATAATGGTCTTAAAAAGGGTCTTAAATAGTGTTAAATTTGACTTGATGAACCTGCAGAAATATGGAGCTTAAAATGTGCCAAAACAATCTGAATTTGAATTGTGTTAATTTGAATAATTAACAATTGTAAATTAATAAAACTGAATGTTATTTGCCTTTGAAAATGGTTTCGAAACGGGCCTGGGCATGGTTCGGATTGCATAGTGCGGGCACGCCCTAATTTAAATGTAATTTGGCTACAACATGAATGCAATCCAGAACAAAGACATCAAAACGAATCAAAAACAGGACACCCGTCAGATGTCAATAAAAACAAGTGCTCAGGCAAATCAGATTTTTTGGCCAGTCACAAATTAGAGCTCAATACATTCATCAGAAATAAATCTTCTTGCAGCAGATCTTTCTTTATGAGTGAATTCCTGATTCCTTGAGCTCTTTATTTGAGCTGTTTTCAACTGATCAAAATACTGTCTCCAGTGTATGCACAAAAAATGAGCATGTTTAGCCCAGCACACTGCATTGTTCTGTTGCAGTGTACGTCATAAAACCTTGTTCTTGTTTTGTATTTTCACTGTTAGGTCGTAAAAAAGACTGTACAAATGCTAAGAAAACCAGGAGTAAAAGTATAATTTTCTTTTCTGGTCCGGACCAGAAGAACCCAGAAAACCAAGCTACAAGTGCGGAAACACCCTTAAAAACAAACAATCTTTTGTCAAAAAACATATTTGTGAAGTGCATCTTTCTCTTCCTCCAGTGCGCAGGAGTGTGTGTGTGGCCGAGCAGGAGCTGTGGAAGAAGAGCTTCTCGTGTTTTGAGAAGGGCATGCAGTATTTTAGTGCTATTTCAGACTCGGTGAACACGGCCCTGCTGCTGTGTAACATCGGCCGTCTCATGCGCATCTGTGCTCAGGCTCACTGCGTCATTACGTCAGAGCAGAGCAGAGGAGAGTTTTCACCTGAAGAGACTCTCTATTACAACAAGGTTAGTCTCTCTCTCTCTCTTTCTCTCTCTCTCTCTCACACACACATACGTCGTTTGATGAAATAATCCTGCTATAGTACTGATTATAATGCTATTTATTAATAATGATTGCTATTACTTTAAGATTGTTCAAATATAAATTATAGCTGGGCCAAGATTAATCGCACCCAAAATAGAAGTTTGTTTTGACATAATATATGTGTGTACTGTGTACAATTATTATGTATATATAAATACACGCATGCATGTTTTAAGAAAAAAATGATGTGTGTGTGTGTGTGTATATATGTATATATGTGTATATATATATATATATATATAATATATATATATATATATATATATATATATATATATATATATATATATATGATACACATTATCTATAAATTTAAATATGTATGTAACTAAATAGTTTTGTTTTTATGTATGTGTTTATATCACATATGCATAGCAAATCTAAATAACACACACAAATATGTCAAAACAAACTTATATTTTGTATATAATTAATCGTGATTAATCTTTGCCAGAACTAATGTAAATATAAACAATCTGCAAAGATTGTGATTATTCAAAATGAACAAAATCTTAGATTAAAAATAATCCCCAGTCTATTAATTATTTATAGCAGTATTTATATATTATTTGTAAATCTCTTGGATAAAATCTGCCATTAAAATTATTATATTCATGTTTGTATTCATAAAACACTTTATTATTATTATTATTAATTCTACATATTTTCTATAATAATTTGTCCCTAACCCTATTATATAAATTAATATAATTAACTATTAGATAATAATAGACTCTTATCTGCTAATAAAAATGACTATTTATCTTTCAGAATAATAAAAAGTGCATGTGGAGTTGATTATTATTCATAATAATGATAATAATAATAGTAATTACAACAACAACAACTTGTTTCTTATTTATATAATTTATTTATTATTCAATATTTTGTGTATGTACCTTTTATATAATATTATACAAATTTAATTAGTATTAATGCTAAAAATAATAATAGTAATATATTAATTGTTATTATTTATTTGTTATTATTATTATTACATATTTTACATAATAATTGGGCCCTCATAGTATTATATAAATTATTATAATTAACCATTTAATAATAAAGATCCTTATTGTCTAATAAAAATGAAAATATATCTTTCAGAATAATAAAAAGTGGATGTGGAGTTTATTATTATTCACACTAATGATAATATTAACAACAACTTTTAGTTTTATTTATATAATTAATTTATTATTTAATATTTTGTGTGTATTTATATAATATATACATTTAAATTATACCACTGCTACTACTAAAAATAATAATAGTAACATACTCTATGGTATTATTTATTTAATTTTTGTTGTTATTGTTGTTATTATTATTATTATTATTATTACATATTTTATATAATTAAATTCAATTCAGCTTTATTTGTATAGCGCTTTTACAATGTCGATTGTGTCAAATCAGCTTCACATAAATGGTCATAGTAACTAGAGGGCCAATAATTTGGCCCTAACAGTATTATATAAATTAATATAGTTAACCATTTAATAATAATAGACCCTTCTAATAAAACTGACTATGTATCTTTCAGAATAATAAAAGTGGATGTGGAATTGTTTTATTATTGTTAATAATAATAAAAAATATATAATAATAATAATAATAATAGTAATTGTTAACATGTTATTCTCTCTCTACTTTGTTTACCTGAAAGAAGGTTATCCGGGTTACAAATGAGGGGAGCGCACGGGGGTGGAGTTTTCGGGAGACTTTGTAGTGTGCTTTGGAGTGTGCTTACTAATAAAACGTAGTGTTTGTTCAACTTTACAATAATAATAATAATAATATTAATAACACCAACAACTAAATATTAATATTATTTATTTAATACTTGTGTATGTACCTTTTATATAGTATTATTAAATAAATTACTACTACTACTGGTAGTGCTAAAACTACCAAGTAACACATTAGTATAAGTAAATGCAATAAATTGACAATAATTAAGTAGAAATGCTCTTTCTCTCCATCACCAGGCCATAGATTATTATCAGAGAGCGCTGAAGGCTCTGGGCTGCAGAGAGAGTCACTCCGCCGTCTGGGACTCGGTCAACTGGGAACTGTCCACAACCTATTTCACACTGGCCACACTCCTGCAGGATTACGCCCCACTGTCCCGCAAAGCACAGGAGCAGGTACCACACAAATAAACACACCACACCTGCCTGTACACACTGCTGAAATGAGCAGATCCACATGCATGTAATGTGTTTCAGATCGAGAGGGAAGTGACCGAGACCATGATGAAGTCTCTGAGATACTGTGACCTGCAGACTGAATCCGCTCGCCAGCCGCTCTACCAGTACAGAGCAGCCACAATCCACCACAGACTGGCTTCAATGTACCACAGCTGCTACCGCAATCAGGTACATCAGCACATGTTTGAAGAGGAATGCCTACATACTTCTTAATAACAATTAAAGGGGTCATGAACTGCCTTTTTTATTAATTTATTTCTGATCTGTGTGGTGAATGTAATATAATGGTATGATTATCTTTTTAAAAGTTTGACAGGACAGTGTAACCCGTACATATGCGTTATTGATGCGTTTTCTATTGCGTTGTTTTTACAGTATTTGCTATTTTCTTATTAGCACCAGATATCAGAAGACTTTAATTCGCTCACAAGAATGTATAGAAATAACAACCGATTTTAGATAGATAAATAAGTCAGACTCAAAGATAAAGTGAAATAACTGAGGTAAGTATATTGTTTAAGCAAGTTAGATGAGGAAAACAAAATAAAACAAATTAATAAATGTCAAAAACAGTTCAGTTTTATAAATAATAGAATAAAGTAATATATGTATATAAAATATATACTGAAATCACCACACTTCAGATTATAAACTCACTTTAGACAAATACAGTTTCATAAATCACGTGTACAATGAGGAAGAAAAAATTAATTAAAAAAACGAAGAAAAAGTTTGAATAAAAGTAGTAATTCAGAGTCCCAGACCGCTTTAACATGTACACACATGGGAGTTTACCTTCTTTTTTTTTCTCTGCGTCAGGTTGGAGATGAGAGTGATCGTAAGCAGCACAAAGCTCTGGCAGAGCAGCACTACAGTAAAGCCGTGCGCCTCTTTGTGAATCTGAGTGATGCTCCGTGTGAACTGCTCCGCACACTTCTGGAGAGAGTGGCCTTCGCTGAGTTCACCATGGCAGGTGAAAAAGAAACACACACCACACAAATATAAGCAAAGAGAGGTTGACCACCAATAGAAATACTCTTCTCACGATTGGCCCGTTTCCACTGAGGGGTACGGTACAGTTCAGTAACAGGTCACCTTTTATTTAGGCTTGTGTCCAATGGGACCCTTTTGGTGGGTGTGGTGTACGACAGAAAATGGATAATGTCATCATTCTCGCTCGAGGAAATGTCTACAGTAAAGCTGTACGGGTCTCTCACATATCATATTAGAAGCACTTCTCACAAAACAGATGCTTCATACACATAAATACTTGCGCATAAATGTTTATTACTAACCTCTCTATGAATATGATTTGATTATAACTGCAGATCAATGATGTGCGAAATAGTCTACTGTAACATCAGCAATTATATAAAATAAATAAATAAATACAACATATATGAACACATACAGACCCTTACAGTCTCCGATATGTTACCAATTACAAAAGAACTACTCACAGGAAACATTTAGTCCTTATTTGGGTTCAAAAACAACACGCAACATATTGCCCACAGTCAGAGCAAACCTCTCATCTGTGTCTTTAATCTTTAGCAGCACAACCTCTGTTAGAGAGTAATTCAGTCATTCAGAGTTCATAATAGTTCAAGAGGTGATGATAATAGTAAAACATGACAGTTTGCTGAAAGCATCACATTGTTTTTTTTTCCGGCTTCTTCTTCGTTTTTTCACGCTTCACTTTCCTGTTTGTCCTTTTCTGATTGGATCCGACATCAGAAGCACTTGTATAATTACGCGCACGTTATTATCATCAGCTCAAGAAGTTTGTTTTTTCAAATATAGATGTGTGGTGAGCGCACACGAGCTCTCTGGAGAAAGTGAAACTGATTGTGCTTTTAGACGGCCTCGTAAAGATCAAGAGGACATATGGCTGATTCAGCTCATCTTCTTGGCTTTCTGGCTGTTCATCAAGACAACGACAAGGTTTATTTAAACTCGGGTCAACCATGGCTCGTTATCATATTTATATATTATTACAGTGTAATGTCTTGGCTGTGTATTTAAAAATGGCGCTTTCTTTGTTTTTATTCTCCTGGCTTGTTGCGCGCCAGTGACGTTTGTCTGTAAACTAATAGCATTCAGCTGCGCATCTAGCTCCGCCTTTTGGTACCCTTTTGTTGTGCTAGGTACCCTTTGGAAAGGGTACAGTATAGTATGCTTTTTGGTACCTTTTGACAGCGGAAATAGCCATAAAAGTGTATATATGCACCAAACGCTTTTCTTAAACTCAATTTTACAAGGACTCAGTGAGGAAAACAATGATGACTTGATGATTATCGATTTAAATGTGTTTGTAAAGTTGCAATCCTTTGCTATGGCCACCACCAGCTGTTTCTCACATGCCTGGTATGGTCAATTTTCAAAAAGGTTCAACTTTTGCCACTGCGTGGAATAATACTGAATGTGTGTTGTTATTACTTCGGGTTAGGAGTAAAGTAATATGCTGGTATTTAACTGATTTGCTTTATTGCATTCCCGCATTAGGCTCTCACATACTTTCTGCTACTTCATACTGTAGCCGTGGTGGGCATTTCTCTATGTCTTGTGCTGAACGCAGTCGACCAATCGCAATAGACTGGGTCATCGGGCCAATCAGGGCAGTTTAGCTTCGCGCTAAGGAGGGGTTTGGGAACAAATGAATCACTGTATGATTCATATGGGCGTCGATGGGATAATTAGGCATAAATAAATGCATATTATAAGACAATGATAGTGTTTTTTGACCTTGCATGCATATCAGCATGTTGTTGGAGACCCCTAAAACCAAAATATGACCTTTTAATGCAAAATAGAGGCTCTTTAAAAACAATAGCTCTTACATGCATTGTTGTTTATTTTCATGATTATGTTGTTTATGTTGCACCGTGGTCCTGCAAGACAATATTTCGTTCCACTTTATGTCCACACATGTAGCAGAATGACAATAAAGTTCAACTTGACTTGATGGTGGCACACAGAGTGGATGTAATATGATGTGCTTGTACGTTTCAGGTCAGAACAGCAGTGCTGTGAAACTGAAGACTCTGACAGGAGCTTTGGAGATCATGTGTGAAACACGGCATGCGTTCAGACTCATTCATAAAGAGCTGCTGGAGCAACAAGAAAATGTACATATATGCAGCTAATTTATGTTATAAAACTATTAGAAAATTATTATTCTATTATTTATATTAAATTTTCATCTATTTTTAAGTCCCTTTAATTAAAGTGTCTTGAATTAAGAATAATATATAGTAAATATTTATTTGATTTACATATATTCCTGTTTGTTAGCCCTTAACAAAGCATTAATTAATGGAATTATGAACCTTATTGTAGTCTACATTTCTTTAACATTGTGTCACTAATATTTGCTCATTATTTGTTTATGTTAACTTGTGCATTAACTAACGTATTAACACAAAAATGTATGCTTAGTTTACAAATCAGATTTAGTATTACTGAATAAATGTGTTGTTCATTGTGAGGTCATGCTATCTAATCCATGAACAAATGCATTGGTGTATGTGTAAGCAAACAATTGCTAATTAGGTTGTTCATATAAAGTGGTGCATACAAATGAGCAAGTTAACATTAACAAAGATTATGTAATGCTGAATAATAGTCATTGTTTACCAAAAGCAACAATAAAATAACTCTAACGGCCCATTTACACGGGGCTTCAGCGTCAACGCTTGACTGAGGGCGTGTCTAAAGTTGGGGCTGACGTGATCCTCATCGCAGCGTTAGCCAATGAAATTAGTCAGCAATAGGCCACTGTCTGAGCTGGTGTGTTTGCATACAGCGATCTGATTGGCTGACGCTTTCGTCTGCGCTTGAAAAGTTGCGCTAGTCCCAACTTCTGCAGCGAGCAATGCCTCCGAAGCGGCGTCAACGTATCCACAATACAGTTTGGCAATGCCTGACGTCACCCATTCAAAGAGAATGGGAAGTGTTGACACTGAAGCCCTGTGTGAATGGAGCGTAACAAGTGTTTAGTTAACATTACCAAAGATAACTAAGGCTAAACAGATGTGTTTTTCATCTTTTAATTCATGTTAACTAATGATTTAACACATCAGCTAATGCACCCTAATTGTATATTGTTACCTTTATTTGTATTATTATTATTTTAGTAATAATCATAATTTTCAATTAAGTTCCTTCGGATTACAATGTCTTATATTAAGATTATTATATTTGTATTAGTATTATATTACTATTTTTTAGTCCCCAGAATGGAAATGCTTTAAATTCTTTATTATTACACACATTTTTTCATTATATTATCTTTTTTTTTTTACAATTGTTATTGTTTCCTAATAATAATAAAAAAAAAAAACTTTTGTAATAATTGCTGAGTCGCCATTTTTAACACTTTTGTGTTGTATGTTGACAGATAACGAAGGCTGAAGAGAAACCTGAAGAAGTCCCTGAGGGTTCAGAGAGTTCCTCTTCCTCTGAGCTGAACACAGAAGAGGTGCTGAAGCTAATTGGCATCTTCGAGCCCAGTTTCTCCTTCCTGTTACTGCAAGTGATTAAACTCAGCTCTGCAAGCAAACGAAAACTCAGGTCTGAGATACTAAATCTTTTCTAAAGCATAAAAATACTATAATATTTTTGGAGATATTTAAGAAACATGCTAAGTGAATGTATTTGTTGTTTAAAAAAAAAGAATGCCAGAGTCTGATATTCTGCTTAGAAAAATGTGCGCTCTGTGTGAGAATGTCTGCCTTTGTTTTGCTCTGTGTAACACCGGCCACTGCCAGCTTATTCAATTACTTTTTGGCACTCCTGGGTGCCTTGCAGTGGCAGCGTATTTCATTTTAGTCATGAAGGCTATCTCTATATACGCGGCGCTGGTCAAAAATGAGACCTCAGGAAGACGGTAGCAGCCTCCAAAAGGAGTTGCAGATTCAGAATTGGCACATGTTGGCACATGAGGTGGTTTTTAATAAGCAAATAATACAAATATTACCAAAAAAAATTGCTGAGCAGCTAAAAGTGTCAGGCTCATCATCAGTATGCCCACATGGAATCTCTGTGTACAATCTCGTGTACAATACAGTTTGTAAAGTAATATTTTCTGTCTTGTAGTTGACATATTACATAAAAAGCTTTATTCGTTTACCTAATAGGTGGATCTAATAAGTAATCAGAAACACCAACTGACCCAGCCGGGACTCAAATCAGCGACCTTCTAAAGCCTGATTTAAACTTCTGCGTCAGGTGACTGGAGTAACCCACGGCGCATGCAACGCGCGTGGCTGTGCATTTATACTTCTGCGCGCTGTCTCTTTTGGTCTGAATTAACACTTCTGAAACGCTAGTTGGCAGTGAGGTGTAAATGTTTCTTTGTGTCGAGTTTCTTCGCTGCTTTTTTGCTTTTCTTGAACACTTCCGGGATGTACAAGAGGCTCAAACTCGCTCATTTTGAGGCAGGAACCGTTGGACTTGCAACAACTTTAACTATGAGGTAAACACAAAACAGAACTTTCCATCCGGAGCTCCTTCACGGGACTCCACACTTGTAAACAATCGCTCGCGCCATTCGCGCGGCTCTCGGTCCCGCCCAGACTCGTCAGCGCTACCAAGCCGACCAATCACAGAGCTTGCGCTACGCGTCGTTGCGACGTGTAGTTACATTTTTTGAGAGGTGCACGTCAGCCACGGCCACGGCAAAGGGCTATGCGTCAGCGCCGTAGCATACATCGGCATTTGACGCAGAAGTATAAATCAGCCTTTACTGTGAAGCGACAGTGCTACCCACTGAGCCACCATGCTGCCTTAAAATTGAATAAACTGTTTTTAAATATTCTATTTGTAATAACCTTCATTCCAGTAAACAATGTTGTTTTTATTTAGCTTTTTTTTTTCTTTAGTTAAAAAAACAACAACTGTAAAAATCTGAAAAAAAAGAAAACTGTAAAATCTGTACTGCTATGGATTCAGTCATACAGAAACAAACAGGATTTATAGCAGGGGTGCCCAAACTTTTTCATATAAAGGTCCAAAAACCAGATATCATTGAGAGCTGTGGGCCGAACGTAAATATACCAAACTACATATCATTAAAGTTGCCATGGGTAATTATTTCATTAGATTTAAATAGAAAACAATACTTTAAATTGTATTAACTAATACAGTATAACATTTAAAATAACATATTGCAATAAAAGCATAAACAATCCAATTTATAACACAGAGGAATTTAATGCTGAATACACTAGTCAAGCAGACGTCGGGTACTACTTCTTTAATACTAGTCGGGTGACTGTATTAAACTAAATCTGATTAATTTACACCATTTAATGGAAACATTTCATTTCAATTAGCTCTTAATAAGAAAACAAACAAAAGCTTCATTAGATTTAAAACGACAACCTCTAAACCATCCCCATCATTCTTCCTCTTTTCTCAGATGGGATGGCGGGCCCTAGTTTTGGCATCTCTGATTTATAGTGTATTATCATATGCACTTACTCTGTGATGTATTGTTTTCCTATGCAGTGGTAAAGAAGAGGAGCAGGTGAAGATCTACAAGAGCGTCTATTCTCGTCTCTTACGGGCTGAAAAGTCTGATCCACTCATTCAGCGGGTTTCGCTTTTCCTGGAGCTCCTGGATCAGCTGAATCCACCATCTGGAAGTGAAGAACCAAGATCATCATCATGATCCTGAGAATAAAAACCAGCTGGCTTGATCAATCTACAAGATTCTTCTGCCACATGAACCTATCAATGGCAAGCATGCCACAGTTACAAGCTGAATCAGTCGTGCTTTCACATGAGCACGTGACTTTGAATCAAAATGTGAAGTATGACCCTCACCAGCAGTGTCTTTCTTATGCCCGCCACATTGTGCTGGACTCTTAACGACGTTTCTTTTCCTTTAATGAAAACATTGTGATAATAAACCCACATTGTGCAGTTGTTTGTATAGCAGATATTTACTGTCACAATATGTGAATCTCTGGTTTTATTTTACACTCTTTTTTTATTGGGAAGCACACTTACAGGCTTTTTTTCCCCACTTATGCATAAATAAGCTGCAGGTTTTTGAATTTAAAATGTGCAATAATTGAGCAAAGGTCAATGCAACAAGGGTGATGATCCAGATACAGTATTTGCGAATGATTGTGACGGCTTGGCTTATCAAAGTCTTTAATAAATTTCCAAGCTACTCAAAGTGTCGTCATTATTCACACACACAGACACGCCCAGCCACCTTTTTCAATAAATATAACTGAAGAGTCATACTTGTGTTTTGACATTTGGTCACCTTGGAATTAGGGTTGCACGGTTTATCGGTAGTACTATGGTGTTATCATGATACAATGGCTCCAAAATACTGCCTGCGCCACTGTAGTTTGTAAACAGTAGCATCGGCATTAACGGTTTACCTACAATAGATAATGTTTCATGTGGAAAAGTCACTAAAATGCTTACACGTTTGTGCAACAATTTTATTTTAAGTCTGTGACAGTGGCACCTGCGGCTGTACGCATTGTGCGTACCTACCATGAGAGGGCTGGAATTAATGCAGCTTTTTATTTATTTATTTGTGACATAAATTTAATTGATTAATAAACAGCATGCACTACAGCTGCCTGCTTTTCCTCTTTCGTGCCAAATCGCTGCAGCGCTGCATTTGGTAGCACAAAAACTCGCTCTGATCCGGGAGAGAACTTTACCAACAGCTGCATGCAATGCTGAAAGACTTTTTCTTCTGCTGCGCATCAAATTATTCCACAATACATCCTATATCCATGAAACACGAACATGCAGACTCTTTAAACAACGAGGAAATAACTGCACTTCAGTGAAGCCAGACGGCTTGTTTTTTTTTTATTTAATCTCTGAAGAACGGTTGCAGCGTGTTGTGATGTCGGCCGTCACCGGAGAAAGTCAAATCTTTCTTTCCATTTTTGACTTTTGTTTGAAAGCTTTAGTGGCTCTGTAGCTGTCCAAAGGTACTGTTGTACGTGTTAAATTATAGCCTATACAGGGCTCAACAATATGGACTGCCCGATGGCCCGGGGCCAGCGTGTGAGATGCTCGGGACAGTAGACAGGATCGTTACTGGCCCGATCGGGCCACTGATGTCCTGTCACTTAAGTTTAATTTGCCTGTGACTATTTGTTAATTGCGTGCAAAAACAGTCAGAATCAAGAAACGGTTTGTGTTTAAGCCTTCAAATGCTACCTTGAAATGCTCATTTCCTCTTATCTGATTGGATGTGAACACGTTATTTTTTTCGTAACAACCAGTACAGCGAAGAGACGGCAACAAAGCGGCAACATCAAGTGATGATGCTAAAGGAAAACATTGGTTTCTAACGTCTTGGAAGCAGACATTTACAAGGTACACCACGACCAAAAAAATTAGTGATGTTTTGCACAGTTTGCCGTCAATTTGGCAGATCAGCCATCTTATGTTTTGCAAAAAAAAATATCTGCACATTTTGCTACTTTTGTTTGCAAAACACTTTGAATTTTGCTCATACATTTATTAACACTTTTAAAATATTTAAATTCTTGAATAACAAACATTTTGACACGTTTTGTTTTTAATTTCTGGCTACGAAATAGCTATTAACTTTTTTTTTTTTTTGGTAGGACCAGTGAAAATATTGCCAGGGCAAGTAAAAATCGGAACCACTGGTCCGATCGGGCCAGTAGAAAAAATCCTTAGCGTTGAACCCTGCTATATAAGCACCAATAAACAAGTCAAATCAATGAATAAATAAAATAAATATGAATTCTTAAATGTCTGTATTGTTTTTACTCAATAATAAATAAATAATAATAATGTTTTATAAAAATTAAATGAGCAATTCACATTTTTTTTACGATTCATTAAATATAAGTTGGAAATTTATGGGGCCAAGTAACATGTTTCTGTTTTTTTTTTTTTTTTTCTAGGTGATCTTTAATATAAACTGGGTAGCTACACAAAATATTTTCTAAAATGTCAAGCAGGAATTTGTCTATAGCTTTAATTATGAAGACAATAAAATATTAAAAATAACAAAAATAAAATGATAAAAATACAAAGATAAAAGAAGCAGAATTTTGCTAAATTCTAAAACAATATTGGTTTTTATTTCACTTGATGCATTCGTTAGTAAATGTATGAATACTGAAAAAACAGACATCGGAAGGGGGCGGGCGGTGCTGGATTTGTGCGTAAAATCCTGCAGGCGCCTCTGGTCTGTGGAGCCCCTTAAGGTTGCAAAACTGTGTAGAATTGTCACCTTTCATGGGAGCCTACTGCACATTTTCTAACGATTTAGTTTGAACGTGCATCGGAATCAGTTCATTTCTGTTCCTGTCAATATGATTTAGTAGCTACAACAACTGTGACAATCTCTTTAAAACAGCGACTCACAAAGTAAAATTGTGAATTACTTTGGATTGTTACCTGATAAGACTGAAACAAAAAAATTGATGGAAAAATCCAAAATAGCACCAGGAAACATTGAAACGTTTTTTGAGCACTTTATAAAGCCAATTTTTTTTTGTTGTTGTTGTTGGAGAAATGTTTTTTGTAACAAATTTCATTCTGTATTGTTGGTCAGGTTTCTACAGAATAAACAAAAAGAACGAATTTTAGGTAAAGTAAAGTGCAAATTATACTTTTCTTGCCATAAGGGAATTATGAATTACATAATATATGAATTACAAGTAGGCCGGAAATATAGTATTTTCTTTATAATTTGAGTTATAAATTACAGTATCACAATACGACTTGGTATCGTGATACTTCAGCAGGTATAGTATCGTAATTAATTAATTAATTAATGGTATCACGACAACTTACTTGGAATTATAAGGTTCTATCCGTCACAGTGACGTCATTCACTCCATTGAGTGCATTGTGTCTGACATTGCATCGCTGAGTGATGCAATCGCAGCTTGCATCATAAAAGCTGCATCCGGATACTATTATTCCATATAGCAAACAATATGCGTGTAACAGTTGTCTTCCATACTTTAACATGACAGAGACCCTAAATGTACTCTAAATGTAAATGATCGATTCTCTTAGATTTGAAAATTGGGGCAAAAAATAAAACAAAAAACAGAGCAAATGCAGATAGAACTTTCTTATTTTAACGAGTAATTTTCCACTTGGAATTATAAGGTTCTGTCTGGCAGTAGAAAGTAACATGCTATTAGGTTATGTGACCGCTAGATAGCGCTCTTGGATAATAAGAAGCTCACCACCACTAGGAGTTTGACAGTCATTCATTGGTCAAAGCAGTGTGTCCTAGCCGGGCTCACTTTCTGTTCTAATGTCCCGCATCTGTCTTTATTTATAATTCGTCTGTCTCCATATTCTACTGCATCCCAGAATATTACACAGCACCAAAAATTGTAAAAATATATTTAATTTATTTAATATGATTTTGTCCACAGCCGACCGCAACTTGCCGTGACGGAGATTCCCAAGCCTGTGTGCTCCAATCAGATGTGCTCTCTTCAGTGCTCACCATGACAACGAAACACAGCAGTGACGTGGCATTATGAACATTTGCATATGCATTCCTATAAAGCTCGTCGGTTCTCTGTCAAAGTTGTCAGTTCGCTCGGTGTTGTTTGTACTTGACCAAGGTGAGTTCAATGCGGTACGAGTGGAGCCACGCCAAACTCACGAAGTCAGCTTCGTGAAGCTTCACTCGGGCCCGTCTTTGCTGTAGTTCGGTTTGCGTACATAAACGCATTATCGCCAAAAATATTACGTGTTTGTTGCTCGAAATGTGCGAGGCGGCTTGTGATCCCTAGGCAGGGATCAATACAAGCCGTGAGGACCCTCAGGGAAACACGGGAGGCCGGTAGTGGGACCCCGCTGCGAGGGTTATGGTAGATGGGAGCAGCAAGGCCCACTCATCGTCTATTTTAAACTATAGTTTCAAACTTTAGTTTACTATAGTTTAAAATAGAAATATTGGTAACTGTAATGTTTTAACTGTGTCTGGCTGTTGTAATGTTTTGCTTTGTTTTTCAGCAGAGTTGTTGAGCAAAGAAGGACGATTGAAGACAACAGCGGGTTATATTGATGAGCGCGCATTATAATGTTTCCGTGCTGTTTTCTGAAAGTTTATCTTGTTTAGATAAGTTTGCAGGTCAAACTAAATAAACTATACTCTTTCTAAACACCTGTCTCGTGTTTTATTTGTCTTCTACAGTAATGCACAGTCATATAAGTCTGTTGAATGCATTTGTATGAAACATGGTTTGACAGTAAAGTATTCTAACCGATAAAAAGTTGTTATAAATGTACCTTCATTAGTCAACATTTAGTGTAAGTAATAAAAAGTTAATCAAAGATGTCCTAAGACAATGGTAATGTTATGGTAGTTACATAACTGTATTTATTATTATTCTGTATGTTTAAAATCATCAGAATATACTATATATGTAACATGTCATGAACTTACTGTTATTCAAACATTTGCCTAATAAAAATGTCTAAGACAAGAATGGGTTTTGTTTTGGTTTTATGTCAAACTACTCTAGGTTTTAGGTTCACTACAGCAGGTATCTATATCATAATATTGGTAGTCAGAGTTATTTTAATGACCCAAATCAAGTAAAATGTCTCTTACTCAAGTACTTTTAGTATGCAAAAGTCAAATTTAAGTATATAAAACAGTTTCCAACAAAGAATTTTGTCTTGTGAAAATGACCAGTGGGCGGTGAGGGAAAAAAGGTTAATGTCAAGTTTTATATATATATATATATATATATATATATATATATATATATATATATATATATATATATATATATATAGTTGTCATAATATTTAGTCATAATGCATGTTTCTATTTATTTCCATAAGACCTTTTTTTTCTAAATCTATAATTGGTAAATTGCTCCCATGTCAATCTGGACTTCGTCTAATGAAGGTGAGGTGTATCTCAAGGGAGATTGTCCTATGTTCACATTTCTACTTTTGTTTTGTTTTTTTCTTTGTCCTATGTAGAGCTGTTTTTTCCTTTTTGTATCACAAGGACATGATGATCTGGCAACAAATTTCAGTAAAAGCCGCAAAAAAATTAAACTAATAGCTTACATCAGAACACCCCTCCAGAGTACACTGTTATACTGACAACACAACTAGGACCACAGAATCTACGTGCACAAAATTCCACAGATTTTTAGCCCATCATTGTTTCTGTTTATTTACTTGAGTAAGTGTGTGTAAATTTATACTTATTCAGTTTTTAAATTATTTACAATAATATTATTGACTAATATGAAAATATATGAATTATTTACAATACAGTTTGTACAGTAATATTTTCTGTCTTTTAGAAGAGATATTATATGAAAGACTTGCTTTGTTTACCAAATAAAGTGGATCTGATTGGATTTGCATTGTAAACATTAAATACAAGTTAAAAAGGTTTTACTCTTTATTTAATATATTAAGGTTCTAGTTATGATACTGCCAAAATAATTCAGCATTAATCCGCAGATTTTTAACACAATTGTGTGCAGAAATAGCAAAAAGTGTCCACAGATTCGGTCTGACCCTGAAAATGACGGACTGTCTTATCCGTACACAATGACACAGGGACTTGTCAATCTGACGGCACTGACATGTATCTTGAGAGATGAACTAAAGATTTTAAGCAAGAGACTGGTTTTTGCAGATAGTCCATGCTGTTTTGCTATTTGTATGTGCTGTTTTGAGAAATGCACTCCCTGTTTCTAAATTTCAAATCTGAGAAATGTACCAAAGCGACTGAGAAAAACTGGAATACAACACAAGTTAATGCAAAGATGAAAAGTCTGCAAAGACAAAAGTGTGTATTTTTATTTGCACATTCTTTTATAAAAATAGTGCATACATAATTGGGTTTTATATTTTTTGGTTTAATAATTAATACTTTATAGTCTACTCATTTTGATGCAACCGTGATAGTGCAAAAAAGAAGAGAGTCGTGTATTGTAAAACAGATATTTATATAAACCCATAGTGTAATAGACCATCACAGCATGGGTTCTGCAGGTGTTAGTCACTATTTCAAATCTATGACTTAAGTCTTTTTTAAAACCATTGTGAATTAAATTTCAGTCTTATACAGGACTACATGCTAAGGATGTTTTAATTTTATTTATTTAATTTTAATAACATACAATTTAATATTAACCTCATCTCAATGAGCCTGGTGGACACCATGTTTTCAGCACAAGTCTATTGGTTTAATTTTGGAGATCATCCTCAAGTTCAGTTGTGTCCTGTATTTATTTTCAATGTATTTGATTACCATAAAAGAGTCAGAAAGTTTAACCTGGTGCTATAAAATCATCCTGTGTTGTTAATCTAACGTACTATCTAATCTAATACACGATCCTATGAAAAAAAATTAAAGGCTGAGGTCTTATTATTTGCATGTTGTGGCTTTTTATGTAACTATTAACTACTATTTTTTTTTTACTGTGGGTTATGCATAAAATATGAATGAATAAGTACTATAACATTTAAATTCTGCATTTTAGTGTTTTTTTTTTTTTGCTGGATTAGCAAGTCAGATGTCATCATAACCACACTTTAATGATGTACTAAAAATATTATTAAAGGATATTTGTCCTATAGGATTTTAAAATCCTTCTGGGCATTATTACCTTATTTATTGGAACTTCCACTTTGTCTATAGGATCTGATTTTGATTTTTGTGATTGTGATTAGGTTGTGTTTTTTATGGAATGTCACATTTTTTCTATAGGATATTTTTTGATTCTGTGAATTAATTATTTTTTAGATCACTATAGTTAAGGATGTTTTTTTTTCTGAAGACCTATGATTTTTCTTAAAGTATAATAATTATAATATGAACATATAAAAATTACTATATAATAAGCAATTCAGTAAACATTATATATTACATTATAAACTAAAACTAATGAAACAATAATTTTTGTTTATTTGTCTTTTATTTAGATTTTTTAAAATTGAAATTTAATTTAATTTAATCATTTAATCTTATGTGTTATTTAATAAATATCCTCCAAACTATGCTTAAAACATTATTTTTAGTCAGTGGTGTGAAAACACTCTCAATGGATATTTCACTTCATTATTAATAGCAACACCTGTTATTGTCAAAATAAATGTTTTATAAATGTAAAGTCTATTCTTCTGATATTTATAACCTCCAGATTTTGATTAATCAATGGAACAGTCAAAAACCACGACATTATCAAAAATAATTAGGTTAATTTTACATCTGCATTGTTTACTATGGCATCTAAAATATAGAAACACCCTGTTGTTAAGTTTTGTTCTTGCTTTTTTAGTATTTTCACGACGTTTTTACTTTTTTCAACAAAAAGTCCATGGTTTTTGACCGAAAAACACCATTGGGGTTATGTGTTATTTAATAAATCTACTCCAAACTACGGTTAAAACATAACTTTTTAGTCAATTTCGTCGTGTTTTAACACTCCCAATGGATAGGACACTTCATTAATTAATAGCAACACCTGCTATTATCAAAATAAATGTATTTGATGTATTATAATATTGGTATATAATAAACACTTTGGGCATACTGATAATAAAAAAGTAAAATATTAGATTTCTAACCTTATAACGTGTAGTTTCATCGGCATATGTGGATTTATAAACTGATTATGAACATTTTTGTCTGAGAAACTGTGGTACAGTGTCCTTCTCAAGATGGCCTCTCGATGTTGACAAGAGCATTATGGGAGCCTACTGACGTTGCTTTCACTGACCAATTAGCGTCTTGCAATGTTTCCGCAGCAAGAACTTTGGCGCGCCGCTTTGAAAGATTTACCTTATCAATGAAAAAAGACGATCAAAAGTACTGATCAGCCTTTTAAACCCGATTTGAAGAGATCAATAAGGAGATTTGTTATAGCACTACAGCTGTGCACACGGGCGTAGTGTTTGTCAATCATCAGATGCCCTTAAATCTGTGGTAAACTGCTGTAGCGATCCTGCTGAAAGTGGACAGGATGACGTCCACAAAAGAGATCAAGCGTAAGTTGTAATTTTTAATAATTTTTTATTAATCAGTTCAATATTATTGTTTTATTGCCATTTGTTTTAGAAAATCTTAGTGAAAATTTTTAATTTTTCAATATTAATTTTAATGTATCTCACAACATCCAGACATCTTGTTTGTATGTTTGTTTACGTTAACACTTATAACGTTATGTCAGTTGGATTTTTTTGTCTATATATAATCTATTTACTTATTTATATATTTAAGGGCTTATTTATTATGATATTTATTTTATTTTAAAATTTGGATAGAGTTTATATGTTTATTTAAACCGCAATAATTCACTTAAATTAAAACGTTATTGAAAATTAAACTTTACAAAATGCGTATGTGTAAACTATGCACGCATTTTAAATTATTTTAAGTCATATATCTTTACCTTTTATTCTGTGTTTATTAGCGTAATATTTATTCAATAAATTAAATTATTTTATTAAATGTATAAAACTATTAGTGATGAAATTAAACCTTATATCATATATTATTAAAAACGGACAAAATATAGTTTTCTGAAGAAAACCGTAAAGATGTAAAATGATAATTACTTTGTATTTAGTCATACTTGGTACACGGTAATTCGTAAATAGTTTAATTTATAGTTATATAATGTTGTAGTTCAGTAAAATAAGCATTATTGTAAATAGGTTTGTTTTTAAGAAAATGTATAATTAGCAAAATTATTATTATTAGCATGAGCGCACAAGCTACATTCATCTCTTCATGTGTGTGCAGAACTGCAAAAGGCCAAGAGTAAAGCCCAAAGCAGCAATAACCTGAAAGAAGAAGCCAGTTTGTGCAATCAACTGGGGGAGGTGTACGCTAAAACAGGTAAAATGGACTTAAGCACTTAGTACATTTAAAGGGACCCAATAATTAAAATTTCCTCATCATTTAGTCACTTAAATGTTTCCAGACTTGTATGATTTGTTGTCTTCTGTTGAAAACAAAATAAGATTCTGAAGAATGTTGGGGAAAAATTAGCCATCGGCATGCATAAAATACTACTGCTGTTTTTTTCCCCAACATTATTCAGTATATTTTTCTTTATGATCAACAGAAGAAGCTCAAATGGTTTTAAAACAAGTGGAGGATGAGTGAATGATGACTGAATCTTCACTTTTGGTTAAACAATCCCTTCAATAACAATAATCTGGGCTCTTAACCCAAACCCTAAAAGAGTTGCTCTGTGAACGATCTTCTTGATAATTATCTGCATTATTATGTATGAATGTATAGATAATCAGACTTGTTTCCCTAGGTGACTATCAAGCTGCTATTGAAGAGCATCGACAGGAATTAGCGCTGTCTGAGATTTTGCACGATGTGATTGGATCTGCTGTGGCCAATAGAAAGATTGGAGAGTGCTATGCAGAGCTGGGAAACATCGAAGCTGCACTGAAGGTTTGGAAACCTACATTTGCATTTATGCATTTGGCAGACAGTTCATCAGTTCTTGCTTTCTCAGGGAATTGAACAGAACTTTGGCATTTCTAGCAACTACTATTTAAGCTACAGTAAACGCATGCATGTATTCGTCTTAGTGGCGGAAAAATGACTGATCTAAAAATGTAGTGCGAGAAAGTATTTGTTTGTAAAATATGAGTTAAGTAGTACTCAAGAGTAGTTAGTATTACGCTGTGAAATTAGTTGACTGTATACTGTATAAGTAGGGCTCGTACGGGTGCTGGCAATGCTGGAAAATGCTAAATATTTAATATAGTGGTGTCAAGATAAGAAAAGTGCTTGGATTTTAGACAAAGTGCTTGTACCTACTTGGAATTGAAATTGCAGAACTCAAAATTACGACCCCTTTGGTCGCATATGCGCCCAAAATTTTATCTATGCGAGCTTCACGCAGAATGCATATTTGCACTTAAAAACGGCAAACATAGCGCTAAGAAATAGTTTAAAACAGTTGTAATGTCAACTTGCTGCAGTACACAAAGCCTGCAATGCTTGCTCCGCCTTAAAGCTCTTCTTATTGGCCCACTGCTCTGGAAATGAACATGAATGGTTTGGTTAATTTCAGCTGTCAATCACTCAGTTCAGATGACAGAGAGCTACTGCCGCGAAAATGTAAAGGTTTGGATACGAGAGAATAACAAAACAACAGTGACAGACTGTTTTAGAAACAACCTAAAGTTACTAATAATGGCACATCTGATCAGTGATCAAGTGGTGAAGGTTAATTCACCATTTGCACTTTTCGAAGAGTGGATAAATGAAGTTTATTTATGAACTAGTTTCGAGAGGATCATGTGCTTATGATTGATACAGCTGGCCCCGAGTCAAGCTAATGTATGATTCACCAATCAGGCGATTCCTAACTTAGTATAAATAACCTTGCATCTTGCCTTGAAGAATTCCCCCTTCCACCCCGTCCCCTCCTCTTTTTTCCTTTATAGGGCAGCACGGTGGCCCTACAGAATTCCATTCAGGTGGCCTCACAGCAAGAATGCCTCTGGTTCGGGTCTCAACCCAGCCAGTTGGCATTTCTGTGTGGAGTTCATGTTCTCCCAGTGCTTGTGTGGGTTTTTCCCGGGTCCTCTGGTTCCTCCCAAAACATGAGACATAAGTAAACTGACTAAATCAAATCAGCACCATAGTCAGATTCCACCAGCAGCTCACCCTCATAGCAATCCTTAGCAGGATTGGGGGTATATATATATATATATATATATATATATATATATTAAACAATACTAAACGAGAAAACAGTGGGTGTGGCTTGTTTTTTTCTACTGTGAGCTGATTGGATGTAGTAAAGTAGGCATTTCATTCTGAAAGATTGGGAATGGGGTTTAGGGAGAGTTTTTACAACCTAACAGACTCTTTCTCCTCAACATTTCTGTTTGTTGTCAAAACTGACAGCTGGAGGGGCGTGGTTAAGGGTGTTTGCCACGCCCAATAACTCAGACAGACATAATCTGAGAATTGAACTGAAAACAAACAGGAAGTGCATTTTCAGATTTCAATTAAAGATTACAAGGGCAAACTATTTTGTTTTCTTAATGACATGCACTGATGAATTGTTCATCACAAAACTTGCAATGTGAGTTATGTTGGACTATTTCTCACTTGCCTTAGTCCACCCCAATTCAATAATCGGTCAGGAGTCAATTAATCAAAATCAATGAATTTATTTATTGAGCATAAGTGAATAAAGTGAAGATCAGGATCCTGGGCTTTTGAAGAACCGTCGGCCAAGCAGTCTGGATGTCCAAAAGCTCTCGAACTCTTTCGACTCCCTCCTTTTATCCATCAGCAGCGTTCAATCTTTTTGGCCTCTCCTCTAATCAGTTACCCCCAATTTCTATTGTTGCCATCAGCTGTTTTCAGGCAGAATCATCTCTCAAAAGTCTGTGGTGTGCACACAGAGATACCTCTGCACACAGAAACAAAAGGGCAGGTGAAAGTATCACTCCTCCTTGACATACTTGACACTACTGACATCTGGGGTGCAGCAAGCAACTGTAGCAAAAAATCATCAAAGCACAGCTGAGCATCATAACTTCCTTAAAGAATTATCAGGATAATATCAATTTTATTAAAGCATCATACATCACGCATACACAGAGAGCAGTATAAAAATGCTGCATCTACCACATCTGCTTTTCATCCTAGTCCTGTCTATGAACTCTTGACCTGTCTATGCACCCATCTAGGGGAAGCCCTTTTGCAGATCTGTCTCCAGCCAGCACCCACACACAGCAGCAGTTAGTTAGAAACGCATTATAACAGGGGTTAAGTAGAAGTACGCTGTATCAGGAGACATCATCATATCTGACAAAAACACATATTGTAAATAATGAATAGTGAGGCAAATGGTAGTATATTCCTCCAATAGCAAAATATATCAAAAGAAAAGAGTGATTAGTAAGACAATAAAGCAATATTTTCCTCATCTGCTCCAGTTCTCTTTTCTGTGTAGAAAAGTCACACATTACAGCTGCAACCCAGACAGGGACTTTCTGCAAGACTTGTCTGTTACATATTTAGTTATTTGACATTATAGGGGTGGAAAGTTCCTGTCTCATTCTAAGGTCAAACAGAATGTCTCATCATATCACTGCGTGGACTCATTAGATTATTATGGTTCAAGCAAACACATATACATATGCAAAATAAGCATGAGCACATGTATATAATTCAAAAGAAGCATTAGACTGTAATTTTATTCCTTCAGTTAACAAAACCATATGGTTAGTTTTGATTTCATGTGTACTTTAAGTAAAAGTATGGGTTTTAAAAACTACTTAGTAAAGTTCAATTCTTGAGAAAGACTACTTAATTACAGTCATTTGAGTTTTTTAATTTGTTAGTTCACACCACGGATTGGTTCGTAATTCTGACACTCTTTCTCTTTCAGCACCAGAGGCTTCATCTGAATCTGGCTCGATCTGTCCATGATGCAGCAGAGGAACAGAGGGCTCTGGCCACTATTGGACGGACATATCTGTTCCTCTTTGACTCTGACCAATCAGCGAACAGCTTGAAACATGCTGAAGATGCATTCAAGAAGAGTCTGGCCATCGTAGATGAGCGCCTTGAAGGTTAAATCCTAATATAAATTAGCATGTGACTAATAGGTTTCAAATTATAGTCTCTCTTCAGGTTTCTGTGTTTCCATTGGGTCGTGGAATTTCTGGAATATTGAAAGGTCTATTTCAGTCATTAAAATTCAGGAAGTTTTAAAAAAAAGATTTTGTCATGGAATATCAGGGATTTTTATTTGACATTTAAAAATTAATTTTCATTCATTCATTTTCTACCCCTTTTCCGGGGCCGGGTCGTGGGGGCAGCAGTCTTAGGAGAGAACCTCAGACTTCCCTCACCCTAGACACTTCTTCCTACTCCTCCGGGGGGGATCCCCCGAGGCATTCCCAGGCCTACCGAGAGACATAGTCACTCTATCGTGTCCTGGGTCTTCCCCGAGGCCTCCTCCCGGTGGGACATGCCTGAAACACCTCAATAGGTAGGCGTCTAGGAGGCATCCGAGACAGATGCCCGAGCCACCTCAGCTGACTTCTCTCGAAGGGAACATGAGCTTCTCACCTCATCTAAAAGGGTGCGCCCTGCCTCCATGGGAAGGAAACTCATTTTGGCCGCTTGTATCTGAGATCTTGTCCTTTCAGTCATGACCCAAACCTCATGACCATAGGTGAGAGTAGTAATGAAGATTGACCGGTAAATCAAAAGCTTTGCCTTTCTGTTCAGCTCCTTCTTTACCACAACGGATCGGTAAATCGACCGCATTACTGCTGCCGCTGCACCAATCCGCTTGTCCATCTCACGCTCCATCCTTCCCTCACTCGTGAACAAAACCCCAAGATACTTGAACTCCTCCACCTGGGGTAAGGACTTTCCTCCAACCTGGAGATGGCAAACCACCTTTTTTCCAGTGGAGCACCATGGCCTGGGGCTTGGAGGTGCTGATTCTCATTTCAGCCACTTCACACTCGGCAGCAAACCACCCCAGTGCATGCTGAAATCCATGTTCAATGAAGCCAACAGAACAACATTGTCTGCGAATAACAGAGATGAAATCCTGTGGTCCCCAAACCGGACCCACTCCAGCCCAAGGCTGCACTTTGAAATTCTGTCATGAAAATTATGAACGGAATTGCTGACAAAGTTGTTGAGAGACAACACAGGGAAGCGATCACAAATTGAGGAGCGGAGAAGGGAGGCGGGGTGGAGCGACAACGCGGGGAATCCTTCACAAACTGAGGAGCGATCACAAACCGAAAGCGGCGAGAGCGTCAAAGTGGCCAGAAGTCATTAATTTTCAATGAGAACCGGCTACGAGAAACAGCGCGGCGCCTCTTCTCCGGTGTGAGTGTCGAGGAGAGTTGAAATCAAGTTAACTTTATAGTATGAGCTATGTCGCGGTTCGGCGGCAAGCATTCAGAATGAGAGGTGTTCAGAGAACACAGACCTGTGAACTTTGGTTCCGACCACAGTTGTTCCCAAGAGTTTGATTATTGCGGTTACCGAATTTACAATTATTGAAAATCGCGACGACGCGGGGCCCCCCCGCGGTGCGTGCACGTCCGCTCCGCCACTGTATAGAGCTGGTCCAGTGTACCACATTCTGGACGAAAACTGCATTGTTCCTCCTGGATTCTAAGTTCAACCATCGACCGGATCTTCCTCTCCAGGAGGATATTTGTTTTCATTTAAACAAAATGTAAATTCTCTACACATATCTTGTTTCTTATTGCATAGTTTCACTCGTTTTGCCTATTGTTACGGCTAGGCTATGTTTTCTGTGGCTATTTTTTTTCTTTTCCTACTTGTCGTATGGAATTCAATTAAATCATATGCAGTCTTCAAGCTATGTTAACTTGGGGAAAATTTGAAAGGACATTTGAAGAGCTTAAAATGACCACTCTAAAGACTGGGTCTAAGACAGTGTGAAGTGTAAAGTGAGTTATGCATTGGTGCTCTCATAACTGCTGTTAAGTTAATGAAAAATTATATTCAAGCTATTTAGAATCATTTAAAAGCATAACTGCTCTGTTTTTCTTTTTATTATAGGCCATGGAAATTCAGCTTTTTAGTCAGTGAAAGTCAGAGAATTTGATATTTGGCTAAGAGCTGGAACCCATAAGTTTGCTCTACAAATAACCCATACATACTGCATAGTAAAAATTGAGTGAGAAACATATTTAGCTTTGTGCTTTGTTTTTTTTTTATCTGGCATGAAAACATACTCCAAAAAAGTAACTTGTTGAAATATTTTTTTTTTGGACAACTTTTTTTATGTTCAATCCTCTTAAATTTGTTCGGTCAATTTAATCGATTTGTGTTGGGGCAACATGAATGAATTGTGTTGTGTGTAACCCTACATTTTATATAGTGTAACATTATACTTGGTATTTTAACATGACATTAGTATCACACAAGCATATCTGTGGCCAAAGCTCCCTTGAGTTCACTATTTTGTTTTTCTATTTTTTACGTCCTAGAGTACAGTAATATTCAATATACTTCTGGAATATTGCTGCAGAAAGTCTTATGAGTTTTTTTAAGGTCATTCGTGGTCTGCAGAAAGTAATTTGTTAATCCTAATAATTTTCTTTTTAATATTTGGTGGATGCATTATGAGGAGAATAATAACAACATGAATAAAAAATTCACTCAGTGTTTACAGTTTACTAGAACTTACTCTCATTATTCAAGAAATGCATTATGGGACATAGGAAAAAGGGGTAAAGCTTTAATAATGGCCCATTAGTGTTAGTTAATTTATTTACCAACACAAACAAACTGTTAGTAATACATTGATTATGGTATTAAGTAATCTTTGGTGAAGTAATTAATGTTATTTAAGTTAAATATCATTAGTTCATGTTAACAAGCACAACATTGGATTTTAATAATGATCTGGTTGTTTGTTGTATAATCGTTTCCCTTCCTCCATGTGATGTGTTTCTGCAGGTACTGTCTCCCCTCGAGAGATCAGTGAAATGAAGGCTCGTCTGCTGCTCAATCTGGGCTGTGTGTATGATGGCATGAAGGAGCCGCAGCGCTGCAGTGACCTCATACGACAGAGCATCTACATCGCAGAGTAAGGAACTTTTTAGCACTGTTGGTCCAGTTTTTAGAATATTTTAGAATTTAATGTTAAAGGGATTTTTTTCACCCACAGATGAAGATTTAATCACACTCAAGTGGTGCTAAAGATTTGAGTTTCTTTTTCTTTCTGCTGAACACATGAAGCTTTATTAAAGAATGTTGGAAACCGCTAGCCATTGACTTCCATTGTAGGAAAAAACATACTGGGGAAGTCAATGGGTACTGGTTTCTTATTTAGTGTTTAGCAGAAGAGGAGATTTTTCATGGTGACTCAGTTAATTGCCTCACAGCAAGAAGGTTTGAGTATATGCTTGGCCATTTCTGTGTGGAGTTTGCATGTTGGCATGGGTTTCCTCCCACAGTCTGGTTTGGGTGTTTCCCAGTAATGGGTTGCGGCTAGACAGGCAAGGGCATCTGCTGCGTACAACATATGCTGAAATAGTTGGCGGATCATGCCGCTGTGGCCCCCCTGATAAATAAGGAACTAAGTCGAAGGAAAATGAATCTACAAATGAAGACATTTTCTATATTCATATTTTTAGGAAAACTGTGATACATTTTATGAAGCTAATAGTAATATGAAAATCATATGAATAAATAATAAACCTAGCATACTTCCTGATTATATTTGTGTTGTAGTAAATTTTTTTTAAAGGTGTATTTTGTTGATTTCAAATGTAAATTATTATTATTATTAGGGGTGTCACGATTTCGATTTTTAATCGAAATCGATCGAAATTTATGCTCAATTTTGATTATCGAATCAAAAAATAGAATGGTCGATGCTGCCACGCCCCCATGTCACGTCAGCTTGGCTTGCCAAGCGGGAAAAAAAACAGGCTTGTTGAAGTGCTTGTTCAACTGCAGAAGCAGGAGACCCGTCGACAGAACTTAAATCCTCTCCTCTTTCAATGAAGTCGCCAGTGTGTAAGCATTTTGGATTTCCAGTGAGTTATGTTGGCAACGTTTGCGTTGTCGACAAAAAAAAAAACATAGTTTTGCAAGCTCTGCTATGTACGTATTACGTACGGTTTGTCTGATAGACAACACCCGCATCGCGATCCTCCACCCGGCCCCGTTGCAAATCCACTCGCGAATAGTACACACTCAGGCCCTGTTTACACTGTCTTTGTTTTTAAATGGCATTTTAGAACGACAACGATTTGACATACACAGTGGCGTGTAACATTTCTGAGCAGCCCTCCTTCCTCTCTACCTCTGAAAATGCACATCACGTGACCACACAGACACAGCCATGCGCTCGAGACAGCAGGTCCAGGCAGTCAGAGGACTGCTTCAATCTTTCACTCACTTGTACTTAGTCATTTTAGCGAACACCTCAGATACTGTTGGCTGGTTCCTGTTGGTTGTGCGTCTTTTTTACAGACGCCATTATAACGACACAGATCACTGCCTATTCACGAGTCCCGCAGAAAAAGTGATTGACAGGTGGTAATTATGTGTGTAACTTGCCTTTATTTATTTACTGTATGATTTGTTTATGGGTAAAACAAAGACCATCCAGGTCGGGTAGTTTAAACGGTAGGCTACAAATAATTAATTGGTCATTAATTAATTATTCATAATCGAAAATCGAATCGAATCGTGCCTTCAGAATCGAAAATGTAATCGAATCGAGGATTTGGAGGATCGTGACACCCTTAATTATTATTATTATTATTTTTTTATTTGAATGTGAACATCATAAAGGCATGAAAAAATGGAGACAGCAGCAAAGAGCATAGAATCACTAAGGCTGTGTCCGAAATTGCATACTTAGTTTCATACTATACAGTACACTAAAATCTGACTTATGTTCTTGCAGGAAGAACAACCTTTTAGAAGATCTGTATCGTGCCAACTTCAACCTGGGCAGCATTCACTTCCGAAATGGGCAGCATTCGCGTGCCATGCGCTGTTTTGAGCAGTCCAAAGAATGTGCTCGTAAAATGAAGGACAAGTTCAGTGAAAGCGAGTGCTTCCATAGCATCGGCAAGGTGAGGATCAATCCACATCTCCAAACAGCAGCATGTTGGTCAGCATTCCTGGCTCTGAATCCAAAACACTTAAAGTCTGAATGAACCGCAACCGTTTCTTTTCTTATTGTGACTCAGTTTCTAGAGAAACAGAATATTAAATGATAAAACGGTGGGCGTGGCTTGTGCTTTCTACTGCAAGCTGATTGGATGCATTAAAGTAGGCATTTCATTCAGAAAGATCAAGGGTTTGGGGAGTTATTAAAGCCTAACAGACTCCTCCTCCTCACCATTTCTGTTTGTTGCTGACAGTTGGAGGGGTGTGGTTAAGTATGTTAGCCACGCCCAATACCTCAGACAGACGTAATCAGAGAATTAAACTGCAAACAAACATTTTGAGCTTTTAATTCTAGATTACAAACGCAAACAGTTTTTCTTCTTAATGACATGCACAGATGAATTGTTCACCACAAAACTATCAATGTGAGCTAACAAAATCAATATGGTTAGTTTTGATTTCATTTGATGTTCACATTTGCAGTCAATTAGCAGTAAAGGGCGTGTCTACTTACTATAGTGGAGATAAAAGGGGCGTGGTCTTGTGTTATGGGCATGTATGTGTCAGCGCTTTTGAATAATCAACATCTTGGGCAACATTTTTTTATCCTGTTCACACTGGAGGCGAATAGATTAAATTCACTGAATCTGTTTTGAACTGAAATTCTGAATGTATCTAACATACTAAAGTGTTGCTGAAAGTTTGACTTGTTCAAAAATTGTATTGCTGAAAATACTTTTCCTGTTCATCCACATAAATCAGCTTTATTTGACCCAGTTTATAAAATAAAAGTTAAATAAATGTGAAATAAATAAAGGTGAATTGGTTTAAATTGGGTAAAAAAAACATTATGACTTTTATCACCATGCTTCCACATTTGATTGATTACATGAAGAATAGCAAAACATTTTTTGGATTATAAAATTATTTTTAAAATTGTTATATTACATGATTGCAAATATTATAATTATATATAATAAATGATGTATTTACTTAAAAGTGTTGTATTGTATGCATGTATAATTAAATATGCACTAATTTGCATACAATTCTTGCACAAAAATCTGAACAATAGATGAAGACGATAGTTTCCAAATTCTTGTTTCTTTTCTTTGGACAAATTCAAATCAAAGGCTCTACTCCAAAAAACAATCACCTTCAAAAAATATATATACAATGTTTTATATAAGCTGGTGAAGTATTAATAAACATGCATTTCTGGAAAAAGTCTTTAGAATATAGATATAAATAATACTGCAAATTTTGGTGTAATCAAGTGCAGCTGAAATGTTGATTTATGGCTCGGTTCAAGAAAAAAAAAATAAAACAAATACAGTTGAAGTCAGAAGTATTATCCCTTCTGAATTATTCAACCCCCCCCCCCCCCCCCCCCTATTTTTTCTCTAAATGTATTTTAATGCAAAAAACTTTCAACACATTTCTAAACATGAGTTTTAATAACTTATTCCTAACGCCCCATTCACACGGGGCGTCGGCGTCAACGCTTCCCATTCACTTTGAATGGGTGACGTCAGGCGTTGCCGAACTGCATTGTGGATCTGTCGGCGCCACTTCAGAGGCATTGCTCGCTGCAGAACTTGGGACTAGCTCAACTTTTTAACCGCCGACGGAAGCGTCAACCAATCAGATCGCTGTATGCAAATACACTAGCTCAGACAGTGGCCTATTGCTGACTGAATTTCATTGGCTGATGCTGCTATGTCGATCGCTTCAGACACGCCTTCAGACACGCCTTCAGTCAAGCGTTGACGCTGAAGCCCCGTGTGAATGGGGCGTAATAACTGATTTCTTTTATTTTTACCATGATGACAGTACATAATAGTCAACAAGATATTTTAAAACATGCTAGTATTCAGCTTACTCGTAGTGCAATTTAAAGACTTAACTAGGTTAATTAGGGGACTGATAATATTGACCTTAAAATGTCAAAAACTGTTTTTATTCTAGCCGAAATAAAACAAATAAGACTTTCTCCAGAAGAAAAAATATTATCAGAAATACTGTGAAAAATTCCTTGCTCTGTTAATCCTCATTTGGGAAATATTTGAAAAAGAATTCACAGGAGGGCGAATAATTTTGACTGTATGCGCTGTTAATAGAAAACGAAATACTCAAACTGTTTAGATGCCATAAAAGTCCATTTGTGTTTTCTTTCCAATAGGCTGAAAAAATGTACCAAAAAAAGTGAGCCATGTACCTGCAGTGTCCTCCCTTAATGTGTGTTTATTCACTGTTTTGTGTGTGTCTAGATTTTGCTTCATCTTGGTGATTTTGCGGCGGCGCGGCGTTCTCTGAAGAAAGCCTTCTGTCTGGGCTCCCAGCAGCCTTCTGATCGCGAGGCCGTCAAGAAAGATTTCAGACACGGTGAGATTAAGAAGATCTGTGAGCGACACTCAGCATCAGTTGACAGATTTGAGCAGATCAGGAGATCTAAGAGCGGTTTATCTCTTAAAGCTGCAGAGCCTAAATCTGAACACTGATCTGAGCTTAATGGAGAGCTTGTAGTTGTAAAATGCTAAGTCAAAGCACTGTAGTAACAGCGTTAGCTGACAATCTGTCTGATAAAGAGTGTTTCTAATGGTGATTTGTGATGCAGGTGAGTTGCCTTGACAAACCACCCATAGAAACACTGCTCTCTCTATATGCACCGAAGACTTTTTTTAAACTCCATCTTACAAGGACTCAATAAGTGTATGTTTCACAAATCACTTACTTTTTCAACCTTAACTACATATTTTGCACAAAATATTGCTCAATATTGTTCTGTTTTGTGTAAAAGTACTGTATAGTTAGTCTTGGGTTATTTGTATAGGTAACTATTTAAAGTATACAGTTGAAGTCAAAATGATTAGCCCTTCTGTGGATTTATTTTGGTTTCTGTTTCAAATATTTCCCAAATGATGTTTAACAGAGCAAGGGAATTTTCACGGTATGTCTGATAATATTTTTTCTTCTGGAGAAAGTCTTATTTGTTTTATTTCAGCTTGAATAAAAACAGTTTTTAATTTTTTAAAAAACATTTTAAGGTCAATATTATTAGCCCTCTTAAGCAATATTTGTTTCGATTGTTTACAAAACAAACCATCGTTATACAATAACTTGCTCAATTACCCTGGTTAAGCCTTTAAATGTCACTTTAAGCTGAATACTAGTATCTTGAAAAATATCTAGTCAAATATTTTGTGCTGTCATCTTGGAAAACAAAATTAATCAGTTATTAGAAATGAGTTATTAAAACTATTACATTTAGAAATGTATTGATAAAATCTTCTCTCCGCTAAACAGAAATTAGGGGAAAAATGTTAAGAATTAAGAAGGGCTAATAATTCTGACTTGACTTGATGAAGAGTGTGTGTTTGTAGCGATCAGAGGATGTCAGCTGGAGCAGACGGCAGCAGAAGTGACCCAGAAGTTTTCCCATGAGGCTTTGGATCTGTCTGAGCAGTTGGGAGATCTGTACTGTAAAGTGGGCTGCTATAGCAAAGCTCTGGAAGCGTATCAGACTCAAGTAAGAATATCTACAGCATTTTCAAATACTATTTTTCTTGTTTTTTCACTTGTTTTACTTTTTTTTGTACACTGGGGGTCGAAATTGTGTTTGTGTGCTTGAAATTTGTATGCTTAGCAAGGATGAATTTATTTGGTTGATAATACAGTAACTTTTTAAAAACAAATTTATTTAGATTTTTTTTAGAATTATTTTAGAAGTTATTGCTATTTTGGCAAAGGTGAATTTTCTGCCTCATTTGACTCTTATACATCGCAAACCCCTTTATATTCTGATTTGATGTTTAATTATTTTTAAATATTGCTAATGCCTAGTTAATTATTTTTCTTATAATTATCAATGTTGAAGATGTTTTTGCTGCCTCTGGTTTCAGTCAAACATTTTTCAGGATTCTTTGATGTACAGTATGTACTATTTAAAGGAGCAGAATTTTAAAAAATAAAAAAGATGGTGTTTTGCATTATAAATACATTTACAGTCAATCGAAACAATTCAATGCATCTTTGTTTAATAAAAGTATTATATCCATGTAATTATTATTTTTTTTATTATGTTTCATTTGAAAATTGATTGATACTGTTTTAAAGTTTTATAATAATAAGTGCTGGGCAAACAATTGATCCAAAATAAAAGTTTGTTTTGACACAAATATACACAGTACACACACTTATCATGTATATATAAATACACACATCCATGCATATATTTGAGAAAATGTTTATTTATGTTAAGATATAAAACATATATTTATATAATAAAAATTAGAAATACATTTAAATATCTATGTAATAAAAATGTTTTTTATGTATATGTGTGTATAACATGATAAATATGTATAATACACACACACACACTATTATGTTAAAACATAACCTGACATAACATAACATGTTAATCACAATCAATCTTTGCCCAGTACTACTACTACTAATAATAATACTTAATTCTTAGGAATCAAATCAGCATTTATTAGAATTTCTGAAGGATCATGAAACACTCACAACTGTAGAATTTATGCTGAAACATTTCAGCTTTGCATCACAGCAATAAAGCACATGTGAAATTGTATAAAAATAAAAAATAGGTTTAATTTAACTTTTTTTTTACTGTATTTGTACATAAAATGCGTTAAATAAAGTAGCATTGGTGTGCCAAAAAATGAATTGATTGTATTTACTAAATATTATATTAATAGTAATAATAAAAATAGCAATAAAATAATTTAATATTCCAAAATATAGTTCCCACTCCTCTTAAAGTACTTAATAGTACTTTAATTTCAGACACATGGATTCAAGGCCTGGAAAGTACTTAAAAACAAACACAGGTACTTGAAAGTGCTTGAATTCAATTTAAATTTAACTTGTCTATGGTTATATTTCAACAACTGTACTTAATTATCAAAAGAAGAACTGAAATTCTTTAAATTAAATATCTTACATTTAAATCTTGTCCAGTAACACTGACAAATAAAGCACATTTTATCAATATTTGAATATGAGCAGCATTGAAGTCAACATATTTTATTAAAGTTCTTTGAACATGACTTTTTGGTCAATTTTTGAAAATGACACTTTTTAATGTAAATATTAAGTGTAAGTGAAATGTTTAGTAGGGGCGACACGGTGGCTCAGTTCTTGCCTCATAGCAAGAGGGTCGCCTCCGGGTGCTCCGGTTTCCCCCACAATCCAAAGACATGTGTTATAGGTAAATTGAATTAACTAAACTGGCCGTAGTGTATGAGTGTGTTTGGATGTTTCCCAGTACTGGGTTGTGGCTAGAAGGGCATCCGCTTTATAAAACATATGCTGGATAAGTTGGGGGTTCATTCCGCTGTGGTGAAACCTGATGAATAAAGGAACTAAGCCGAAGGAAAATAAATGAATGAAATAATAAGTAAGAACTCTTATGGCGCTACATACGCTGTGTTATGAATTAAGGCTGCACAATATTAGAAAAAATGACATTGCAATATTTTGTTTTTCTGCGATATATATTGTGATATGTATACACACTGCCGGTCAAAATTCTGGGGTCAGTCTGATTTTTTTAATGTTTTAAAATAAGCTTCTCCTGCTCACAAAGGCTGGATTTATTTAATCACAAATCCAGTAAAAATTGTGAAATGTTATTGCACTATAAAATAACTGTTCAAAAGTAGTTTATAATTTAATTTAATAATTTATTCCAGTCATTTCAAAGATGAATTTTCAGCTTCATTACTCCAGTCTTCAGAGTCGCATAATATTAATTGTTGTTGTTATTATTATTGGTAATAGTAATAAAAGCAATAATGACTGGACTAATAATTTCACTTGAAAATACATTATAATAAGTAATAAATAAATATTTAATAAGTATTTAAAAATTAACAATATTTTTTTATTTAATAAATTTCGACTTGATGGACAGAATAATTTTTTAAAATTTTAATTTAGGAATGATTTGTTTAGGGGAGTGCATCTCCATAACATGTACGAAATTATAAAAATATATATCAAATAAATTAAAGCACAGATGAGAGAACAGAACAAAAATGAATAAAATAAATTAACAGCGCTTTATGGTTTTCAGTGGATTCTAACAGTACTGAGGTACAGAAATGTAATTATTAAATATAAAATACCACTGTATAGTCTTCATTGTATAAATAAACACAATTAATCTTTGTTAACCCTTTCAAGGCAGGCGTTGCAGATTTGCAACAGTTAAAAATTAAGTACCTTATTACTCCAGATACATATTTTATGAGTTTTTTTACTCAGAAGTACCACTGCAGGACTTATTTGTCCATTTGCAACAAACAGTTTCCCCACTTGCTCACCAGATGACACACACAAAAAAAAGTTTCTTGGAGTACCACATGACAAAGTGACTTGTAAACATGACCTACTCAATGAGGATTTGAGATATTGGATTTGGATCCCATATTGTTTTTGTTGTTGTTCTGCCACCGAAAAGTGTTACATTGTTCGAAAAGTTGTACATAAAAAATTATTTTTCATATCATATTCAGTCGTCAGTGTCTAATTACCACACTGAGCCAATGTTGCAAATCTGCAACATCCCAGAACGCCTTGCATGTGAAGGTCTCTCTAAAAAAAGTCAGGATCACGCCATATGATAATTTTCCCCAAATATCAGATTTTTCCTGTTTCTAAAAATTAATTTGAGCCTGAAAGGGTTAAAGTGGCAAACTTGATCATTTCTTGTGTTTAAAGGGTTTAAATTCACTTGAAATGGCTGCGATGTGACCATTGCAGATCCACACATTGCGATAATGATGCTAAAACGATATATTATTCAGCCATAGTATGAATTACAAAAGTGCTTGAAGTCCTTAAAAGTCCTTGAATCTGCTGTTCATGAAAGTGTGGGAACCCTGAAATACGTATTGAAGTCATGTATCATATATTGTGAGTATATTTAAAGTTCTCTGCTCATGTGTTTTTGTATTAGCTGGCGTGTGCAGAGGCTTTAGCCAAGCCTGCTCGTGAGTTAGCCGTCATTCATGTGTCTCTGGCGGCCACTTACACAGATCTACGACAGCATCACAGGGCCGTGGAGCATTACAGACAAGAATTACAGCTGAGGAAGGGAAACCCTAAAGAGGTAACAAACCCTGTTACACCCTCACATGCTGCTGAATCCTCCACTACAGTGTCTTCTGTTTGTGCGTTTCAGGAGTGTGAGACGTGGTTGAACATGGCTGTTTGTCAGGAGGAGATGTGCCAGTCTATGGAGACCCTCGATCACTGTTTTGCTTCTGCTCTGAACTGCGCTGAGAAATCAGGACTAAATAAACTACAGGTTTGTTAAAGTCAGTATGAACGAGACGTTGCTGAGACTTTTATTTCGGTGTGTTGATGTGCTCCCAACTGAAACGGAATATTGAGTAGGGGGCGGGGTCTTTCTTTTGCGCATCATTGCCTCATAGCAAACTAATGGTGAAAGGGGCGTGGTTATGAATGTTGTGTCTGAAGCTGTCAAACTGACGTCATCAGTGAATGATCGCCACTTAAAATGCTGAAGAGAATGCCCAGACTTTGACCGAAGATTACTATGTAAAGTTTATTTATCTCATTTTGAGAAGATCACCTGCTTATGATTGACCACAGCTGGTCCCGCTTTAGCTAACACATGATTCACCAATCAGATGAATCCTACCACATTAAAAATAACCAGAATTTTTTACCTTAGTTATCTTTGTCTTGAAGAACCCCCCCCCCCCCCCCCCCCCTTCACCCCTACTTCTCCTACCAATTCTTAAATAGGACGGCATGGCGGCTTAGTGGTTAGCACTGTTGCCTCACAGCAAGAACGTCACTGGTTCAAGTCCTTATCAGACTAGTAGACGTTTCTGTGGGGAGTTTGCTTGTTCCCCCTGTGGCTTTCCCCCACAGTCCAAACACATGCGTTATAGGTAAATTGGATGAACTAAATTGGGCGTAGTGTATAAATGTGTGTGAGAATGTATGGGTGTTTCTCAGTACTGGGTTGCAGCTGGAAGTGTATTCGTTGTGTAAAACATATGCTGGAATACTTGGTGGTTTATTCCGCTGTGGCGACCCCTGATAAATAAGGTGCTAAGCCGTAGGAAAATGAATATTTTATTTTTTTATGCAGTCGTTCAAGTCTTAATGGAGTTTTGCGTAAGACAGAGTTTGCTAAATGAATGTGAATGTGGTGTGTTTTCAGAGGCGTGTGTTAAGAGTGTGGCTTCAGGCCCAGCGGCGCTGCGGATCCTCCCAGTGTGACGACACTGAGGCCCGGCTGATGGAGCTCTGTGAGCGGGACGGACTGTCGCTGGACCAAAGTGAGGATGAGGATGAGGAAGATGATGTGGACAACAGCGAACCACTGGAGGACAGTGACATCCAGTACTCCGAGTCAGATGGTAATATACACACACACACACACACACACACACACACACACACACAAACACACGCATCACACTAAGAGCTTGCAGAATGACAATACAGACAACAATTAGTAATATTTCTCAGCAGCATAATTGTTTTTAAAGTATTTAATTATAACTTTAAGTTTTTCTTTTTAATTTAGGTTCATTTAGTGATTTTTTTATGTTTTGTTTCTAATTTCATTTGTTTTTTTATTTATTTCAGGATTAATATCATATTTTTATAAGTTATTATAATACTTTTTTAATTCTAAAAAAGTATGTAATTATATTAAAAATAAGAATAGATTGAAATAAATATATAAATGTATTCGAAATCAAAAATTATATATATATTTTTTATAATTTTGTCTTTAAATATAAACACATAAGTGTCATGGCACATATAATATATTATAATATTATAAAATCTTGCTAATATTATGTTAATATTCTCAGATTTTCTGATTCATTGATATTCGCCTCTTATATTATATGAGCATTATCAGACGAGTAGCAGTGCGATATAGCTGTATATCAGTGCGTTAGTGTCCCACAGGTGCTGATAAACAGTCATATTGCACTGCAACTCGTGTGATATTGCATTTATACAACAGTTTGATGGCATAATCGTATATAGAAAAAAGTAAATCAAACACGGAGAGTCCTAAAAATCCTTTTGTATTAAGAACTACTTTCTTCCGCCATTTATTCATATCTGCAGCTGACGTCAGAACAGCAGAAGCCGTTACTAATTCACCAATGTCACTTTAGAGTTAGTATTTGAATGCTTCTCTAGCGTAATGTCTAAAGTGATGACAAAACAGGTGATTTTGCTCACATTTGCTCACATTTTAAGATTATAAGGCTGATATGCGAGTCCCATCTCACACTCAATACACAACAATTATATGGTATAAATACAGCACTACAACATACAAAAGAGAGAGATCGACTTAGTATATCACTTACCAGTATAATAATGATTTGATCAGCTATAGTTACGCTGTTTTAATCTTCTATGGGCTTATGCGGTCCTGTCGCCATCTTGTGGATGAAAACTCCTACTGTCTTTGGTCTGCTCAGTATGACAAGCTAATGGCCACTGATGCGCTGTCTCTCAGAAATGATAAATATTTAAATATAGGCACTATCCTTATAAATAAACTGCATAGTTGCAATCTAAACAACTGCATTCTCGTCTACAAAAACCTCAAAAGTACATTATGTTGTCCAGTAGCTGCAATATTTGTCAAATTGTATAGTGTCCTCTGCTTGTGTCTGTATGTGGGCGGAGTAATACACAAGGGTGAAGGGTTAAGAGGCTGGACGAGTGCTGTTACTGGCAGAATATTGCACGGCTATCAGCCAATCAGATTCAAGAACGAGACAGAACTGTTGTATAAACTATATATTATATTATATTATATTATATTATATTATATTATATTATATTATATTATATTATATTATATTATATTATATTATAATGTAATATATTATTTTATAATATAATTTAGTATAATATAATATAGAATAAATCAAATATATTAGTTTATTGTATGCTTAAGTATAATAGCTGTTATATAAGTATAAAAATATTAATAGTACACTTCTAAGTATTTTTCTTATAATTAAGAAAATGTACATAATGTGGTATTTTAATGATGAAATTTCGTCATTTAATGAGATTTGCTGGTCCATTTTATTTTAAATTAAAAGATACAAAATCATGCGTGTGACCAGGATGTTGTATTCTGTCTGAGTGAGTGAATGCTCTGTTTGTGCAGATGAGGATCTGGAAGGTTATGATAAGATGGTCACAGGCAGGAGAAAGACTCAGAGGGTAAGACATGTGCTTAATGTTGTGCTTCATCATTCTCTGTGTTGTTATTTGGTCATCTTGTTTGTTTGATGTTGTCTGCGCAGTGGAACAGACGGAATGAGAAGGGTGAGACTGTCCTCCACAGGGCCTGTATAGAGGGAAACCTAAGGCAGGTTCAGTACCTCATTGAACAGGTGAGCTTGACTTTTACCCCAAGGTATGCGTTTCTATTACAAATTTGTGCTACTATTTTGCTACTACAAAAAAACTATTTTGAAAATGATCCAATCGAGTATTTATGTGAATCAAACTCATTCTCTTATATATTAAGGCCCAATTCTCCTTTTTTACCACTACCCCTTCCCTTTCAAGTTCATCCTTGAGAAATGGGACTCTACTATAACACCCGCACACGTGATCGTATGTTGTCACAAGCTCTTATATGACATTGACGATGGAAACTGCTGTAGTTATTCCAGTTGTGTTATTTTTTGCTATTTATTTTCAAGAAATCACAGAAGGCAACAATAATGGGTTATTATGATGATATAATGTGCCAATAAGCTCTAGCTATACTGTGTATTTACACCGTGGCCATATTCATCTATGTAAACACAGGAAAACAACATTAACATTATAAGTAACTTATATCATTATACCAAACACTGAATAAAAGGTAATTTGTGGCATAGAAGGAACATTTAGTATCACTAGTTTTTGTACGTTTATAGTGGGAATTGATCTGACTTACTTCATCGAAAACAATGACGGTGCCCTTGGCCTAAAATAAATGTCTTTTTTTTTTATAACGTAAATATGTCATGTTTTTTTTCTACATATTTCATAATGAGGCATCATTTACATTTATATTAAACTATACATGTTTTGATACCCAGGGTTCCCTTTAAAAAATGGTTTCGTCACTGGCAGATTATTTAGCTTGTTTAAAGTTGAAACTCGCTTTTTTTTTTAACAAAACAAACTTTCACTTTTGTTAAAAATGGTGCATGATTTTTATTTATTTTTTAAAATTTGGACAAGAAACAATACTTTATTAGCTCTTTAAAGGGTCACGAAACACCAAAACACATTTTTTGAGCTGTTGACAGTCGTATATGTGTCCCACACTGCTAAAAACACTATTAGGACACCTATATTTCACTAAAAAGTGTAAATTGGTTGTTTTTGCGTTATTTTAAGCAAATTCGTACTTCCTGTTTGAAACTAATTTTTGAAGCTGCGTCACGGTCATGACATAATAGCGTGTATTCCAGCGTGCAGACTGGGCGTCTGTGCCTGAGTGAGTCTTATTACGTCTTACAGTGTGTTGCATTAATGCATGAGTAAGGCTTGGGTCAAACCAATCAGCGCACTCTATTGTGCAACTTCATTAATATTCATTACTATCACCGTGTTTTCAGGACAGAGACGCCACGTTGTGTTGGCAAAACAAGCGTGAAGTGTTGCTTTTATAGTTTGCTGCAGTTAAGTTTCGTTTTCATTTTCTCTCTGTGAGAGCTCAGACTCACGTGTGGATTACAGTGTACGCGACGCGCGACAACAATAACTTACGTGTCTAAGGAGGATTATTGTTTACCTGAGAGCTGTTCTCATCTGCAAACGCTGGGATCTGGAATCGTTTGTAGTATTCTCTTCATAAAGACGCGGCTCTAGTTGCTGGTGATTGTCCTGTCTCTACAGATTTGGTAAGTGAGCGATCAGTGCTCTTTGTTTATTCAGTTTGTTCGTATCTAACAAACTATTGCACCGAGTGTAAACATGTTAGCACCACAACCAAACTTTAACCTCGTGTAGGGTTTTTACCGCATTTAGTGAACGGAATAACACGCGCGGCTTTCTGACACTACCTGCCGTGTGCATCTAAGTTTCTGGGAAATGCAGAGGGTTTTTTTCTCTCAATCGCCGTGCGGTATAAAACATTGCATGAAAAATACACGCTTAGAGCAGCTCCTCGAATCAAATGTCTCGTGTGTCGCGAGGGGCATGAATGAATTCCCTGAATGAAAGAGCCAAACTGCAGTTAAAGTCCACCATTTAATAATTTGGCTAATAATTCGACTACAGATGTCCATGTAGGTTAAACACCATCACATTCTCCTGTATGTATGTGTGTGTGTGTGTGTATTTTGACTCTGAAACTCGCGCGTGCCCAAATCGACACACCCACACCCTCCCACTTTAGTTCCTCCGACACTCCCCCCTAAACAGAGCTGGACACGCCCACTTTTCTGACTTTTTCCAAAGAAGAGGTGTGAAAACACCCTGCTGAAACGAGGGGGTTTCATGGCCCTTTAAGGAAGTTTTTGATTGATGTTTATACTCTTCAGGTGATGTATTAAGTGTCATGTTCCTTGACAGGGTCACCCGGTTAACGTAAGGGATTACTGCGGTTGGACTCCTCTACATGAATCCTGTAACTACGGCCATCAAGGTACTGCAGTTTAACCTTTTTTTCTTAAAATCTCCAAGACATGCGTATCTCCTCAGTGAGACTGAAATCTGTAATTATTTGGAATATTATATAATTTTATTAATTTAGTGATAAAAAAAAATGTCTTCATGTATAAACTCTTAAATTTTTTGTTGTATTTTTAAATTTTGTCTTAATATATAAAAGCATAGGAAATGTCATGGTACTTGACATAATATAGTTTAATCGTGTGTTGGGTATAATATATAGAGACGTGTCTTATCAGAGAGGCTGAAATCTGTTTCTTTCAGAGATCGTAGCATTCCTGCTGGACCGCGGAGCAAATGTAAATGACCCTGGGGGTCGAGAGTGTGGAGGAATCACACCTTTGCATGACACGCTAAACTGCGGACACTTCAGTGTTGCTCGACTGCTGGTGCTGAGAGGAGCGTCAGTCACTGTTCGCAATAGCAAGGTAAGATATAAAGTCAAAATTCTTATTACGTCGCAATTCCAAGTTCTAAAGTCAAAATTCTCAATTATAATGTAAAAAAAATCCAAGTTCTATAGGAATTCAGAGTTATACCGTCGCAATTCCAAGTTCTAAAGTTGGAATTTTGAGTTATAATGTCCCAATTTCAAGTTCTAAAGTCAGAATTCCGAGTTATAACGTCGCAATTTCAAGTTGTAAAGTCAGAATTCTGAGTTAAAATGTCGCAATTTCACATTCTAAAGTCGTAATTTTAAGTTATAATGTTGCAAATCCAAGGTCTAAAGTCAGAATTCTCAGTTATAACGCCGCATTTCCAAGTTCTGAAGTCAGAATTCTGAGTTGAAATAAATATTTGAATTTCCCTTCTTTCTTTGCTGGTTGTCTTTGGTGTGTCTAACGTGAGCTCTGTGTATAGGGTCACACTCCTCTGGACACTCTCCGTCAGTGGTTTAAGACTTACAGTGGACAGCTGGATCCAGAGACCAAGCAGGAGTGTTTGGAGACTGAGAAGCTCATCAAGAGAGCTCTGTCTGGAGACGGTGAGCACACAAAATGGTTATGTATTATGACATCTTGCTTACATATTTTAAATGTATTTGAAAATTAATTTTCTCTTGTTTAGAACCAAAATCTGATAAGTTGTTAATGCTTCCAGATTTAAAAGAGTACCCCAACAATGGCTAAAGCCACACAAATTAGAGGGTCTATTAAATGGCATAACATATTTTTGGCCGATAAATTTTCAATAATATTCTAATATAATATAATATTAGAACTATGTTGCTTTCAGTTTGTCATTGTTGTTCAACGTAGTTTCACAAAGATTCAGCTACTCGGGTATTCAGCTATAATATATCGTAAATCAGAAAATCAGAAAAGTGTTCGGGAGCTACATTCACATACACTTTCACGACATGCTTGACCCAAAATTGAAGGCCTAAATTGTTAACATAAGTTTATTTAACGCAACTAATCTTAGGTAAGGTTATTGTCTCAGTTAATGCCTAACAACGTGTTAAAACAGTTATAATTTAATAATTTTAATAAATAAATACATTTAATAGCTACAAAATTTTTTTGTCGTATTTTTAAAAATAATAACTTTTTTTCACTGTTGATTTTAATTTATTAACTAACATTTACTAATGAGACTTTATTGTAAAGGGCTACCTATTGTACGTGCATTTGAAATTAGTGAAACATGTATTTACTCTGAACGTGTATATAAATAAAACAATATGGCAAGTAATATAAGTTTTGTTTGTTATAACTGTTAAAGTTGCTTTTTTTGTACTTTAGGTCAATATTGTGTGCTAATACTGCAATATAAAGACTTCAGCAGTTAATCACAACAAGAACATTTGATACAGTCATAAGCCTAGGGATGATGCTAATAATCTTAAATTTGTCAGATCTTTATGCTAACTAGATTGTAGAATATTTAAAGGGAACCTATTATGAACCTGTTTACAAGATGTAAAATTAGTCTCTGATGTCTCTAAAGTATGTATGTGAAGTTTCAGCTCAAAATATCACACAAATAATGTTTTATAACTCTTTGAAACTGACCCTTTTAGGCCGCTTTGGTGGTCGCTTTAAATTTGAATGAGATTGTGCTCTTTTCAAATGAGGGCGGAGCTACAAATGCCTGTGTCAGCATAGTGGCAGATTCAGACATTTAGTGTTTTCTCTGTGCAAAACTGAAAGTGTTAAAGAAGTGTCTCAAAATAAGGTAGTCTGGTTACTACTGTTCTTTTGTGCATCCTAAAACTCCACATTTAGAATGCCTTAGTCACTGATATTATCTTCAGCAGGTGAAACTATAATGGCAGACGGCTGCATCTCACTCAGGGCTATTTATGCTAATGAGGGAGAGATTGTCACTAATGGGCAGGGCTTTCCCCCTCTGATGAAGGTCAATCAAAGTGTTTCTGCAGGCTGTTTTTATCAAGTGAAATTTCTGCCATGAATCTCTATCCGTGCGCATGCTAATATGTTCACCTAATCTCCTGCGTCATTAACTACATGGTGCAGGAGATTGGTTGCTGTCACCTCAGCAGCCAATGAACTGGCACCTTATCAGTTTAAATGCTCCACGTCGTTTTTCACTGTTATGCTGCTTCTCGTTTTTGGAGACCCTCCTCCACCCCAGCTCCACCTGTGTTTAGATCTGCTATGGGGATTACATATATATTATGTTTGCAGCAGCAGCATGTTATTTTCTCAGACGGTATGTCTGTGTAGTAGCAGGTCTCGGTACCTGCTCTGCTTTAATAATCAAAGCAGCAGCAGCGTAGCAGGTCTATACCGCCAAGACCAACAACATCAACATTGCCATATACATATTCATTACCAAACTAAATCCAGAGTGTTCATCAAAGAAGTCTGACTATGAAAAAACAGAATTCATTTTTACCATTAGAAGCTGTTTATATTCACAGACTGTTGTCACACAACTGTACTTAAACCCCTTATTAAAGTGATTTTTGCATAATAGGTCCCCTTTAAAGCATCCTTGTCTTATTCTCCTGTAGTCTCAGTTGTGTGTGCGGCTCCACGGCAGCAAAAGGAGCTTCAGGACAGTCAGCTGTTTGATGCGGAGTATTCAGAGCCCCTGCTGCGAGAGTCACCACCATCACCTCCACCAATCACACGTCCCGCTGCAACTGTCCCGACTTCTAAAGACTCGGCACCCAAACACAGAAGCACATCTGCTTCAACCCGTTGGCCACGGGGAATGGAAGTAGATGTTCTGTATGGGGTAAGGTTAATTTTCTAAAACATTTTTTTTTTCTAAAATTATATATTTAAATATGCAAATGAGGCATTATCAAATTAGATATGAACTTATTTGCATAAGTTGAATAATGAGCAGAAATATGAACACTGAATAACCAAAATTGTCTTTTTACTGATAGGATTTTATATACAGTATAAATAAAGACTGGAACCTTAGAATCTAACAAAAGAGCAGTCCAAAAATGAGTACACACAAATTAGCATGCTGGAGAAAATATTAAATAAAATGTTAATAAACAGGAAAAATCAAGAGAAGCACAATTTTTTTTTTGAAATTATAGTTTAAATTTCTCTTTGCTGTAACTTATTTAAATTTAAATATATTATCTTTCTATTTTTAAAGACATTAGGTGTCCAAACTCTTATTTATATAATTGCCTGCAATTTTCTGGAAAGGTCTGTATATGTAAACAGGCCCTTTTTGAAACTACCAGTAAATTTTCTGGAAAGCGAAGTTGCAACATTACCAGTAATTTGCCGGAATGCTGCTCTGTGTAATCGCTGAAGGAAGAAGGAAAAAGCGCGTGCACTTCTAGAACATGCTGACGTGAGACGTCTACTTTAGCCAATCAGAACAGTCAGACGCATTCACGTCGGTGCGGTTTATGAAAATAAAAGCCTTTGAATATTTTTTCAGACACATTTAGCTGCTAGATGTTAGTCAGATGACGTTTATAAGTTCCTTCTTAAAGCCTACGGTGTAAATAATTATCGAAAAGATGCTCATAATAAGCTGTTGTTTGTTTACCTTCAAGCTCTACTTCCTTCAGTTGCTTGATGCGTCGCGTGTGCCCGTGAAGCAGCCTGTGAGCACCAGCACACACACATATCATGTACATCTCGACATGTGAAAGTGTTCCTCTATATTTTCATCGAAGTTGTTCACAATACTGATCTATCCACAGAGTTTGTAATGTAGTCAAATGTTTACAAATACAAGCGCAGCTGTTTAGAGCTCATTTCTGGTTAATGATGTGAGAATTTACCAGTATTTTGGAATGAATGTGTAAGTGGTCTTTTCTGGAAAAATTTTGAAACGTCCTGTGTGAACGGTGCTTTTTTTTTAAGCTTCCAGTAAAGTTGTTCTGGAAATTTTCACGGTATCACTGTATAAAAGGGGCTAATGTTTACTATGAAAGTCAATGGTTGTTGCTTTCCAGCATTTTCAAAATATGTACCTTTGTGTAAAACAAATCTAACTGGATTTGAACAAGTGAAGGATGAGTACATGATGACAAAATGTTCATTTTGGGGTGAACTATCCCTTTAAAAACCAGGGGCACAAATGTATGAAGTGTAATCAAATATTTACCTCATCTGTTAATATAATTTTATAATGTTGTTACTGTTTTAGGATGATAGCAGTTCTTCAGATAATCCCGACTCAGATTGTTCACTCAGTCCTCTGCGTCCTGTTCGGTCGAGACCGCGTTCCCCACCTGCACAGTCTCCACAAGAGGTCCCATCCAGTCAGGAATTGCCCTCTGTATATGGGATCAAAGAAACAACAGTACCCCCGCAGTCAGAATCCGGCAGACTGGAGTACCAGAAGGCCATGCAGAACCTGGGCAGTGCCAAGTCCCGCCTCTTCTCTCAGAGCCTATCAGAACCAGCCTTTACCAGCACGCCAGCGGTGTCGGCCAATAGCAGAGCAGCGCTGGTTCCAGAGGACCAGTATCTGGCAGATGATTGGCTGGAGGATGACCTAATTGATATGCAACCCAAGAAAAAGCGCAGAGTTTCTGAGCACAACGCGACAAGAGAAACCACTTCCAGAAGCCAGAATAATTCCTCCACAATTGCTGAAGTTCCTCCTAGAGGTGTGTAAATGATATGAAATGAGATGGTATTGTATTGTATTGTATGGTATTGTATTGTATATTATATTATATTATATTATATTATATTATATTGTATTGTATGATATTATATTACAATATATTATATTATATTATATTACAATATATTATATTGTATTGTATGATATTATATTACAATATATTTTATTATATTATGTTACAATATATTATATTATATTATATTATTTTCATTTATATTATATTATATTACAATATATTATATTATATTATTTTATATTATATTATATTATATCATATTGTATTGTATGATATTATATTATATTATTTTATATTATATTATTTTATATTATATGATATCATATTATATCTTATTGTATTATATTATATGGTATTATTTTATGTATTATATTATATTATATTATATTATATAACAAATTATCAATAAACTTATATTATTGACACACAATTGTTTTATCGCACTTTAATTTCCTGATGTTCTGCAATCTCTTTATAACAATCACAGTATCGGATTAATGTTTTATTATTTACCATGTCATTGTTTGTAATAACACTCCGCTGACAGCTACTCATATTTCTGTGCTTGCAGTTCAGAGTTGCTCCAGCAGGGGAAGCCTGTCTCTGAAGAAGGGCAGTAATAAGCCTCGGCAGGTGAAGATGAATCAGCTGCCCGGGATGGTGATGTTAGGCAGGAGGGAAGTGAGCAGGTCACAGAGTCCCATAATGACCCAGGAGTCTGACCACATTCAGGAGCCTGCGCCACCTTCCCATCAGGCTATGGTACTACACACATTACATTGTCAATAGTAGCCTTGCGCTGAATCTGCACCCACAGAAATCTGCACATATTTTTAGCCCATCATTGAATCTATTTACCTGTGCAATATATATTTATTCAGCTTTTATGTTAATTTCAGTAATATTATTGCTGTTATTGTTATTAATATTATTAATATGATCTATATTATTATAGTTAGTATACTCTCAAAGTAATTTCCTGTAAATCTGCAGATTTTGTACAAAATTTCATATAGAAATGCCAACTGGCTCAGCCGGGACTTGAACCAGCAAACTTCTCTCTGTGAGGTGACAGTGCTAACCACTGAGCCGCCGTGCTGTCCTATTTTAATTAAATAATTAATTTGCTTTTCTGCTTAATCTGGGGTCGCCACAGCAGAATGAACTGCCAAATTATCCAACATATGTTTTACACAGCGTATGCCCTTCCAGCTGCAATCCAACATTGGAAAACACCCATACACACCCTTTTATAAACACACACTACGGCCAATTCAGCTTACCCAATTCACCTATACCCGCATGTCTTTGGACTGTGGGGGGAACTGGAGCACCCGGAGGAAACCCACATCAACACGAGGAGAACATGCAAACTCCACACAGAAATGCCAACTGACCAGTCCAGGGCTCAAACCAAACTCACTGCGCAACCGTGACGCCCCCTATTTTAACTCGCAATTCGATAATATGATAATTGAGACATAATTAATTCATTTTTATCAATCAATTAATTAATTATTGGCTATTTAAAGTAATGCCATTGTGTTTTTTTTGTGTTTTTTAAGCCACCGGCGTCTTTCCAGAACCGAGCGGCCCATGTTCCTGCACCAATCAGGATGAGGGTTAAAGTTCAGGACAATGTCTTCTTGATTCCAGTTCCACACAGGTATGATGCAGGTTTATGTGTGTTTATGTTTTGTGTTGGATTATGTGTGTGTCTGAATCTAGTTGTCATGCGTGTGTGTTTGCAGTGAGGCAGACTCGTGTACAGTTGCGTGGTTGTGTGATCAGGCCGCTCAGCGTTATTATCAGATGTGTGGACTGCTGCCTCGTCTGTCTCTGCAGAAAGAGGGCGCTCTGCTCTTACCCACTGACCCACTGCTGGCTGTGCTGCACACCAATGAAGAGGTCAGAGACAAATAATGCTGTGCTTTTGTTTTTGGAATCACTGAAGAGCATCAAATACTGGCTTTTAAGTAAACTTAGTTTTCACTCTTTTGTTTTTTTACTCCTTCAGGGTCTTTTAGTGTGTAATGTTGCTGTCTGAGCACGAGAAAAGATCTGCAGAGTTACAAAATGCAAAGTTAATTTGTTATCTAGTTATTTTAGAGTTGTGATTGTGTTTTCTTTATGTCCAAGAAACAATGTACACACATATACAGTGCTCAAAATAATTGAGTACACTCCATTTTGAAAATGAATATTTTCATTGAGTTCTCTGTGAATACAGGTCATATAAATTTTGGTGCATTTAAACAAAACTGATTTTTAAATGGATTTATTTATTAAAATTGTATTTTAGCCACTGAACATATTTAGAAATATTATGTGAAATATTGCAACCAAAAATGACAAACTACAAAATGTATATATATATATATGTGTATATATATGTGTATATATATATATATATATATATATATGTATGTATGTATATATGTATGTATATATATATATATGTATGTATATATATATATGAAAAACACCCATACACATATATATGGGTTTGGGTTTAGATTAATGTCCAATATGTCTGAGATTGACTCAAAAAATAACCGCCAGAATTCAGACAGTTTGGGGCACGACCAGAACATGTGAGTGAGGTTGCATGGGGTCTGTGAAACACCTATTACATTTGTTAACTAATTTGTCAGAATAGGGCTTTGAGAGTTTCTCTTTGCTATAGTGTAGTCTGTGGAGGACCTTAAATTGTATGAGTGATAATCTAGCGTGACTAGAATTTACAGCATATAAGGCCTCCTTTCAGAAATCTTCAGAGAGATTAAATTAAAGTTCTGATTCCCAGTTCATCTTAATCTTATTTAGGATAGATTCATTAGTTGGGCAGAGCAAATTAGATGAAATACAGCCTCTTGACAAGGTTTTGGCTTTAATGATCAAGTCTATTCCGCTAGGTGTTAGGATATGTGGGAATGAAGTTGTGTTTGTTCTTGCGAAGTCGCGTAGTTTGAAATATCAAAAAAAGTCTGATTTGTTTAAACTAAATGTAGAAATCAGCTGGTTGAAGCTTGCAAACAGATCTTCAATATATCCTTTTAAAGATTTTAATGGTAATGCTAATTTTCACCGTTTCATTTAGATAAACTCTTGAGACAAAGTCTGAAAAGACAATGTCCAAACTTTAATAATGAACCTATATTAAATTCTGCGCTTCCCACTGCCTTGTTCAGCCGCAATGACTTCTGGGCCTTCTTGAGTGAATTTTTTGCGTTTAAGTCTGCATCGATGCGTCCTCTATCAAGAACGCATCCAAGAACTTTCATGTGTCCTCCGTTCTTGCGGTCCTGAGTTTTGGAGCTGAACTCTACACGAGGACGCAAGATCGCTGAAGAACGCATATTGAGAAACAGCCTCTGTATACTAAAAACTTTCAGGCAGGTGTGTTGGAGGTAACAATGCATGACACTGGCCCTCCAAGACTGAGTTTGGACACATCTGTATTAATTTTAAAGAGAGATTTGTGAGGGGTGTACTCCGCTTTGCTGAGCACTTTATTTATATAATCAAAAGTGAAAACAAAAAGTTTTATATCCACTTGTTCTTGTTTTATTACCGCTGAATATTTTTTCCTGGTGAACAGCCTGAAAGTTTAACTCAGTTTGATTATTCTGTTTCTAAGGTTCTTGCTGAAGTGTGTTCATGGGATCTTCCTCCTCTGCCTGAGCGCTACAGGAAGGCCTGTCAGAGTCTGGGAGTGGGTGAGGGACATTTTCTTTCATTAAAGGGACAGTTCACCTAAAAGCGAAAATTGTGTCATCACTTACTCACCATTGACTTGCTCAAAATATTTTTTTGTTCTGTTGAACACAAAAAACAAGATATTTTAAAGGTCCTGTGAAGTTTTTATAATGTTTTTAGATGTTAGTATGAGTATGTTAGTTTCAAGGATATCTGTAATCTAGTGTGCTGCAAAATTGGCGTTTATTACAAATAAAACAGATATAAACATCTGAAGTGTTTGTCACTTCCGCCTAGATGGATCAACGTTTTTTTTCCACATCACCTCAAACTTTAGTTTCTCATCTACTCTTGACCAATCAAACGCCCTCTAGGATCTGACATGCCCCGCCTCCTTCAAGGCTTCCTTTTCATTTGATGCGCTTGATCTCAACCACTCTCACCGGCAGATCTGTGGTAAAAGCTAAATGTAATTTAATGTTTTTTTATAAAGTGGAGGGGCTATTCAATGTCTCGCCCTCTTTGTATTTCAGTTGAGATTATATCAAATAAAGAGAATGCACATTTCAAAGCACTTCACGGGACCTTTAAAGAAAGTTAAAACCTTTAACCACTGACTTCCATAGTAGGAAAAAACAAATACTATGAAAGTCAATGGTTACAGGCTTTCAACATTCTTCAGAATATCTTCTATAGTGTTTAACAGATAAAAAAAAAAAACTCAAACTGTTTTTAAACAACTCAAGCATGAGTAAATGATTAAGAATAAATGATGAGAAATTTTTTTTAACTCTGTTTTTATTGATATTTATTAGTCAGAATGCTACAGCACCAAATACAAAGAATTAGAAGACTCAACTCCAACTCAACTTCGCTCCAATCTAGCAGCAGAGCACAATTAGCTGACATTTTCTTTCTCTCTGAATTAAGCAACACTATAGCATATTCTTGCATTAAGAACAATATGAAAAAACACACAAAACAAATTAAATATATAATAATAATAATAATAATAATAAGATTAAATAACATTATAGATTAAAGTAACACATATTAGGCCATACAACAATACAGAAAAAATATGAATACAAATATGCAAAAGGTACAGCAGAAAATATAGAAGGAAAAAATTTAACTGACAAACCACTCCATTCATAACTAAGGCTCTGGTCAGATCATACGATTTTTATTGTCTGTTATGAAAGTCAATATGTCAGATTATGCTATTTTTATTTATTTTTTTGGGTAACAAATGTGCCAGACTACACGTTCCTTCACGATCAGTCATCCTGTGCCGTCTAAGCGTTATTTCCCAAAGCAGTCGGGAGTGTTGCTATAACAATATCTCAATTATCTTATCAATTGTCTTATCTCAGTTTAATTGAATTAACGTCAATCTCAATAAACACTGATGCTGGCTGACAACTAATAACTATTTAAAGACATTCGTTATAACATTGATAGGATCAAACTTTTATGTTTCCTTTTTAATACTAACATATTTTCTTTGGAATCTAAATGTAGATTTAATGTAGATACATTTTTCTTGCCTGAACATGAAAAGAAAAAAACATCAGCAGCTGTAAAGCAGTGAAGAATGAAATAAATCCTTACTTTCCACAATGCGGAACAAATCATTATGGACTAAGGGTGTCACGATCCTCCAAATTCTCGATTCGATTACATTTTCGATTCTGAAGGCACGATTCAATTAGATTTTCGATTATGAATAATTAATTAATGACCAATTAATTATTTGTAGCCTACCGTTTAAACTACCTGACCTGCGTGGTCTTTGTTTTACCCATAAACAAATCATACAGTAAATGAATAAAGGCAAGATACACACATAATTACCACCTGTCAATCACTTTTTCTGCGGGACTCGTGAATAGGCAGTGATCTGTGTTGTTATAATGGCGTCGGTAAAAAAGACGCACAACCAACAGGAACCAGCCAACAGTATCTGAGGTGTTCGCTAAAATGACTAAGTACAAGTGAGTGAAAGTTTGAAGCAGTCCTCTGACTGCCTGGACCTGCTGTCTCGAGCGCATGGCTGTGTGTGCGTCTGTGTCTGTGTGGTCACGTGATGTGCATTTTCAGAGGTAGAGGGGAAGGACGGCTGCTCAGAAATGCTACACGCCACTGTGTATGTCAAATCGTTGTCGTTTTTAAAATGCCATTTAAAAACAAAGAGTGTAAACAGGGCCTGAGTGTGTACTTTTCGCGGGCGAATTTGCAACGGGGGCGGGCGGAGGATCGCGATGCCGGTGTTGTCTATCGGATGAACCGTACGTAATACGTACATAGCAGAGCTTGCAAAACTGTGTTTTTTTTTGTGGACAACACGAACGTTGTCAACATAACTCACTGGAAATCAGAAATGCTTACACACCGGCGACTTCATTGAAAGAGGAGAGGGTTTAAGTTCTGTCGACGGGTATCCTGCTTCTGCAGTTTAACAAGCACTTCAACAAGCCTGTTTTTTTTCCCGTTTGGCAAGCCAAGCTGACGTGACATGGGGACGTGGCAGCATCGACGATTCTATTTTTTGATTCAATAATCGAAATTGAGCATAAATTTCGATCGATTTCGATTAAAAGTCGAAATCGTGACACCCCTATTATGGACAGGCACAAACAAAAATATAATTCATAAATCTTTTTGAAACGAATTTCATTAGCTATAATTTGTATCTTCATTGTTATGTATTTTTCGTTGGTCAGTTATGATTGTGATAATACTCTGATTATGAGTCTACCATGTAAACAGCGAATTTTGATTACCTTGAAGGACCACACAAGTCACGAAATGTGGAGTTTTTTACTTTCCATTCAGCATGAGGTATCAAATTCCAATAAAAAAACAGTCTGGTGATGCGACATTAATTGTTTTATACTGACATTTTCCTTCCAAAAACGCTTCTTTGGTCTTATCCATATTTCTTTGCAAGTTGAACACACGTCTTCCACAACAGGAAATTTACAAAAAGTGCAACTGCGTTAATTAACGCATTATATATTTTAAATTAATTGCATGCGTTAACATTCTAATTTTGACAGCACTAGTAATAATGCAAACTCTACACCTAATCTTTTCTATTTGCAAAAAAACTGCATCAGATCATGCCTCTAATGTACATAACTGGGTGGAGATGGATTTTTCCAATTCAGTGTTGTAAGCCTTTTAGCATTAAACAGAGGGTGAAAGCATTTGACTGTGTTAATGACAAGGACACATTTGTGGGGTAAGTCCAAGTAATGTTACTAGGGGGCATGGCTCAATATCTAAAAGAAAACTTGCAAACATTGATTAAAAAATTGATGCCCAAAAGTGCTTAGCGCCGGATAAAGGCAGAAAGTATGAAAAAGATTGGCTGGAGCATGTTGACACCAATCACAAATTGAATCAAAACCAGGGTTAAGTTGAGATATTTTGCCTTAGTCTAAAATACTTTATGCAATAACTTGAGTTGTATGAGGGAATGACAAGCTCAAGAGTTTTATACACAAGACAGAGCCTTGGACCATTCCTAATCTGTGAAATCATGATTGAGATCTGATTACCAGCTCTGTATCATTTTACAAAAGGATGAAGAACTTAACTGTCTAATAAAGAATAAATAGTTGTATAAATTTTAGACTGTATCTTTACAAAGTTTTGCATCTAAAACCCGATCAATTTCTTCGAATTTCCCTTTTTTTAGTGAACTGTCCCTTTAATGTATCATCAGTCATAAATAAATCTGAAATCTTTTACTGTAAAACACACTCACTTCATATATTTCCATACTGTGTGTGTTTCAGAGGAGAACCGGCGCGTGTCTCGTGTGTGTGAGGTTCAGGACAGCAGCTCGTGTGTGAGCGTCTGCGGTCTGAGTTTGTCTCCAGCGTCTCTCAATCCTCTCCTGCGAGCGCTGAAGCTTCAGGCTAGCCTCACCGAGCTGCGCATCTCAGCCAACAGACTCAACGATGAGCTGCTTCCAGAAATGATGGCTGCTGCCGCCACCATGCCTAGACTTAGAGTTTTAGACATTTCAGCCAATCAGATTACGGGAGAGGGTCTCAGGAAAGCATCAGATGCATTTGAAACAAGGAGTCAAGCTGCTTTTCCTGTAAGTCTACTTACAGTTTACCTACTTAGTTTAACGTTAGCTTGCTCATTCATTCAGTAATGCAGGATCTACTAGTATTTAAAGGGCACCTATGGTAAAAAATCTACTTTTCAAGCTGTTTGGACAGATCTGTGTGTTGGTATAGTGTATAGACCGTCATACTGGGGTGATATGAACACACCCAGTTCTTTTTTTTTCAATTTAACTACAAAAAAAAGGGTCGGCCAATTGGAGCTGTTTTCAAATCGATCGCACCATTACGTAGGTGTGCGATCGCCCCACCCACCGAATTGATTGACAGCTGCGCATTAACATGTTCAGGTAGTCGCGTGTATATGTCAACAAGACCAGGCAGACATACGCAAAGCAACCGGGAATAAAAGGTCTGTTCTGTTCGCTAGGATCAGCAATCATCATCAAATGTGATTAAGAGTAAGTTTCACATGTTTAAAGTGTTTAAAACAAGAGTATGTGTGTAATTAATTACAGCGTTTTACTTCAGCTGTACTTCATCAGCACAGCCGCATGTCAGAACAATTATAAAAGAAGACGCTTCAATCCCGGTTTGTGGAAGTTAAATCAGGTTTATTTTGTACATTAGCATAACAGATATCCACACAGTACTCGAGGTTAGCCTTAACTAAGCTAAGCGCGCTCTGTCTGTCTGTCTGTCTGTCTGTCTGCCTGCCTGCCAGCCTGTGTGTGTGTGTGTCATCTGCGGTGTGCGTGTGTATCTGTGTGTGTGTGAGTGTGTGCGTTAACTTTGTAACGATATTGTGTGTGACTCATCAATGCAACTTCACAATACTGATTAGTAAAGGTTAGTTCTTACTGTAGTATCTCACAAACGCTACGTGAGACCTTCTTCCTTTAAGTCTGTCTGTTGTCTGACGCAGCTGAGGGAGGAGGCATGTAGAAACAGTAGGCGGGGAAAAACTCGTCTTAAAGGCGCAGTCCGACAAAACCACCCCCTGCTGGAAATCAGTATAAAACAGCATCTTGTAAAAGGTATAATGAAAAATCTGATGGGTATTTTGATCTGAAACTTTATATACACATTCTAGAGACGCAAAAGACTTATATTAAATCTGAAAAAAGGGGTAACCTAGGTGCCCTTTAAGACATATCTGAATATTATCTCTTAAAGGGATAGTTCGCACAAAAAAAAGTTTACTTACTTGTACAAAACCTGTCTTCTGCTAAACACAAAAGAAGATATTTTGAAGAATGTTGGTTTCTGGCACTTATTGACATTCATAGTATTTTTTTTCAACTATGCAAATCAATGGGTGCCAGCAGCCACCATTCTTTAAAATATCTTTTTTTGTGTTTACAAATGCTGTTTGCAGTACACACACGCACACATATTAGCATTTACTGACACCATGCGGCCATGGTAATTATAGCGGTTAAGAATTACAAAGCACTTTTATTTCTTTATTACAAACATGCACCATTTTAAAAACTAGTGGTGTCAAAATTAATTGTTTCTTCGGTGCGTCGAGATGCAGACGCGGACAATTCGCTATCGGTTCAGTAATAATCATAACCGGTTATTATGTACTGACGTCATTTATCTCCTATGCGCTCTGTCGCGAGGGAGGCGAGCGCAAGTATTTACAACACTCAGCCAACTCAGGGCCGGCCCATGGCATAGGCACCATAGGCATATGCTAAGGGCGCTGTACATCCAGGGGGGCGCCAGAAATGAGCGTGGTTCAGTTGGTTTTGTTTTCGATATTCCTGACACACATTCAGTTATAGATGGCATTAACTCAAAAACCTCTTACCCTAAAAAGATCTAAAGTGTGTTTCCTACAAAAAGACAAAGCTGGTTATGTTTCACAGCTGTCTTTCTTTTTTTCGCTCGACATTACAATCACTGCTTCGTTTAAGCCCTCGCAATATGTGTTTAGCCGGGAGAGCTCGCGCTGAGAGGAGCTCTCAGTAATGGACCGTCGGAAAAGTGCTTCTTTTTTTCGTTTGTTTTCGTTTTTCTGCTCCGCTCAAAGCGAGCTCTCCCTGTTGCGAGGGCTTAAGTGTGTGTGTGTGTTTGTTTGGTGCTGTCTATGTTTGTGTACTGTATGTGTTAGAATGAGAGACAGTGTGGTGCTGTGTGTCTGTGTTTATACAAACAGCTGGTTATAGCCTCCCCCCTAAAATATAACACTGTTTATGGAAAGCATCGTCAATGCACTGTGATGCACCAAGGTATCGAATTGAACCGAATCGATGGCATAATAATCGTAACCAAACCGAACTGTGAGACTAGTATAGGTTCACACCTCTATTAAAAACGTTTTAAACTTAAAAAAAAAAAACAGAGTTGGAACAGATATTGTAATCCCAGTTTATTTGCAAAAAAAAAAAGCTCTGTGGACTTGTTTATACATGTTATTAAAGAAACACGGTGCCTGTCAATCAATTCGGTGGGCAGGGAAAACCACACCTACATCACGTTGCGGTGGGCCTCAAAATCAATGGGATTTGGGTCCTATTTTAACATGAGGACATTTAAAAAAAAAGAGACATGTTGGGTTTATATCACTCCAATATGACATTGGAAACACTATACATACACAGTTCTGTCCAAACAGCTCACAAAAGATGATTTTCATCATAGGTGCCCTTTAATGTAAAATGTTTTATTTTTGCCTGAAATAAAAGCATGGTTAGAATTATTTTAAAAAAAAGAACAGAAGGTAACTACCCCCTATACATACCTAATGTGATGTGTGATAGTAGGGTGTTTTTCCACATCTAATGACAAGTTCAAGGGGTGAGTAAGTGACATCTCGCCTGGTTAGTAAACCATTCCACCAGCACTGAACAACCCTTTTCTAGTGTGAATTGTCATTATAAAGAAGACTTGCATTATTAGTGAATTTAAAGGGTCATGACACCCCCCTCTTTCGGTTCAGGTCTACCTCGGAATGTTTTTAAAAGATGTATCATAATGGGCGTGGAGCTCTGCGAGCAAAGGGCAGGAGTGGGCGTGGCCCGCAGGGGAGAAGGAGGGGAGCGAACAACTGTTGTCAGTTAGCTCATAAAATGAGACACAAACCATGAGGAGACGCGTGATTTTATAGTTTACAAAGTTAAAATGCAATGAAATAAACAGTAATTTAACGCCCTGCTACATTTGTTATTTGTAATTTCATATACACACAACTACAATTTATATCAATATAAAGATAATCGTGTTCAAATAAACACTATAAATGTAGACTTTTCCTCAAGCCCCGGGTCTGAATCATAGGCGTAAATGCAGACTCAGTGCAGCAGGTCTCTTGCCCTGTCTATTTTAACCATTCGCCCTGTTGGTAATCTAGAGAATTTAGGCAAACGCAGCAGCACGGCGATGTGTCTAAATGTGAACAAACTCCTGATAAAATACAACGTTCGCTATTCTTCAATTCTCGTACTGCTCTCCCAACAAAAATGCTTGCTGCACACAAACAGCTTTGCTGTATCCGCCCTGACAGCATCGCGGGGAAAAACATGCAACAAACCCCTTGGATGATGGAAACAAACACATACGAGCTTTCATGAGCTGCTAAATATTGTTTGCCGTGGGTCCGTGACTCACAGCTTGGCACTGGCAGGTCTGCCTTGCCTTTGGAAAGCACGTTCAGTCATGAATAATTAAGAAGCAGGCTTTTCTCATAGGATAAGAAAACTCTCTTTGAATAATAATGAGAACCCCACACTTCACCTTTGCACTTGCAGTTTTGCGTCAATGAAGCAAATTTCTCTAATCAATTTGTAGAGTTGTTATTTATTGAAGTATTAGGTATTATTTCTTTATTCCTCAAGGTGTAGTTTATTAGCTCAAGAAGATGTTTGAAAAATGTCAAAAACTGACTTTAATAGTATTTATATATATATATATATATATATATATATATATATATATATATATATATATATATATATATATATATGATATTGAAATATAATAGTATTTATATATATATATATATATATATATATATATATATATATATATATATATATATATATATATAAATGATATTGAAATATCGAAATGGTGAGTTGTTTAAAGAGAAATAGCTAGTTAAATATTTTACGACTAAGTTACATCTGAAAAATTATACACTAAGTATATATTGCGCACTTTCCTTGGTGTGTCTGAGAAAATCAAAATATGCACATCAGCTTTCAGAACTACATTAAGTAAACAAAAAGACTGTATATTTATGGGAAATTATAATTATTGCTCATAAATCTAATTAGCATCTTCGGATAGAAACTAGAGCTGCACGATTCTGGCTAAAATGAGAATCGCAATTTTTTTTTTTTTGCTTAAAATAAAGGTCACAATTTTCTCACGATTCTGTAGATGTAAAATAAAGGTTTGGATGAGTGGGGTATTATTATTGTTATTTCTCAAATGTATGGTAAAAAAAGCTATATTAATATTATATGTAGGTCTACTGTTTATTCTCATGCACTAAACTTTGTGTTCGCTAAGAAAGAAAGAAGCATATCAAATGCTTGTCGTAGCGTAATCATAACTATGATTATTTATATAGCCATATGATTACTTAAATGTTGTGCACGCTTTCGGTTTCATTTTCACTGCTAAGAGCGGTTCATACTTCCTGCGCGGCTCTCAAACGATCACTCTGTTCCACAAACTGAATGTTATTTACAATTTTTTTACCTGTTATTCACAGCCTATGCAGATTCTGTTCACTAAAGTAGACTTCATTCACAGGCGCGTACCCGCCCTCTCTGTTAGCAGCTCACGTCACGTGTGATTTCGCGGCCTCGAAAACATCATTACATGAAGACAGATATGGCCTTTTTGGGTAAATAATACCTTATAAATGCTGCATGTGACTTTTTCAACACCATTGGTGTCCAAGTTGCTGAACAACGAATGTAAAACAATGTGAAGACTTGTGCAGCCGTCATTTCTTCTCTTCTGAACTTGATTGGCAAAATCGTACAAATTCTGGATTGAGATTGTCTAGGGGGTCAAATCGAGATCGCAATCTTTTTTTCGATTAATTGCGCAGCTCTAATAGAAACACAGCTAGTGGTTACAGATCTCCAGCACTCTTTTGTGTTCAGCAGAAAACTGAAACTCATGATGGTTTTGAATCACTTGAGCATTAGTAAATGGTGAGTAATTTTCATTTTGGGGTGTATGAACCTTTTACAACATTCAGATTGATTCTTTTTCCTTCAATTGATGTTGCAAAATCCATTAATAAAACAAAACCTCATCCAGTCCAATCAAACTACTGTAAAACCTGGATATTCTTTCAAAGCAAGCCTTCTGGAAACTTTCTAAAGGAGTTTTATATCAAACATCTCAGTTCTGATCTCAATAAATGCACCGTTCGTGATGCTTTACAGCAGACATTGTGGCTGCGAGAAACCTTGCAGCTCTTGTAGACCATAAAAAAGGAGAATTTCGATCGTGGGACAGGATGTGGTTAGACGTTTTTGTTCCTGAATTGGGGTTAAGAAAATATGACTTCTCTACTTTCTGGTTTGGCGGTTATGTGTGGGGAGTGTTTATGGTCACGTCTAAAGGAACAGAGACGTGTGAAGATCACACTTGAGAGAAATTATACTGACAGATTACTGAGAACACGATTATAATCCTCTTAAATGATGGTAGAATACTGTTAAAGTCAGAAATATTAGCCCTTTTGTTAAATATGAATTTTTTTATATTTTGTTCTCCAATTATATTAGTATATATTAGTTTTAATAACTCATTTCTAATCTCTATTTTTCTCCTTTATCTTTGCCATGATGACGGTAATTAATATTTGACTTGATATTATTCAAGATACTAGAATTCAGCTTAAAGTGACATTTAAAGGCTTAACTGGTTAATAAGGCAATTTAGGGTAATTAGGCAAGTTATTGTATAACGACGTTTTGTTCTGTACACAATGAAAAAAATATACAGTAGCTTAAAGGGGCTAATAATATTGACCTTAAAATTGTGTTTAAAAAATTAAAAACTGCTTTTATTTTATCCAAAATAAAACAAATAAGACTTTCTCCAGAAGGAAAAAATATTATCAGACATACTGTGGAAAATTATCTTGATATGTCAAACATCATTTGGGAAATATTTAAAAAAAGAAAAAAAAAATCAAAGGGGGGCTAATAATTCTGACTTCAACTGTGATCGTGATTTTCTAAAGTATTACCGCACTTTTTAAACGTTTATTATTACCATTTGTTGAGTCTCCCCATACAGTTTGATATAGCACTTGGACTCGGAAGCTGATTCGTGTGGCATCAATTTTAACATGCAAATATTTAAAACTACAGTATGCTTTAGCATTCATTAACCAAGTGCTGGAAACACTGTAATATATGCAGTAATACTTTACTATGACATGTATAATATATTCTGTTAGATCCCGAAGGAAATTCAATAACATCTCATACCTAAAATACGTAAAACATAGACCATTAACTTACACACATTTCAAAAAGGAAGAAGAATATACTATTAGTAAATTACCATTACTATTACTTTAGTGTCTTGGTTGTTATCCATGGTAGACTTAAACCAACAACAACAACAAAAAAACACCAAAATATTGTCAAATTGTTGTTCTAAAAATATTGTGACTTTATTTAGTCAGTACTGCACACTGAAGTGATTTGACCTGACACTATTAATTTAGAGTTGTTTGACAGATTCATTTTTTGTTTAGTCAATGATGCTTATTTCCCTGTTTATTACTGTAAAGCTGAATTTAATTACTCTCCATATACATGGGACTTGTATAAAGTTTACTTTGAATACACTCTTCTCTCCATAGTGTCTGGAGGAGTTGAACCTAAGCATGAATCCTCTGGGTGATGGTTGGACACAAGCGCTAGCCAGTCTGTTATCCTCTTGTCCTCTTCTGTCCTCTCTGTCCCTGCAAGCCTGTGGTCTTTCTGCGCGTTTCCTCCAGCAACACCGTCTCCTGTTAGCCAACGCCATGGCCAGTAAGTGCAGAATTATTAGCCCCTAGGCCAGGGGTGTCCAAACTCGGTCCTGGAGGGCCGGTGTCCTGCATAGTTTAGCTCCAACTTCCTCTTAAACTCCTGCCTGGAAGTCTAGGGCCCCGTTTACACTGCCAGTTAAATGTGAGTCAATTCTGATTTTTTGCGCATTTGTGGCACCGATCGGATCTGTTCTATGACTGTGTAAACATGAAAAAAACGCAAGCATTCGGATATTCAGAGATCGGTTTCAGGCCTCCTTCATATGTGGAAATAAATCCGATATAAATCGGATATGTGACAATGCGACTGTCATGTAAACAGGCAGATCGGATTTATTGAGGCTTTCCGTTTTATATGTTATTAAACTTGCGACAATGTGGTGCTTCTCCCTGGTTTATTGACATAGAAGAAAGAGTGTGTGTGGAGACGCCGACGCGATAAACAACAACAGAGGAAACATGGAGGAGGAAAGAAGTCAGTCACCACAATTTGCTCCCACTAGATCTGAGATCTCTCTCGTACCCACAAATTCCTCTGAATTGTGGAGGACACCATATTTAAATCATAGGTGCAAGCTGCGATGATGGCCCTTTCCCACCTCCGCCTCAAAATCATTTTAAAGTTGGGCGAACTTCGTGTTTTAACTTTTGCTTTTTGTCGCTATTGGCTATACATAAAATAACTTTATTCTCTCCAACACCAGTGCGCACACTAGGGCTTTGCAATTAATCGAAAATTCGTTTTCGGTTTCTAACGATTATAAAAAAAAACATTAATCGAGATAGACGATTATTTCATCATATCCCGCCCCCTTTCCAGTTGTACACATTTGTTCCTCTACAAAGCTCAGTTCTACGTGAAAATGACTGAAAGCATGTGCTGTATCTGTAACTTTTGCAACACGGGATGCACATCATTTATATTTTTAAAATCACAAAAGAGCACATGCTGTTGTGTGTGTGCGTGCCGCGCTCGGCCTCGGACAGGTAGAGTGTGTGTGCATGCCGCGCTTAGCATCAGACAGCAGAGCAAACACACATCTAACGCCATCATAATTTGAGCACTTTAATAGTCAAATACATGCACATTTGTGTTAGAGCGCAGCGTTCAGTGATTATTTATATTAATCCTTGTGTGTTTAATAAACAAACAAGTTGAGAGTCAAAAGACGTGAAAGAGAAACCATATCAGAGCTGAGCTATTCTTAAAGTGACAGCGTGCAAATATTCCTGCTGCTGCCTGTTTTTTATTATTAATCAAACAATAAAGGAGAAAATCCCTCACTGCTCTTGACTTAAGGACTTTTTTTAGCTAAATTTTTTTCTTACAGTGAAGATGCTTAAAGCACAGTTTAAACATAACAGATTTAATAACTCATTTCTAATAACTGATTTCTTTTATCTGTGCTATGATGACAGTACATTATATTTTACTAGATATTTTTATTAAAGCCATTAAAAATAGGTTTAAAAATATTTAAACCTGCTTTTATTCTAGCCGAAATAAAACAAATCTTTCTCCTGGGAAAAAAAATGATATAAAAAATATTAAAATAATAGTATATTTAATACTATTAAATACTGGTTAAACATAATTTGGGAAATATTTATATATAAAAATAAATTCACTGAAGGGCGAATAATTTTTACTTTAACTGATAATCGTTTTGAATAATCGTGATTACAATTATGACCAAAACAAATCGTGATTATGATTTTTCCCATAATCGAGCAACCCCAGTGCACACAGACAAAGGCTACATCTTCAACTACACACACACACACACACACACATCAGGGCTATACCATTACATAAACTGCGTGGGGATGAATCTAGACTAAACCATTCACTTCTTACACTACACTTCGCATATTTTGCAGAGCTGTAAACAAGACTATTTCTTCCATCGTGGCTAGTGTGGCACAGATGCTAGAACCCGCCTTTATGTATGCGCGACATCGTAAATTGTATGACAAGTGTAAATGCATAAATTGTACATGGGTCACAATTAAAACAACGTGTAAACTGACAGACAAAAAAATCAGATATAGGCAACAAATCGGAATTGGGCATCAAGACCTGACAGTGTAAACGGGGCCTAGTATACCTAGAAAGAGCTTGATTAGCTGGTTCAGGTGTGTTTAATTGGGGTTGGAACTAAAATGTGCAGGACACCGGCCCTCTAGAAATGAGTTTGGATTCCACTGCCTTTTTTCAAGATATTAGTATTCAGCTTAAAGTGACATTTTACTAGGTTAATTAGGGAATTAAGGGTAATCAAGAAATTGTATAACAGTGGTTTGTTCTGTAGACAATCGAAACTAATATTGCTTTAGGGGGCTAATAATGTTGACATTAAAATGTTTAAAAAAAATTTAATCTGGTTTTATTCTAGTCAAAATAAAACAAATAAGACTTTCTCCAGAAGAAAAAATATTATCAGAAATACTGTGAAAAAATCCTTGCTCTGTTAAACATCATTTGGGAAATATATAAAAAAAAAATCGCATAATCTTGACTTCAACTGTGTTTGATCTCAGCTGGTTAGACCTTGCTTTGTTTCTCTAATGTATTGATTGTTTTGTGCATTCACAGGCACTGGAAATATGCGGTCTGTGTGCCTCTCCCATAATGCACTGGGCTCTACTGGTTTTGAGCTTGTGTTGAAGACGTTACCAATGCATTGTCTCACGCATCTGGAGCTTTCTGCAGTATGTAGAGGTCCATCTGACCAGCCTTCCATGGAAATCCTTACTAAACTCCTTGCACAGGTAGAGACCTTTGATGTTGTAAAGTTTTTTTTTTGTGAAGAATAATATAACAGGATATGGTATTATTATGATATTGACCAAAGCTGCAAACAAAGGTTACTTTGAACAGTACTGTGCAAACGTCCTAAGCACTAGACCAGCTTTGTGGCCCAAGACTTTGGCACAACCCACATAGCAAAATGTCTCTGGCCCAGCTCTGGCCCACATAATCAGGTTTTGCTTGGCCCACATGCCGCAGTGAATTACGGTACATGACTAGACCAAATCTGGCTTTCAGACAAGGGCCAAACACGGACCATATCTGGGCCAAGTCTCAGCCAAGTTAATAACTCATAACTGGGCCTGAACTGGGCCAGATAGGTTGGTTTGTCACGATTGCAATGAAATTGATAAACCCATGGAGTGATGTGCTTTAGGCACACTATGGGCACGCTTTTTCTCAAAGTGACCTGATTGGTTGAATTTTTTTTCTTTACTCAAAAATAATTTTAGTGTATTTTAAATGTGGGTCAAGACTGGCCAAACTCACATGGCCCACTTATCAAATTTTTAAATCTGGGCCAAATACTACGTTTTTCATCTGGCCCAAATCTTGTGTGCCGCCTTAAAGACGGTGCCACCACTGCCAAACCCGGGCCATGTTTGGCCACATGCTGTATGCCAGTGCCGGACGAATGCCTGCTGTGCCAGCTTTATGCCAAATCTGGGCCAGAATTCTTTGCTACTAGGGAATGTATAATCAATCAGTCTCTTTATTAAAAGCAAACAGAAAATATAAGAAATATCTTTAAAAATGTGCTTTCTTTACAGCTTCTACTGTTTTGTCCTAAATGTCTTGACATTTTCTGAAATAATATGTTGTGTACCCGGGTGCTCCGGTTTCCCCCACAGCTCAAAGACATGCGGTACAGGTGAATTGGGTAGGCTAAATTGTCCGTAGTGTGAATGTGTGTGTGGATGTTTCCCAGAGATGGGTTGCGGCTGGAAGGTCATCCGCTGGGTAAAAACTTGCTGGATAAGTTGGCGGTTCATTCTGCTGTGGCGACCCAGAATTAATAAAGGGACTAAGCCGACAAGAAAATGAATGAATGAATGTGTTGTGTAATATCAGGATTCTTTTAGCACTTTCCAGAGTTCATCCTTAGACTGTCTTATCTGTTCAGGTGGTCTCATACAGCTTTTATAACAGGGGTGTCAAACAGTTTAGTTCCAACCCTGCTTCAATTTTGGCTTAACTTTTTAACCTCGTTCGTGTTTTACCGTCATGCTTTTAAAAAAAAAAAAAAAATGCTAAATTTCCGCAATGACATATGATGGCTTGTGCAGGGGCTGTAGTGCTCTCCCAATTCTTAGGGGTAATATTTGAAGCCATTCCCCTTTACACTCAATGTTAAGGGCCAGGGGGAAGGGGTACAAAAATAGAATTGTGATTGGGCCAGTGTTACAGTGTAATGATTTATAATTTTTTTTATGTTATTATTAATTGTCAATATGAGCTTTTAAATTTAAGTGCGGCCACCAGTTGTTGTTGTTTGTTTTCCCTTTTATTCCGCAAGTATGAGTTTTAATAATGACAGGAAAAGCACAAATTGATCAGATATGAATGATTTCTGAAGGAAGTAACCGTTGTCTTAAATATTGTGATTGAACGAATGATAAAATATATGTAATGGCTTTCAGTCTGTGCTTTTAAAATTGGCAGCGTTCATCTGCTGTGGACACAATGTTGACTGATTTTGTTTTTTAGGGGGATTGTCCACTCACACACTTAAATCTGTCTGGAAATGGACTTACAGACCACAGCATCCTCCTGCTTGCTAGGTGAGTGATTCAACTATGTTTATTTTTATGCATTTTGCAGACACCTTTATCCAAAAATACTGAAAGAAAACTTATTCTGGCTCTTTCATGCTGTATATGTTTATTGTGTTAGTATGCAAAAGCACATAAATCCAGTGTAAAACTACTCATGAAGGCTGTATTTACACTGCAGATCTTGATGGTCAATTCCGATTTTGTGACTCAGTATCTGATTTGTTTTGATGACCTGCTTACATCATCTTTTAAAAGTGAATTGTCTCCAAACGTCTGCATTTACACAGCACACGGCAAAGGCGCAATGACTAGCAGCTGATAATTAAAGAGTGCTCTTTTCTCTATTCCTGTATGTAATCTGTTCGAGCTTTTGACAAGCTGTTTTACTATAGTTTATGACAGAAAGGTTTTCATTTGTCCATCTTCTTTTGATAAATAGGCTTTTTTAACCTTTAGGCATCTTAATGTAATGTCCATGGCGTGATTTATACACGTGATGTAGCTATTGCACTCTCCTGCTCTAACATGCTTATACCTGTGCTTTATGACAATATAAAAGCTGTTTAAGTCCTCGTGTATGAGATTTAAGGTTTGGGACTCTGCTCAAGTCTGTTCTGAAATGAAAGTGTCAGACTTGACGTCATTCGCTATGGTTTTTAATCACTTTTATGGCAAAGAATAAGTCCTTTTCCTGGTCTTTAAACTGAAATATCTCAACATAAACAAAGGAGGCTGAGAAAAATGTTCATGTTTGGCACTTAGAGGTTTTCGCATCTAAACTCTTCTACACTGCCACCAGTTGGGTAACACATGTCTTACGAAACAGATCAATGTGTTTTTGTAACTCAAATATTTCTAGATTAGAGTTTTAAGAGTATAAAATTCATTATGTCTATGGAGTATCACTGTACACCACATATGGGTAGTTGCTTTTTTTGTAAAACATTTTTGAAGAAACAAATATTATATATTTATGTAGTTTGAAGTCTGATGTATGAATAAATAAGGGGTCTCTTACATTATCAATTCTTTCCGTTTTTTACTGTGTTTTGTACCAAAAAAAGTCCTGTTGTGACTGCAAAAATGAAGAAAACCAATGCTTACATTTACATTCAGCAACTTACATTTGAAGATGCATTTAGCGATTCAACAAGAAGAGGCAATACACACAAGAAGAGCTCATACAAATAAACTGTGCTCAGTAAATAGTGGGGACTTACCTTACACACCCTTATACAATGTGTGTGTTCACTTCTCACTACTCCTAATGTGTATGCGCTAACTTTGAAGGGTTAAATCCTGAGTATAGTTTATTTATTTAGCATTCACATTACTTGCAGTTCATAAACCTTCATTAAGAACTCCTAATGTGTGTTTTTAGGTGTCTTCCTGTCTGTCCTTCCCTGGTGTCTTTGGATCTATCAGCCAACCCTTTAGTGACCTCGACTGGCCTTCACAGTCTCCTCAACGGTCTCATGGAGGCCAGAAGGCCTCTGGGTCATCTCAATCTTCAAGGTATTTTCTTATATTTCAAGTGCATTTTAGTGATATTCGCTGCCTGCGTTATCTGAGTTAATCAGTAAGTCTTATTATCAGTGTATAGTGTGTGTGTGTGTGTGGCTGCATAAATAGTTCTGTTTTTTTGTGTATTTTGCTTTTGGATGCTGCAAGTGGTTTAGTGGTTGTTGGTCTGGTCTTATACCAGAAAACCCCATAACGGTCATGAACTCTGCAGTCTTGAGCAGTTTTTATGTTGACTTGAGAAAGCCAACATACTGTTATGCTACTCTGTCCTTGAAAACAAACGTATCTCCTCCTAGGCCGTTCATGCCACAAGGCCCAAATGTGGTCAAAATGTGCTTTCTACATTCAAGATTGTTGCTATATCTCCTCATGCCTATAAGACTTATTGTTTATTTAATAAAAAATGTTAAATATTAAATTTTCTATAATCCGGGCATATAAAAAAATTATACAAGCCCCAAATTTGGCCAAAAGCTGTATATAGATGCGTTAGATTTTGTTGCTATATCTTTAAGGTTTGTCAGACTTATAGTTTTCCAATAAATAATTTTTAAGCATTATTTTTCTCAAAATATGGCAAGCCATTTTTGACTTAAACTCCATATTTTTTACTGATATGGCAAGCCAACTTTGCATGTATCACCATCACACTTATTAAGCATTGTATTTTCAAAAAAATACGGCAAGCCATTTTTACATAATGTTCATTCCCTTAGTCTCTTTATTAATCAGGGGTCGCCACAACGGAATGAACCGCCAACTTATCCAGCATTTGTTTTACACAGCAAAAGCACTTCCAGCCGGGCATATAAAAAAATTATACAAGCCCCAAATTTGGCCAAAAGCTGTATTTAGATGCGCTAGATTTTGTTGCTATATCTTTAAGGTTTATCAGACTTATAGTTTTCCAATAAATAATTTTTAAGCATAATTTTTCTTATAATATGGCAAGCCATTTTTGACTTAAACTCCATATTTTTACTAATACGGCAAGCCATTTTTGCATGTATCACTTTCACACTTATTAAGCATTGTATTTTCAAAAAAATTTGGCAAGCCATTTTTACATAATGTTCATTCCCTTAGTCTCTTTATTAATCAGGGGTCGCCACAACGGAATGAACCGCCAACTTATCCTGCATTTGTTTTACACAGCGAATGCCCTTCCAGCCGCAACCCAACACCAGGAATACATAATGTTCAAGTCCAGTTTTTGACACTCATAAAGACTGTCATAGAAACATCGGGGTTGATTAAGATCACTCATATTGCCAAGAAGCTTTGATGTATCATCACTAACCTGTCAAATGTCCCCACAGCAACAAAACAGTATAACCTAGCAACCATTTAAAAATCGCAATATCTCTACATCAGAACATCGTAGGGACCTGGGCATTGGCTTGTTTGACTCATGCTAGCAAATGGGACTTCCTGTGTACTATGCATGGTAACAATGATAATGGAAGCCAAGTGCTAATAACGATAAGCTACATGCTATGAATGATTATCTAAATGCAATAACATATGCTAGAAATGCCTACTAAGTATTAGCATTTGATCAAACATGTACACGAGCATTGCCATTTAGCAACTGCTTAGCAACCACCTTACAATGCCATAATTGTTTTAGCAACTGCCTAGCAACCACTTAGCAACCGCCACCGTGCTTCCTGCCAGCTGCCATTCCTAGTCCTAGCGCAGTCACGTTGGCTTTCTCAAGTCAACATCAAAGTTTATCAATAGACTTTAGGTTCTAGTTGGAGTTTATGATCTTATTTTATTGTTGTTTGTGTATGGGTGTATGGGTACAGTATATTGGTGTATGGGGGTATGGGTGTGTGTGTGTGTGTGTGTGTCATACTTTTCTGTTTTTTTTAACATATTTTATTCTTGTACAAATAAATAAACAAAAATAGAAATCCTCTAAGGCCATGCAAGATATGGATATGCACATCTACACACACGAATATATTATAATATACACGCACATTAGGTAAAAAAACAATGTTTAATAATGATTAATCATTGCTCAGTTCTAATATATGCATATATATTCAGTCAAAATATAATCCATGCAATTGTACAAAATTAATTCTCATTGCTCTTGACAATACGTTAAGGTCTTATGAACTTAAATAATCTGTATCCTTATGAAACCTAATATATTGTGCTAAATTATTACCTTTTATATTCATTCTTCAAGTTTTATTTTGATTATTTGAGTTGCATTTAATGAACCACTCAAGCCTAATTTATTGGAGTGGTCTGCTTTTAATGTGTGAGTTATTTAGTAAAGTTTCACAAGAGAATTGTTTAGAATTTTGATCATATGTTAATGTATAAATATCTTTTGAGACAAGACTTGCGTTTTTCTTCGTTCGCTGGGTTTATACTAGCAATTTTTGGTCATACTTTACGACAGGGGTCTCAAACTCAACTTACCAGGGGGCCGCTGGAGGCAGAGTCTGGGTGAGGCTGGACCGCATCAGGTTTTCCAAAAGAAATTAATTATATTATACATTTTTAATTTGTCAACTTTTTCATCTTATTTTGTGTTAAAGATTAAAAAAAAATAAAGAGATTTGAGAAGATTGGAATTTTTTAACACAAAATAAAAAGAAAAAAATAAACATTAATAAGAAAATAAATCAATCAGTAATAAATAATAATAGTAGTAGTAAAAATAATAATAAGATTTACTGTTATCTGCTGTGTTTATTGCTACTTTTACATCATATAGAAATATATGTAATGTTTATAGTGTGAGGCAATGCAAATACAATGAAGGTTGAGTGATGCAAATGACCCACATACAATGGTGCGACTCTATAATTGGTCTGGGTTACTGTGGACTCTAACTTTTCTTTTATCCCGCAGCGTACGTATCACTTTGATTTCTTTTCTGCTCACTGCTCGCGAAACAATAACCACCAACCATTGAGAGTGATTGTAAGCGCAAGAAAGATGATTAGTTGATAATATTGATCAGGGCCAATAGTTAAACGTGAATTTTGCTTTAACTAGCGCATGACGGTAGTCACACTTGCGCGCGCACAATTCACACAGCCTTCGCTGCACTCTCTCACACACACATGCAGGTATTCACTGCACACAAGTTAATGCAAAACACTCCATGTCAATGCTGCTGTGACTTTCACTCATTGGGAAATGTTTTTCTACCTGCGTCAAGCCCTAGCCGATGTCCCGCCCCCAGAGCCATATACCCCACCGTGATTGGTGGATTCGTTCAGCTCCACACAAAAAACTGTAAAGTTACATTCATATCAGTGTCGTGGGCCGCACTAATATTAACTTTCAAATTAAGGTGGGGGCCACAAACGATCCTCTTGCGGGCTGCAATTGGCCCGCAGACTGCGAGTTTGAGACCCCTGCTTTACAATAAGGTTGCGTTAGTTTTTCTTAGTTTATGTACTTTACTAACATGAACCAAGTATAAACAATACTTGTACATCGTTTATTAATCATCCGCTTGTTAAGTGGTGATGTGTTTGTGACGTATGTAATACTGTTTCCGGGTCCAAGCCGCCATTCAGTGGAGAAATCTTTCGTTTATGATCTCTTTTTATTCCTATCACACATTAAAGTTAATTTTATATAAAATCATAGTGTACACAACAATCTCTGGGCTTGCTGCATAACAAATACCAAAAATGTTTCAATTTATAAAAAAAAAATCACTTTCTGGCCATCGGATATTAGGCATGGACATATATACTGCGATCGTGATTTTCGAAAGCATTAAATCGCTTTGTAAACGTTTATTATTACCATTTCATGAGTCTCCCCATTCAGTTGAATAGAGCGTTTGGACCCGGAAGCCGCTTCGCGTGACGTCACACTTAACAAACGGATAGTTCCACAATTTCTAATGGGTTATAAAAATCTAAATTCATGCTTGTTAATATTACTTCATGCACTGTGAGTTACCGAACTAACAATGAACAACTATATTTTCAGTAATTTCCATTAACCAGCATGAACAAATACTGTAATAAATGTATTGTTCATCGTTTGTTCATGTTAGTAAATGCATTTTCTAATACAATCTTAATGTAGAGTGTTACCTCATTCTTTAAAGAACAATCATTGACATGAAAAAACTGCCGAGCCACCAAGACGCATCATTTCACCTACATTTTGTATCTGAGGGAGAGTAAAATAACAGCAAATGTACATTTTTAGGTGAACACTACTGTTAAAAGTTAGTTCACCCAAATATGTAAATTCTGTTCTCACTCTCGCATTGTTCCAATCCACAGAGACCTTTGTTTAACAAATGAGAGTATTTTAGATGAAACCCAAGAGCTCTCTCATCCTTCATAGACAGCAATGGCAAAAAGTCAATCCAGTGTCAAAATGGAGGATGAGGGAGCTCTCTTATGTCATCTAAAATATATTCAACTGTGTTCTGAATATGAGCGAAGGTCTCAGAGGATTGGACGGACATGAGGGTGAGTAATGTATCAGTCTGTTAGTTTTAAGGATATTAATTATCTAACGTGCGCCAAAACAGAGAAGAATTGATCAAATTGATATAAACATGTAAAGCTTGCAGTTCCGCCTATCCAAACTCGGTCCTGAGGGCCGGCATCCTGCATAGTTTAGCTCCAACTTCCTTCAACAGACCTCCCTGGAAGTTTCTAGTATACAAAGAAAGAGCTTAATTGGCTGGTTTAGGTGTGTCTAATTGGGGTTGGAACTAAAACATCCAGGACACCGGCCCTCCAGGAACGAGTTTGGACACCCCTGGCTTAAATGGATCAACATTTTTATTTATTTCACCTCATACTTCAGATTCTAATCAGATCTTAACCAATCAAATGCTCTCTAGTATTTGACATGCCCCGCCTCCTTCAAGACACTTCTTATTTGCTTTTCATTTGATCTCAACCACTCTAACTGGCAGAGCTGATTAAAAACGAGCCGCTATTGGCTGTTTTTTGAAAGGGGAGGAGCTACTTTATGCCCCGACTCCTCTCTTTGCGTTTCAGTTGAGATTACATCAAACATCAAAATAAAAAAAATTGTACATTTCAAAGCACCTCACGAGATCTTTAATAACCAAATTTAATTTTTTTGGTGAATTAACCCTTCTAATAAGTATTCTGTAATCAAAACAAAATGGAAACTGATCTCCGTTGTTGTGTCTTATTGTACATTTTATAGTCTGTGCTTTTTTTTTCCCCGTTTTTTTTTTTTGACAGGCTGTCAGGTGTCAGGACCGCTGGCTGAGGATTGTCTGGACAGTTTGTCTGATCACATCCGAGACCTGCGTTTGTGCTCTCAGAGTCTGAATAAGCTGGACCAGGATGCATTACAGCAGAGCTGGAAACGAAGAACAGAAGCTGTGCACATTTTCTCTCGCAACTCCAAATGCATGCTGAGTATCAGTTCACCCTCGCACTAAATTATTTTTGGCTGTCGCATTTGTCCAAATGCAACCTGGCGGTGCTATAGTATTATGTTGTGATTTAAATTGTGTGGTATTTGATAAACGTTTAAACAAATTTATCTGTAAATATGAGTGATTGTGTCATTTATTTGTATATACACGTATGTTTGTTTATACTCATAACTCATTTTATTCGATTCGGTGTTTACTTTCTTGCTGCATATTTGGCTAAAGTCCAGAAATTATGAGTTTAAGTTTGAAATGGGCGTGTGATATCGATGCATGTGTGGTGTGGTATTAAAATAATAATAAAATACATATTCAAGCATTCGTTCTGTTTGTAAAAATATGTTTAAATAAAACTGTAAATAGGCAACCACACATTAACAGTTGTTTCACACGTTTTATTGCAGATAAAGAAGCTAAGACATGACAAACATACAAAAAGCCCAGATGCGAAACCACAATAATCACACCAGTGGCTCAGATGCTCTGCTAAATTTAATCAGCTTCCCCAGCTAAAGCAAAACCCTCTTTATTTCTTGCATTCCTTTAGCTAATCAGAGAAATTTTCATTATTCTGCATAATAAAGGCAGTAGACTCTGTCTATTTCTTACAAACAGAAATATTAGCACAGATGGTTCTGGCATTATCTGTAGTGGAAAGTTCTTCGATCAGAACGTCCATGTACTTGTTCACAAATCCCCTGCACAGAGACTTAAGGAACCCGATCTGATCACAGACCTGCGACAGCTGAACTTTAATTTCATCCTAGAAAAAATTAAAAGCAAAATTAGTTTTAAGCCACAAGTATTTATTCATATTCTCTGTATTTTTCAATGTAGTTTATTTTGTCTGTAATTTAAATATAAACTCTGTATTAAAGGGATAGTTCACCCAAAAATGAAAGTACTGTCACTTAATTATTCACCCTTTACTTGTTCCAAACCCGTTGAACACAAAAGAAGATATTTTGAAGAATGCTGGAAAACGGGTAACCATTGACTTCCATAGTGTTTATTTTTCATACTACGGAAGTCAGGTTTTGAGCTTTCTTCAAAACACTCATTCAATGGGCAACTCATAAAGGTTTAAAACCAAACATTAGTGAGTAAATAATAAGTTACTTTTCATTTTTTGGGTAAACTATGCCTTTAAATCAGGGGTCAGGAAACTTTTTCAGCAAAGAGCCATTTCTGATTATTTTTTTGGCAAATGCATTTTTTTAAAGAGCCATTGGGGATATACAAGCAGTGGCGCCTGCAGCCATACGGCTATACGCACTGTGCGTACCTACCGTGAGAGGGTGCGAATTAATGTCGCTTTTTTATTTATTTATTTATTTATTTTTTACATAATTCATATTGATGATTAAACTGTATACACTACGGTATATTTATGAAGCAAGACCGAATGAGAATAAATAAAAGTGTGCATTTGTGTGTTTTAAAGTATGTACTTGCACGATGGGAGATGAGTAAAGAAATCTATTGGCTTTAGTTTTGCTGGCGTTTTTTCCACTCACTAAAAAATACAATTCAGTTAGCACGTTTAAAACAAGGTTCAAAATGAGTAAACTCTCTTTAAAACAGATAAACGTATTTGAGACATTTGCCAAAAGGCCTAAAACTAATGAGACAAATTTTGCTCATGAGACCTTTCATCAGCACTTGAGCCAGGGGAACTCCAGTTTATTTTATCTGACACAAATAAGCAGACATCTCCATTCTCACGAGTTACTGAGTTTTCTCACACTTGCAAAAGCGTTCGAGACTTTCCCTCAGATGTTACTCGTTATTCATGTTTAGTTTTGTCTAGTACAGTGGTCCTCAAACTTTTTTCATCAAGTACCACCTCAGAAAATAATTGTCTCTCCAAGTACCACCATAATGAGCAGTATTGAAATACAGTAGCGTAGTAAGCCCAGTAAAGCAGCTACAGTTATGCACAATTCAAAAACATGGCAGATTAATTCCTATTATTAAGAATATTTATTATTGTCAACCACTTTAAACACAAATAGTCTGAACGTTAACACTGTACTGTGCTTACGTACAAAATAAAATAAATAAAAACGTCAAAATTTAAATTAAAATGTGCTTAAGATAAAAAGAAAAGTGCTGTACTTAAATGTAAAGTATTGACATATAGTAGCCAATTCATCAACATCTGAAAATGTTGTCTGGACCTCAGAAATATAGGTTATATGTAATATATTGAATATTAATATCTGCCATATTCATAAATAAATAATTTTGGATAAATTTTGAAATATATGTAGCATGTACATATTACATATTTGATTCCTCTGCGTACCACTAGAAGGAAGCCTGCGTACCACTAGTGGTACACGTACCACAGTTTGAGAACCACTGGTCTAGTAGATAACAAACAAAAAATTATAAAGATACAATAATGTGCTTTCATTTGCTCTATCTCACTTGCGGTAATACCCTTAAATAATGTAGCCTTTGACAGCAAGCATCAGTTTTTTTTTGATTGAAATAAAAATAAGGGATGATGAAGCAGGGTAGTGCTGGATATGTGCGTACCTTTGAAATAAGTTCTGCAGGCGCCCCTGTATACAAGCATCACATGTTGAGGAAGTCCATGTATTAAGAAAGAATAGTTTATAGAATTTTTTTCTTTTCGCCATCAACACTCATGAATGTTGTTTGAATTTACGTGCCCAAGGTTACCGTAGAAGTTGCATCACCATTATTGGTGTCCGATTCAAGTTAATCCACAGCACGTCACATGCACATTGAAATGTCCTTTTATTTTTATTCCTTTTCATTTTGCTGTAAAAAACTATAAAAAAGTCATTTTAATTGTATTTTTAATAGGAAACTGATTTTTAGTGACAGTTTAAATTTTTTTTTATTGAAGGGAGAAAGCTGGAGAGCCACATATTTTGGTCAAAGAGTCACATGTGGCTCCTGAGCTATAGGTTCCCTACCCCTGCCTTTAAATGCAATAAAAGAGTGTTATTTATGAAGATTTACCTGAGTTGCACCATTGGAGATCTTCCGTTTCACCTTTCCTAAGGCCCACTTGCAAGCCCAGCACATTCCAGGCAGTTGCTCTGTTGGGATTTCACCCTGACAAGACAACATGAAGCATATTTGAGTCGATGTTTTGTCACTTAAAGGTGCCCTATAATGAAAATCTGGGTATATAAAGGAATATTAAGAGATCAGTATATGGAAATGGAAATACTGTGAGCCTCAGACACTGGTTTCTATGTTTTGATGTAAATTCCACGAGTGTAAAACCCTGGTGGACAACGCGCCGATCAGAAGACAAAACAAACTGTGACGAGACTCAAGGGACATGCCATCCGCATTTAAATGAATGCCTAATTTGTGTTATTATGGGTCTCAAACTAGATTCCTAAAGGGCCGCAGCTCTGCACAGTTTTGCTCCAACCCTAATCAAACACAGCTGATGCAAGTAATTAGAGATCCTATGGGCTATATGCACATGGACTTTTCATTTTCAGCCAGGCATCCCGGCGGCTTTCAGTGAACTGTCTTTCCATTACAAATATTGTCTCGTTTAAGATCTGATTTCTTTAAAAATCAATGATCTTCACTGCCTGTTATGCCTAGTTCAGACTGCGTGATTTTAGCCCCGATTTTGGATTGCCGACAGGTTTTGAGAAATCGCCGACAAATGCCTGAAATCACAGGCAAATCGCTGCTCGTGCACGTGAGTGACAATCACACAGTATGAACGATCAAAGAAGCGATCTGAGAGAATGGCCGATGAGTCGCCGATGCCTGCGAGATATTTGGCATGCTAAATATCTGGAGCTGTCGGCGATTCAAATCATGCCGTGTGAATTGAGTTTTGACTGAAAATAACATCAGCGATCGCCTACAGCCAATGAGAGAACAGCTTTCACTTGTGTGTGCGCGTGTGTGTATACCTGCTGCAGGCCAGCTGGAGAAGTTAAAAGCGCTCTTTTTCAGTTTATTTGGACCCACGAAATGGAGGAAAAACTAGTGGAGGTTTGACAGGACTCAGGAGCAACCATGTCTGTTTGACTTTTACAGAAAGAAATTTGTTTATTATCAACGTTGAGGAGAAATGGCTAATTCCCTTTAAACCCAGGTGAGCAAACATGTACATGTTCTACCCCATTAAAGGCTTCTTTCTCATTATGTAGTTAATAACAAAAGATATACTACATGTTTTTGACTGTGAGACGTGGTTTGGACGAAGTTGTCGGCGATTCTTCCTATAGTAAAGTCATGCAATGTGAATGTCCATGTCGCCGAACCATCTTGCAGTGTAAACAAAGCAGCGACGAATTGCTAGCCCAGATAGTCATGCAGTGTGAAAACATCTGTGACACGAATACTTTGAAAATCATGCAGTCTGAACTCGGCATAAGATATTCGATATGAAGTGGGTCTCAGATCAGACAAGAATCACTGCATTAAATTCCATTCCCCCCCCACCAGGTCTTTAAAATATGACCGTTTAGTTTACCCCAGTATTTTCAATGGGATTTCTGTGCTAGCCTGTTGCTACTGACGGCGCTTGTGGTTACAACGGTCTTTCATATTGTTTTACGCTCGAACGACTAAATGTCTATTTAACTGAATGTATTGTAATTACATTACAACAACGTTGCTGTTAAAACTACCTTGTGAAATTTAAAATAGTCACATTAAGCTTTACATTAAGAGGTTTATTGTCGGCTTTAAAACTCTAGCTGTGCGTAGAGCCCATTTGGGTCATTATGGGTCTTAAACTCTATTTCTGAAGGGCCGCAGCTCTGCCCTGTTTTGCTCCAACAATAATCAAACACAGCTGATGCAACTAATCAAGATATTCAAGATTACATTGAACAACTTGATTATTTGGATTTGTAATTAGGGTTGGAGCAAAACTGTGCAGAGCTGCCGCCCTCCAGGAATCCAGTTTGGGACCCATGGTTTATCAGGACCTGACGAGCAGCCATGTCATCAAGCTCTGAGATCATAACAAAAAAGCTCTGAGATCATTAAAATGCACGTCTCCGGCTGCGTTTAATAAGCAATAAAATTTTTTAGTGAGATGACAAAATAAACTTCCTCCCTTGGTTATTTTAAGGGTACATTTCACTTACTGTGTTTGTGGGACTTTTATTTTGAAAACGCTAGCGCCAATTTGTTATTCAAACTGGCCTCAGGACGCAAAATGCAAGATTTACAGATTATACGTTTATTCATCTCCACTCTGAAGAGGCATAAGGTATGTTTAGTTACCTCTTTTGTTAATTTATCGTGTTTAAAGTGAAATTTGATACGTATGTTTTACACAAACATGTAGACTGCTGAATCGTGTCAAATCACTCCGCTCAACTGTCAAATTTCATGAAGAGGTTGATACTAAATCCTGTCTTCTTTGACTATAACTTCAAAATACAATGCGATACATTTTTATCACTCTCTTTTGTCAAGTTTAATTATAATTTAGTCTTTCCCTGCTAAAAAAATCCAGCTGAAACCAGCCTAGGCTGGTTGGCTGGTTTTAGCTGGTCGACCAGGCTGGTTTTAGAGGGGTTTTGGCCATTTCCAGGCTGGTTTCCAGCCATTTCCAGCCTGGTCCTAGCTGGTCAGGCTGGAAAATGACCAGCTAAATCCAGCTAAAACCAGCCTGGTTTAAGCTGGACATAGCTGGTTTTGGCTGGGCTCCCAGCCTGCTAGGCTGGTCAAGCTGGTTTTAGCTGGTCATCTCCCAGCCCAACTAGCTAAGACCAGGCTGGAAATGGCTGGAAACCAGCCTGGAAGTGGCCAAAACCCCTCTAAAACCAGCCTGGTTGACCAGCTAAAACCAGCCAACCAGCCTAGGCTGGTTTAAGCTGGATTTTTCAGCAGGGTATCCACAGCTGATCTGGTGAGCAAAATAAGTTTACAATAGTCTGATTGGATTTATATTTCTCTCTCTCTCTCTCTCTCTCTCTCTCCCTCTCTCTCTCTCTCTCTCTCTCTCTCTCTCTCTCTCTCTCTCTCTCTCTCTCTCTCTCCTCTGTGCGTGTGTGTGTGTGTGAGAAGCAGCAGATCAGAGCAGAGTTCATTATTGTTCACGACACAAACAATATATGGTCAGTTATGGACCTTCTGATTCTTTGGGTATTTTATGGAGTAACGTTAATAAATGAGCTACCGTTTGAAGGGATTTTTTTTCTTTATCAGAGAACAATTTAACTTCTTTAACCAATGCAGTATATGGCTCCTTTAAATCCCATTAATAATTGAAAGCAAGCATAACTGGCTGTTTTAAAACTGCTTTTCTGTATCTTGTGAACACTCTCAGTTTTACCTAAGAAAATGGTAAAGATTTGACTCTAAATCTGTTTTCCTGGCTAGATGCATAATCTACCCACATGAAAATGTACTATAGTCATTTATATTAAATATTCTAGTGTTTCAAGATGTACTATAGTGAAATCTATCTATCTATCTATCTATCTATCTATCTATCTATCTATCTATCTATCTATCTATCTATCTATCTATCTATCTATCTATCTATCTATCTATCTATCAATCTATCTATATATCTATATTTTTTCCTATCTATCTATCTATCTATCTATCTATCTATCTATCTATCTATCTATCTATCTATCTATCTATCTATCTATCTATCTATCTATCTATCTATCTATATATCTATATTTTTTCCTATCTATCTATCATCTATCTATCTATCTATCTATCTATCTATCTATCTATCTATCTATCTATCTATCTATCTATCTATCTATCTATCTATCTATCTATATTTCTTCCTATCTATCTATCTATCTATCTATCTATCTATCTATCTATCTATCTATCTATCTATCTATCTATCTATCTATCTATCTATCTATCTATCTATCTATCTATCTATATTTCTATCTATCTATCTATCTATCTATCTATCTATCTATCTATCTATCTATCTATCTATCTATCTATCTATCTATCTATCTATCTATCTATCTATCTATCTATCTATATTTCTTCCTATCTATCTATCTATCTATCTATCTATCTATCTATCTATCTATCTATCTATCTATCTATCTATCTATCTATCTATCTATCTATCTATCTATCTATCTATCTATCTATCTATCTATCTATATTTCTTCCTATCTATCTATCTATCTATCTATCTATCTATCTATCTATCTATCTATCTATCTATCTATCTATATTTCTTTATCTATCTATCTATCTATCTATCTATCTATCTATCTATCTATCTATCTATCTATCTATCTATCTATCTATCTATCTATCTATCTATCTATCTATCTATCTATCTATCTATCTATCTATCTATCTTACAGTATTTACCACTCTTTGTTAATGAATGCTGCAATTAAACTGTAAACCTGTTATAACTTGGAACTGTTAGGTTGACAACTTAATTTTTTAATTAAGCACAGTTAATTTACTTGATAATATGGGTTTACTCACTTTAAGTCGACTAATCCCTTTTTAAAATGTATAGTGAGCTGATAATTACTGTAATAAATACTGTATTATACTTTAGTTTTACTACTGTAGTTTTACTACAGTAAATAGTGGTGTGTTGTTGTAGTATAATATACTTGTATAAAACCGCAGTATTAGTTAATTTGTTGCTATGGTGATACAACTGTAGTAATAGTAACTTTAGAATTACCTCAACAGATTAATACATGTACTTTACTTCTTTACTTTACTACTATAAGTGGTTATAGCAGTTTTTCATGTGGGATACTACAAGTTTTAGGGTGTTTTAAAGAATTTTTGTTTTATTAATTATTTAATTCATTAATTTCCCTACAGCTTAGTCCCTTATTTATCAGGGGTTGCCACAGTGAAATGAACCGCTAACTATTCCACTCATATTCCACTAATACACTAGGGGCGATTTAGTTTATTGAATTCACCTATAGTGCATGTCTTTGGACTATAGGGGAAACCGGAGCACACGGAAGAAACCCACGCCAAGACAGGGAGAACATGCAAACTCCACACAGAAATGCCAACTGGCCCAGCCGTAACTCGAACTAGAAACCCTTTTGCTGTGAGGTGTTAGTGCTAACCACTGAGCCACCATGCCGCCTAGTAATTATTTGTTATCACAATTTATTTTTTAGTGGACATGAAAAACTCAAATCTGGGAATGATTAAAATCTTATTATACAGTTGTAGTTGTATATCTGAATATACTGTTGTAGAATTAGAATACCAATTATAGATATTTAATAATGAAGATGTATTTATTTTACGTTTAACCATTTATGTTTTAAGTGAATTATATTTGTTATGTTTTTCATTCATAATGCATTAGCCAATGCTAAAAAAAGCTGGCATGACAATAAGCCTGAAGTTAACAACACTAATACATATTAATACAAGTGTAAAAGTAGGTAAATTTTTAGAAAATTTTAATAATAAGTGACATTAACTTACAGAGCCCTCGAGTTCAATTCCAGAATGCTGTTCTTTGTGCATCTCCCATTGAACAGCACAAACTGTGAAGAAAACTGATATAAATTTAGCACATAATAAACGTTAAAATAGCCCTAAAATTGCTTTACAAGCTCAATTAACCTGGAAAAAATAGACTGATAAAAATGAATCTGCTGATTTTTACCAGAGGAGATGAGCAGGGTGAGCAGGATGATACCGCGCAGCATCTTGTTTGCCAAAGAGTTGAAACACAATGATACTAAAATGTCTTGTTTGCTGCAGTTTTTGGTGGCAAACACCTCCTTTGTTCAACCAAAAACCACACTCATTGCGAAGCGAGATTTATAAATAACCTGCTAACTCTTAACACCCTTGACTTGATAAAGCCTTTTTTTAATCTTCCTGTTTGTTATACTGGTTTTAAATAATAATGCATATATTATAGAGCAAAGTATAGCGATATGTTGCACCAATAAAACCAGGGTTTTTGCAAGCATGCAATGTATAAAGTTAACTTGTTCATTTGTCTAGGTCACTTTTTTATGCTACAGGCCTTGAATGCAACTATATGCATGCAAAATGCAGCATCATAATTGTGTGTGTGTGTGTGTGTGTGTGTGTATATATATATATATATGAGCAATTCCATGCAAATGTCAACCTTGCCATGAAAAAAATTAAGTTTTTACTAAAATACAAAAACCGTTTTTGGGTTTTTTGGGAAAACAGGTATTTTACAGTACTTTAGAAATACTCAAAAATGCATCTGTCAATGTTTTCAAGCTATTCTATTTGATTTACCAAAGTCACACAAGTGGCATTTTCACATCTGTCACATCCATAACAGAGAGATGTAACATCCATAACAACCCTTTTTACACATAAATGTCAAAATATTAAATAAAATAAAAACAATCATTTTTGTTTTATAGAGAGCCAACTCTTATCCTTTTGATTATTATTGTTTCTTTTGGGTTGTGCAGTTTAATTCACAGAATATCTACAAAGTATGTTATAGACTGTACACCCGCAGACTTTTTTTTGTCTCATCCATAACGCATGTTTGTTTTTCAACATTTAAAGTACAAAACATGTTTATAGTTTGATATTTTTCTGGTCCCTTAATTCTGTGGTCAGTTGTTCTGGAAAATATAACAAAAGTTTCAATATATTGTTAACATGTACTTTCTCTGTGAATTTATGTTTTTAGTTTTTTTACTGCAAATGTCACATCCATAACACGCTGGAATTGCTCATATATATATATATATATATATACATATATATATATATATATATATATATATATATATATATATATATATATATATATATATATATATATATATATATGTGGCAGAATCATTTGCAAATATCAGATTTGTATGGCTATTTTTAGACTAACGCCACTGTAGCTATTTCATAGAAGATTATAGGTAAATCTCTTTTACTCACTCTCTTCTATATTTGTATTGACTTTCAAGAAGAGGGTGTTACTTTAACTTGAGGACCTGTCCTTTAACTTGAGGTTTTCACACTTTTGCACAGTCATTTTGCACTGAAGCCATATCTCCAATCTACAAAGCTGCACCACTGCCAACCAATAACTGCCATTGATATTGAACACTATTACACTAAACATTAGTCGCGACATTCCAAGGTATGTTAATCATTCATCAGAAAAATCGACCTTCTGCCACTTTTTCAAATGATCAACTTGAAGTCAAGTTATTATTTGTTGCTCTCACAACTGGGATCGATGACAAGACTTTTATCAGGTAGTGTAGTGTTTATTGGTTAAGCGCAATTGGCTAAACTCCAGAAATTATGAGTTTGGAATGGGCGTGAGATATCAATGCATGTGTGGTGTGGTTGTATTGGAGAAGTCAAATACAAATTCAAGCATTGGTTCTATTTGTAAATGTATATCAACAACACATCAACCTTTGCTTCACACATTTTATTGCAGACAAAACGATGAGACAAACCCGCAGAAAGCTCATATAAAATCACAATGATCACACCATTGGCTCCGGTGCACTCTGCTAAATTTGATCAGCTTTCCCAGCTAAAGCGAAACACTCTTTATGTCTTGCATTTCTTCAATGAATCAGTTGATCTTCTGCATAATAAAGCCCATAGGCTCATTAGCACACACCGATATTAACACAGATAGTTTTAGCACGATCATCAGTGGAAAGTTCTTCAGTCAGAACGTCCATGTACTTGTTTACAAACCACCTGCACAGAGACTTAAGGAACCCGATCCCATCACAGACAATCGCCAGCTGATTTTTAATATCATCCTGTAACAAACCCAAGCAGAATTAACGTCAATTGTTTATATACTCTATAATACTGAAGTTCCTGTATTAGAATAAGATGAATGTATTAATGAAATTGTTCACCCAAAAAATTTAATTCTGTCATCATTCACTCGCCTTGGTTCAACACTATTTGCATTTCTTGAACACAAAAGAAGATCATTTGAAAAATGGTAACCATTAGCCGCATTTCCACTGTCGGGCCAGTGCGAGCCAGGGCTTTAATTGAGCTGGGCCGGGCCAATCGCCAGGGAGATTGAGCAGTGGGGCCGAAATCATGTCGCGTTTCCACTGTCGGGCTAGTAGCTCACAGCGCGTCATGCAAACGCCGCCCCCAGAACATCCCCTGTATCAAACGTCACACAACTTGCCCACTTCAGCGGGAATCAGGTAGACAAAGCACACCATCACATCATCCCGAAACCATGAAGATAACCGAAACAAACAAATGACACGTTACTGTACAGCAGTAAATGATATGTCTATACGCACGGGCCTTTGTGTTTTCATTTATTATATTCACTTACTCATCGAGTAAGTATAACATCTTCATTTAGATAGACGCAGTCAAACATTCAGCCCAAATGCTCCGGAGAGACCTGAAACATATTAATTTCTCCTTATAGGCTATATGACACTTAAATGTTGCATATTATTCTGCGATCTTAAGGAAAGTGTTCAGTATTTCAGCACATAAGAGCAAGTGATAAGACTTCCGGTTCCGGTTAACATGTGAAGACAGCGCGGTCTCAGTCTCCTGCAGCAATACTCTTAAAAAGTTACTTTTTCTCTAGAACCTCAAACAGATTCAAACTTAAACTGTCAAAAGTTAAACCTTAAACAGCTAAGGAGATGTCGAAAACCACCAAGGCATCAAAAAAGACTGAAATTGACGCTGCTTCAGCGGACAACGTTACACTGGCTAACATTGCTACTTTGCTTGAAGACCAAAGAGTTAGCATCGCAGCTGACTTCAAGACTTCACTCGCGGCTTTAGAATCAAGACTCGACAAAATACAAACAACCATAACAGAGCAGGGTCAACGAATAAACTCGTTGGAAGCCAACGCTGAGTTGCAAGACCAGAGAATTCAAGCGCTGGAGGAGAAATGTGAAGTATTGACGAGCAGTAATGCTAAGCTAATAGCAAAAACGGTCGATCTGGAAAGCCGCAGCCGCAGAAACAATATAAGGATAGTAGGGTTACCTGAAGCAGTTGAAGGACCCAGACCCACAACTTTTTTCGCCGAACTCCTGGTCGAGGTTTTCGGCGATCAAACACTTCAATCCCCTCCGGAGCTGGACCGAGCACATAGAACTCTCGCTGCTAAGCCACAACCCGGCGCGCGGCCCAGACCGGTAATTATTCGTCTTCATCGCTACCAAACCAAAGATCTGATTATCCGTGAAGCCCGCAAGAGACGCGGGAAACTACAGTACCGCGGAACGTCTATCCAGATTTTCGAGGACTACACACCAGAAGTGGCGGAGGAACGCGCTAAGTACAGAACAGTGATGGCCGAACTTTATAATCTCACCTGCAGACCTGCGCTTTTATTCCCGGCTCGCTTACAGATCACCCTAGAAAACGGGACGAAAAAGAGGTTTTCCTCTCCGGAGGAAGCTGTGATTTTTGCGGCTAACTTTAAGAAAACAACAAGACCCGAGTAATTTACTGGTTTGCATAATCGTGGCCAACGCGAAGCACAGACTCTAAATATACTGTTATAGTACGTTTAAGGTTTACATTTACTACAATAGGGGTTCACACTAAGATAATTAAGCTGTAAAGAGTTGAGACTAATGAGGAAAAAGAAGAAAGATGACAAAGAAAGGGAAGTATGATTATTTTGGTTTGCTTTCATATTTTACTTTGATTGTATTGTTCCTGTCTGTGTTATACTGTTCTGTTTTTATACAGATTGCTTTATATATTTTATTTTGCTACCTGCTTCTTGAGACTGACCAGACGACTTTACGGTTATGTGCTGAACCATGGCAAGAGTAGCTGATGGGGGTGTGTCCGGGGGACAGAATGTGAAGATTATTTCCCTAAATACTGGTGGGCTGAATGCTACAATTAAACGTACAAAAATTATGACACACTTAAAAAGCTTAAATGCAGACATTATGTTTCTCCAAGAGACACACTTATGTAATTCTGACCATAAAAAACTAAACCGGCCATGGATCGGACAGATCTTTCATTCACAATTTAATGTAAAAACAAGGGGTACAGCTATATTAATTCGGAAAAATGTAAATTTTATTTTAGATAAAACTAAGATAGATCCAAATGGTCGTTATGCTATAGTTACTGGGACACTATATGAAAAACCTGTAATATTAATATCTGTTTATGCTCCCAACTGGGACGATCATAACTTTATGTGCTCGCTATTTACTAATATTCCAAATTTAGAGACTCATCAATTAATAATGGGAGGTGATATGAACTGTGTTGTGGACCCTGTACTGGATAGATCAAGCTCGCGATTAACTTCACCTACGAAAATGTCACAAGCTCTATCGGTATTTATGGATCAATACGGATTTGTTGATCCCTGGAGATTTTTATATCCCTCCACAAGACAATACTCCTTTTTCTCTCATGCACACCGTTCATTTTCGCGCATAGACTATTTTCTTATAGATAAAAATTTGATCTCAGCGACCACCTCGGTTCAGTACCTACCCATAACGGTGTCAGATCATGCCACAGTGGTGTTGGATCTTCATTTCAAGAACAAGCCAAAAGAATTCAGACACTGGAGGCTTAACCCTGTATTATTGGCTGATACAAAATTTTGTGAATATATTTCTGAATCAATTACTTTCTTTTGCGAAACTAATAAACCCGATGATACTTCCCCATCTATATTTTGGGACACGCTTAAGGCTTA